ATGTCCGATACTGCTCGCAGAGACCTCTTCTTTTTAGCACTTTAGCACCTAGCTTACTACATTTGAGTAACTTTTCTTTTAATTCATACAATTGAGTAATTTTCCTCTATTGCAGGCTTCTTACTGCCACAATTGCTTGGCCTTTCCCTGCCATTGTTCACGTTGGCATCATCCTTTCAACCTTAGGAGCTGCTCTTCAGAGTCTGACAGGGGCCCCGCGGTTACTTGCGGCGATAGCAAATGATGATATTCTCCCCATCCTGAACTATTTTAAAGTTGCAGATACAAGTGAACCTCACATAGCTACGCTTTTCACAGCATTGATCTGCATCGGATGTGTTGTTATCGGAAATCTGGATCTGATTACACCGACTGTGACTATGTTTTATCTTTTATGTTATTCGGGAGTAAACTTGTCTTGTTTCCTGCTCGATCTTCTTGATGCTCCAAGTTGGCGTCCACGGTGGAAATACCATCACTGGAGCCTTTCCTTTGTTGGAGCCTCACTTTGCATTGGTAAGAATTTTCAAATACTCTCGCTGGAGAAGATATCTTTTGTACAGTCTTCCTATGTAGTCCATTCTTACAAAACAAACTCTAATTGGTTCTACCACGTAGCGTCTTTCATCTGAAGCTTGAGATTTCTTATTGTGAAGACTCTTGTTGATGTTTCTTTTTTTCTTTACTGTTGCAGTGATCATGTTCTTGATTTCGTGGTCATTCACTGTGGTTGCCATTGCGCTTGCAAGTCTTATATACAAATACGTTGGCCTAAAAGGAAAGGCCGGGGATTGGGGGGATGGTTTCAAGAGTGCATATTTCCAGTTGGCCCTTCGTAGTCTCAGGTCACTCGGAGGTACGCCTGTAACCAACGGGTTACATTTCTCTAAGTGTCATTACACCGAACCTGTCTTATCTACTTGGTTCAATGATAGGATGGTTCATGTATCAAAGCTGATCTCACATTCTATCTTTCCTCCTAATTGCAGCGAATCAAGTGCACCCCAAGAACTGGTATCCGATTCCCCTTGTTTTCTGCAGACCATGGGGACAGCTCCCAGAGAATGTTCCGTGCCACCCTAAGCTTGCTGATTTTGCAAACTGTATGAAGAAAAAAGGTCGTGGAATGTCAATCTTCGTTTCGATATTAGATGGTGACTACTATGAATGTGCTGAGGAAGCAAAGGAAGCCTGCAAACAACTAGCCACCTACATCGAGTATAAGCGTTGTGAAGGTGTAGCTGAAATCGTTGTAGCCCCAAACATGACTGAAGGGTTTCGTGGGATCATCCAGACGATGGGACTCGGAAACCTCAAACCTAACATCGTGGTAATGCGATACCCTGAGATCTGGCGCCGGGAAAATCTAACAGAGATTCCATCCACGTTCGTCGGGATAATCAACGACTGCATAACAGCGAACAAAGCAGTTGTCATCATCAAAGGGTTAGACGAATGGCCAAACGAGTACCAAAGACAGTACGGAACAATCGACTTGTACTGGATTGTGCGAGACGGTGGTCTCATGCTTCTTCTCTCACAGCTTCTTCTGACTAAAGAAAGCTTCGAGAGCTGCAAGATCCAGCTCTTCTGCATAGCTGAAGAGGATTCAGACGCGGAAGCACTAAAAGCGGACGTGAAGAAGTTCCTCTACGATCTCAGGATGCAAGCGGAAGTAATCGTGGTCACGATGAAATCGTGGGACATAAGATCCGAAGGAAACAGCAAAGAAGACTCGTTGGAAGCTTTTGATGCTGCGCAGAGACGGATCTCAGATTACTTGGGAGAGATCAAGAGGCAAGGTTCAACTCCTTTGTTGGCGAATGGGAAACAAATGGTGGTGAACGAGCAACAAGTGGAGAAGTTTCTATACACGATGCTGAAACTGAACTCGACCATACTCAGTTACTCGAGGATGGCCGCGGTGGTTCTGGTTAGTCTCCCGCCGCCTCCGTTGAACCACCCGGCGTATTTCTACATGGAATACATGGATTTGCTGGTGGAGAATGTCCCGAGGATGTTGATCGTGAGAGGGTACCACAGAGATGTTGTTACTCTGTTTACATAGTTTCCTTCTCTTACCCGACAAGAACATCGAAGGACATGCCCTTCAAGGTCAGATTTGTCTTTTCCTCCGAACATCTCCTCTCCTCTCTATACATTTTTTTACAAGTTTAATATATATATATATATAGATATTTCTTGTAGTACAGAGAACTCCATTTTGTTGAAAAGAGAGTTTCATTGAATTTTGGTTTGAGAAGAATTGCATTGTAACTTTGTTTACATGACCTAGTGCGCAAGTGCTCAGGTCCAAACCCCATGATCAACCAACATTTTTTAAAATATTTGTTTTTTTTTTCTTAAATGATTTTGTAATGCAAGATCACCTTCACCTAATCGTGACTCTTCCCTGTTTTGATTTCCATTGTCTTGTGGACAAATAATCATTACCGGAGTTGTCTTGAACTACAATCATCCCCAAAACAAAGGACAAGGAAACGAAAACGAAAAAAACACACAAGTTATGATGATAACAAACTTGTAGCTTGCTTCTTGTTGAAAAGCCAAGGTTTAAATATTACTATTGATTAAAGGAAAAAAAATAAAAAAAGAGTTTGCCAAGCTCATACATTAAGTAAGATCCCACATCATAAAGAAGCAATACTTTCAACGTGGTGAGGTGAGATATAGACGCGACATTGTTCGGGTTCCATGACTCCGATCATTCCATTAACGCGTCTGAACTCTTGATCGTCAGCAATTCCGAAGAGCTGAACTCTTCTCAGGTCATTTCTTTCGACATTGTAGTAGAAAATGTAAAAGGGTTGGACATCATTGAGAGCTTTGTGGGTGCAAAAATGATTTCACCAGCCTTGTTGGTGCCAGGGGAAGTCATATCCGCACACACCCCAGAGAGAAGGGAAGCTCAAAGGTTTGCTTTGACCATTCATGTTTCTTGGCGTCCTCTAGTATCCATAAATCAAAAGCTTGGAAAAAAAGATAAGGCTGATGCCTTGCAACGGAAGCTGACTCCCCTTTGTATTCAATCAAATACTGATTCCCCGCAAAGAGCAGTCCTAGGCGCGCTTTGATGAAACTTAAACTCTCGCTTCTAACATCAAAACACACAATCACGGGATTCGTAGATCGGGTTGGGGTCCATGCACCATGATACACGAAACCGTTGATGGATATTGCTTCAGTTGCAGTGTCATAAGGCTCGATCGGTGGCAATCCCTTTGCGTAATTTAGATTCAGTTTTTTTTTTTTCCAAGTGTTAGAAACTCGTGCACTAGACAAGCACGATTCTCGGCAGGACAATGAAACATGGTGATTGCTTTAAACCGAGCACCAACGGGGCCATCGTATCCGAAAAACGTGCGTGGTTTGATGTGGGGGAAGGTAGCGAGTCTAGTGACTTTCTTTGTGCTAGGATTACAGACGGTGAAGGGATCAGTACACACGATTAAGCCATGGAGAGAAGCACAGTGGGAGGCGGGAGACAAGCCTAGTGAAGGTAGTACCATCTCGAGATTGGTGGCCAAGGAAGAAGACCACGATTTTTCCAAGGACCGGCACTGAAAGCGATTACAAACCACGACCGCTTCGCGGAGGAGATGGCGTAGTGAGAATCGACGAATCTCTGGCTTCGGATGATGGAGGAGTCGGACCACGTCTTTGACACGCATCGGAACCTGGTCATTATCTCCACCTCAGCATCAAGAGGGATCGGATCTAGCTTCGTTGGGCTTCTGTCTTTCTCATCTCACCCTCGCGCTTCAAGGCGGCTCCCAACGAAACCATGGATTCGACACGGCAAAGGAGTTTTAGGCTGTTCCCAGAATTCCTTCTAGAACCTTCTTCGGTTACTGTCTGATCTCTGCCGTTCTGAGTGATGCAATCCTCAACGTCCATCTTACATGACTTTGGAGAAACAGTCTATAAAAGAAGAAACTCGCATCCTCCAATTCTCAATCTTTCTAACTCTCTCTCTCCCTCTGAAATTACACAATGATGACAATGGAGAAATCCACTCCCCTGAAACCCGAATCTGGAAGTTCCGATTACGAATCTCCCCCAGCGGCTCCGGTTGCGGTGAAACGAAGGAGGTTCATTGATGTGAACGATGATGATGACGAGGAGGTCGGATCGGAATATGAAGGTATGGCGAGAATCAGGAGAGAACTCTCTGATGATTTCGATAGAGTCGCATCAAGACCAAAGTGGTTAAAGCCAACAAGAAATCGAATGAATCAGCGGGAAATTTGAAGATCATATGAAACTTGGGGTTTACGGAATCGATGTGAAACTGCGGATTAAATCTAGGGTTCTTTTTTATAGAAAATTTGAGTTTATACTCCCAAATTAGGGTATATGTTTGAAAACTACACCACTACCAAAAAGTGGGATTTGAGAAAAATGGTAGTTTTCAAATTTAACTTCCTATCTAAGGTATTTTGCCAATTGTCCCGTTTGTTTTTGCATTTAGCCATTTAGTCACATGACCTAGTGCGCACCAACCAACATTTTTTAAAATATTTGAATTTTTTGATGAATTTGGGTTATTTTAGTGAAGTCGTTATGGATTTTTTTATTAAAAACAACAGGAGTCTCTCTTCTTGTAATAAAAACACACATGTCAGCAAATGCATATCATCAGTAAGATAACAAACTATAGCTTGCGTGCTTGTTGAAAAACCAACGTTTGAATATTTTTGATTAAAGAAAAAGAAAAAGAGAAACCAGAGTTTGCGAAGCTCATATACATTAAGATCCTTGATAAACCACATTAATTATAAAGAAGCAATACTTTCAACGTGTTCATGTTTCTTGGCGTCCTCTAGTATTCATAAATCAAAAGCATGGAAAGAAGCAAAAGGCTGTCTTGCAGTGGAAGCTAACTTTCCTTTGTAATCTATCAATATTGAATCATCACACCTCCACAGCAAACAGCAGCCCTAGGCGCTTTGGTGAAACTTATCCTCTCACTTCTAACATCATTCGTATGCCTCTGCTCCAAACTCCATCCTGTAATTGCAAATATCTTAATGAAGCAAATATCTCTGTATGTTTGTTCTTCCTATACTTATGGTGTTTATGTGGTTCTTCTACGAATCCATGACCATGGGGAACAACTAAATCTCTTACATGAGCTTTTGAAGAGAGAACAAGTTCCAAATGAAATTATGTAGAATCAACGGTTGACTTATATGAGTGATTGTAGGTGTGCGAAGCACCTGTCAAGATCATAAAAAAGGCAATAAATAAACTGCAAACAACTTGTTATGTACAAGTTAAACCCTCTGTTTTGGTCTTTGCTTTCTTTTCAAAGTCTATCAAAACCCTAAATCATGAACTGAATTTGTATCAACAACTGTTGTCTGAAAGATACAGAAGATTTAAAAATCGAAAATCTGCTGAATCCAATACACTTGTCTCATTAAATCTCTCTCTCTCTCCCCCCCCCCCCCCCCCCCCCCCCCCCCCCCTTCCCCTTTAATAGATAGAATCTTGGGAAGAGACTCTCACCGACGCTTCTTTCCTTCTCCATGCCTCGATCTTCTTGGAGCTTCGTCTTCGTCTTCACTTTCACTCTCTTCGTTTCTCACACTGTTTCCAGCATCAAACTGCTCCATCTCATGAGATGTCTGTTGATCGACCGTCACCCCTCTGTCATCGCTTCTCTCAGGCGTTCTCCGGTTTGTGGGGCCAGGACGTGCTGATGATGTTGTTGTTGCCGGCGGATAATACATCGGCCTGCCTCCTCGAGGAGCGTTTCCCATTCCTCCCATATGCGGGCCACGTCCCGGGACTCCCATCATCCCATATCCATCATGTGGAAACTGTTGTGGAGGCCTACCAGGAAACATCATCCCTGGTACAGGTCCTCTGAAATCACCACCAAACCTCGGTCCATAAGGTCCAAAGGGTCTTGGACCCATACCAAATGGATCTGGCATACCGTTATATCCTCCGGGTCCATAGGGAAACGCATCGCCAGGGCCCATTACACCGAGAGGGAATCCCATTCCGGGCATTGGTCTCATTCCGCGTCCAAAAGGTATTTGAGGAGGCCACATCATTCCTCTTCCTCTTCCTCTTCCTTGTGGACCACCCGCCATGCTGTCTTCTTCCTCCTCGCTTTCATCTTCTTCCTCTTCCTCTTCTTCGTTGTCCTCAAATGGGACGATGTCTGGGTTCTCAGCTCTGCCCTCTGGATTCACACCCTTTGCTTTTTCTTCTTCTCGCTTGGCTTCTGCAGCTATGGAGATTGCCTTGGATTCATGGAAAAACGAAAAATTAGCACTCCATGATGAAGCAACAGAATGAAAAATCTTAGAGCATATGGAGTTTAGTAAGTGTCATAGATGATCATACGCTTATGAACCATGTAAAAACAAAGGAAGGCAACAAAAACAGAGTATATATACCATAAGCTCGCTATCTGGTTCAAGATAAAGCAAGGAAGCTAGCTCCTCACCAATAGATGGCTCTAACTCCTGACAATCTCTGCTTATCTACAGTCACGGAACCAAAAGTGTAAGATGAAGGCGACTAGGTTACATGCAAATACTCCAAAACATGAACATTACACAACGACCATTCGATAATAGTAATCACTGTATCAGTAGCAACTTGCAATGACTAGCAAACTATTTGTGTAAACGTGCGAGTGTGGTCAACATGGGGCAACTTAGCCGCTGTGGCCAGTGTATACTGATATAAACATCCATATTTTTTATGAGTTGTATATAACAAGCTATGCCACTTCCAAATAAGAGACCAATTCTAGCAGCGTAAAAAAAAGGTGAGAAGTTCCACGTACCTTGACAGGTAAGTTTTCATTATAAGGGTTCCTCAAATTCCGAGTTTTGTGGAAGGATAGTTCGCACAGCTGCAATGATAAGAAATACAATCACTCATATAAGTCAACCGTTGATTCTGCATAAATTACGAAGGCATATCCTATAGCTCTCAGTAACATGTACCAGAGCGCATTGTTAACCTCAGCAGAACCAATACCAGAACAGAGAGACGAGAAAAATAAAAATAAAGTAGGAAGGTATGTGCTGAGACCGGTGGTGTAAACACTGGCCTTTCAAGCAAAAATGAGAGTTACTATTTATAGCACCAGAGTGCAAGGCAAAAGAGGCTCAGTCGCATAGAGAAGGATTAAAATAAACACGGACTCAGAGAAAGGACCAGTGATTAAAGGAAGAGCCTTAGTCACACAGTATACCTTTAACCATTTAACTGAAAAGTTCCGGCCATACTGTGCAGTTCCATGTTCATGTTTCCAGTTTCCTCCACCAATGTAACCACCAATTCTTGATGTCATCTTAGCACAGCCCTATAACATCATGTCGGAAAAGAAATTATTTAGACTCATAACGCTGTCTACAAAATACCACCCTGTAGAAAAGAAGATTACAGAAAGGCAAACATTGATACAGATGAACAGGTACTTAGTCTTTCAACATAGTTTCCTGTTTAGCCCAATAAACTACCTGGAAATGCCGTGTCCTGTTGACAGAGAATATCAAAATGACATTTTCCACAGAGTCAAAAGCTTCATTAAGTTTAGCTTCATTGCTTCTTTGTGTAGCCCAGACTCCTTGTTGCACAGATAATTCAAAATTTTCTCGATTGCAACTTTTAACTACGAAATACCTGAAAACCCAAGTGTTTAAAATATATGAAGTATGACTAATAGAGTAAGAAGGCAAAGACATTCTACATTTAACGAATCCATTTAAATAACTAGACAGAAATTACATCAAACTATAAAATGAAATAGTATATGTAATTCTGTATACCACCATTTGCAAAGCCTATCTCCCACATTTTCAGCTGAAGGAAGAAGGGGGCATGATGGATTGAAATAAGAGACAAATAATGCTCAAAGAAGAATCAGAGTGGAAAAGCCAGACCAGAAGCAGGTCGGTTTTCATTGAAACAGTCGAGTGAAAGTACATAGTCTCTGAAATTTATCTAACTATCAAAGAAAAGTATCCTAAACTCACGCAGGTAATATAACAAGAAGCTAAATATGTCGTATAAAAAGTGTAAGAATTCTGAACTTGCAAATAGCTAGTTACATATTTAAAGTGATCAAAGCTCTTATAAGAAACCAATGGTTTCGATAATGGACCAATAACAAAACGTCTTGATATGTAAGATATACAGAAACATGTATTACATAACCCAATTAAAAACCTTGGGACTCTGAACACACCTATTTACCCCTTGAGGCAAAGGATGAGAGGTTCTGTTTGTTTGATCAGCAGGGTTTTGTATCTGACTCTGGCTGACCTGGTGTTGAGATTGCTGAGGCTGTTGTTGTTGTTGTTGTTGTTGCTGCTGCTGCAAGTTACCTGATTCTTGTGGCTGGCCTTGTGCCTGACCTTGCACCTGAGGCTTATCCGGTAGCTGCGGAGCAACGTTTCGCGGTTGATAGAACCTATTTGGCCCAAAATTGTATGAAGTCAACTGCTGTATCTTCTGAAGAACTTCCTCTACTGGAGGTGGAGGTCCAGGTAGCTTCGCATGCCTGTACCGACAATCTGGACCATTGGGACAAAATCCAAGCTTGTACCTGTCAATACAATTGCAAGACAGAGAAACTGTAAGTACAAAGCTAAGAATCAGCACAAATTAGAATCGAATAAACAGACGATTATTGCATCCCTCTTGGCACCAGATTCATTACTTGGCAAGAATCTTGTATATCAATAAGAAAAGTGGGGTTTTTTTTTTGAAGCACATACATGTTGCATTCTTTGATATCTTCATTGGTATGCTTGTAGACACAGTCCTGCTCTCGACATTCACCGTATAGCCGGAAAAACCGGCAGATTGGCATACGGGCTTTATCGAACTGATGGAGAAACCCACAGGCGTCGCCTTTCATACACAGACCTCGAAGCCAGTGCCTGCAAACAGTCTGACGGAAACTTCTCCCCCTCCCAGCTCCAGGCACCGTCGCGGTAGAATGATCATAGCTCGGTGCTACGTTGATGGCGGCGGAGGAAGGGTTTTCAGGCGGAGCAACCGGGACTGAAGCCGTGGGCTGGATAGGTCCGGAATCGAGACCGCCTTCGAAATCGAAGCTGAGACCATCGGCGTCCTCCATTGTCTATTGAATCTCTCTCTGTAGGGTTTTTTTTTTTCAATTTTCTAGGGCTTCGATCGAAGAAGAGCGAACAGGCAAGACTGAAAAAGAGTCGGAGGATTCGAGCTTCTGATGTTTCTGACTCGAGAGGCTTTTACGAGTCAGGCTCGGCTCATCGGTTCAATCAAATTGAATCGGTTATTTGAATGGTTTACTGAACCGGATGTATTTTTATCTTACCATTAATTGGAGTACATTTTTAATTAATGTACAAATTAATAAATTTGGCTGATTAAAAATTATATATTTTTCACAACCCCATAATAGATTGTCCTCTTTCTATCCTTCTAATAGTTTAAACAAAATGATAATGTCACTTCTTCAACTACCTAAGTGTATAAACAAAAAAAAAAGAAGATGAAACACAAAAATTGCAAAAGCATAACATGTTTAAGCCCTCATACGTAAAGGTGAGTTCGAAACAACATTACTTAGAAGAAACGTTTTAGAAAGTCAACGAATATACTTCACAAATTCAGATTTCTTGCAACTAATTATATGTTGTACTACTATCAGTATTAAGGTCCATTTGTATTATTTCTCTGTTTGTTTTGCTTGCTACATTTATGGGTTTAACTTTTAACCAGTAACGTGGTCTCTTTTCTTTTTGTCAACACAGTATTTATAATACAAAGTTTTTTAGGTGTAATAAATATTTGTCTCACAACTAACGCACAATGTTGAATATCGACCACTACTTGGGACGGAAATAGCAAAAATAAAATTAAATCGGTTTCTAAAGACGCACATGTAAATCTTTTTCATTTCTTTATTATTAATCTTTTTTTTTTTCCTGTCTTCCTTCTATCTCTAGGCACTACCATCCCGCAATTGAAGGTGCTCTTCGTCGCTCACATCCCCAATCTCTTCGATCTCAGATCGAATTTCTGCGATTTTTCTTCCTTTTCAGAGCAATTTACAGATTCTAGGTTTCGGATTAGTTCTTCCCCATCGACTCTTCTTCTTTTATTCCTGGGCGAAATTCCCCTTTTTCTTGTTAGGGTTACGAAGATCCGATTCTCTCTGGACGCAGGAGCAATTCGACGTTTCCTCGAGCTGGAAAGATGTTCTGGCGAATGGCGGGATTGTCGACGGCGTCTGCCGTGAGTTTTTTCTTCTCCCTGACCTATTTAATACGTTCGTGTGTATTATATGTGAGGAGAAAGGCACTCCATTGAGACGAGTTTTCGCTGTTTGTTTCTATCCTGGACGCGTTTCATGTCGATGGATTTACCGCCTTAGGGTTTGTACGGATTTTGGGGGTTTCATTTCTGGGGATTTTGGCACCTTCCTCTGTTTATTTAGACGAATGTGTTGGAGGTGAAGAGATTGAGATTTCCGGTGTTTAGATTTCTTGGCTTATAAGTAACTAAGTATCTTTGTATACCTAATTCATGATGATATTTGAGCACTGTCTCGCTGGAAATGGTAGACTATCCCTAGAGTTTTGCTGGCTGCTTGCTTGCTTTTCATACTCATGTTGTGCTTTCTGAATCACGATTTGTTGGCTTTTTTTTTTGTTTGTTTGCAGGTTGAGGCAATTTTGGATAAAGATAGTTTCACATTAGAGGAACTTCTTGACGAGGACGAAATTATTCAAGAATGCAAAGCCCTGAATGGACGACTCTTGAATTTGTATGCTCTGTAACCACATCTTCTTGCTTTTTTTTTATGCTTCATTACCTTTTTAGGAGAGGAAAAGAAATGCAATTATTCATGTGTAAATTTTTTGGAGGAGACAATGGATTGCATTCGGGTGTTGAATATATTACCTGGGTATGCTGTCACTTGTTATGGTCTCCTCCTAAAAAAAAGCTTCATTTTTTCGTAAAAAGATCTATTAGATAACCAGTAGAACATTTCTACTTTCACGCATTATCTATGACATGCTAGTTTCTTTGCATCACTTATAATATTACTATCATCGAATTGAGCAAACAATCTCCATCTTCTGCACAAAAGTTCGATTTTCAAACCTCCTGTCTTAAAAAAGTTTCTCCTTCATTGGCAATGCTGCTCGTTCTTGACTAATGAATTCTTTTTATTTCAGTTTGAGAGAAAGAGTGCAAGTAGAACAACTGATTAAGTACATAATAGAGGAGCCTCTCGAGGATGTGGAAAATAAGCGAACATTCAAGTAAGTGTTTTGGACAATATTGTTTTGTTTTTTGGCTGATTATGTTTGCTAAATAAACAATTTGATATATTTGTTGTCTAATTGTGTTCCAGGTTTCCGTTCATTGCCTGTGAAATTTTCACATGTGAGATTGAAATGATACTGAAAACACTAGTCGAGGATGAGGAGGTAGACATTGACTCTGTTACATTCTCTTATATTTATACTTTGTAAATGGTTAAGGATTTAATATTTCTTACCTCTCGTTATGTCTTCTTTTTACAGCTTATGTTATTGCTTTTTTCGTTTTTGGAAGCTAAAGAAACCCATAACTCATTGCTTGCCGGGTACTTCAGCAAGGTATTTAGCATTCGACAATTTTTGAATTTTCAGAAAACTCATGGAGAACTTTCCCATGCTCTTATAGGGCTCTATGGAGTTTTCTTCTACATGTTCTCTCTAACATCTTCTGTTACTAGGTTGTCATTTGTCTGCTGGTGCGGAAGACGATCCCTTTCATGCAATTCATAAAAGTAAGTTAATTTTGTTTCCCGGATTGGTTTATCTGTTTAAGGATGACGTGACCTTAGCTAGAATTAGTATCTTTTCCTTATATCCGTAGAGACTGTTGACCCATTAGCTAGCTCTGCGTTCTTGTGCACTTGGGATTAGGATTATCTGTGTAACTTACTACTACCTTGAGATAATGCTGTTTAATACTCAGATATATTGATAAAGATTTGTGTTGCTACTTAATCAATGATAGAGCTTTTTCGTAATCAACAATATTAAATCTAAATCTGTTGATATCTTGATAATTGGTACACGAGTTAACAATGCTTACACCATTTAACCATCTAGAATTGCATATTAACAACTCATTTATGATTAACCTTGACTTTCTCGTGTTACCAGGATCATCAAGAAATACTGAAGCAGCTTGTTGATTTGATTGGTATTACATCTATAATGGAGGTTGGTTTGCTATTTTATTTGTGTTTTAAGAACTCCCGATTTCGGCTTTACATTCATTACACATGTACGTGAGAACATACTGAATAGTTGAAAATAATGTTAAGATTTTCTCTCCTTCAATTATTATTGTCTGGAAACGATGAAGGTTGTAATTCTTATATGGGCTACCCTTAGGTTGTATATTATAAGATTTCTGTATAATACTAGTTTTCTAGACTAACTTTTTGCTGGTGCTCAGGTTTTAAAACGTCTGGTCGGTACTGATGAACACCTTTATTCAAACTACACAAGTGCAATGCAGTGGGTTGAAGATACAAATGTTTTAGAGATGATTGTAGACAAGTTTGGCTGCTCGGTAAGTTTCATTTAGTAGCAAGGATTACTTTTCTTTCAATATGGGCTAGTCTTATGGCTTTCCTCCTTTATCTCAGATCTGTTCTATCGTCCCAGGCAATGCTATTTACTGATATCTTGGAGATTTTTTTATATTTTGTAGGATTCTCCCGAGGTACATGCCAATGCAGCTGAAATTCTTTGTACTGTAGCAAGATACGCACCCCCTGGTCTTGCAACAAAACTTTCTAGCCCCAGGTAGACTTTTCTTAGCTTTGGCTATATTTTCATGTGGTCGTTCAAAATTTATAATTTGTTTACTTGTTGTTTTGATTCCTGTACAATTTTATGCAGCTGCACTGGAAGGTTGTTAAAACATACTTTAGAAAATTCACGGCCTAAGTCTGTTCTGGTTAATTCATTGTCTGTATGCATATCCCTGCTGGATCCTAAGAGGTTTACACTGGGGACTTATCATATATATGGTCGTCAACTAACCCATGGAAGCATGGTAACTAATCCCGAGACAGTGGAGGGAATGCTTGGAAGCCTAGGTGAGCAAATACTGTATGGTTATTACATTTTCATATGTAGTTGAGCGTTGACTTCTTGAATGCTATTTTCCCTATTGTGAGAGATGTGGTTGGGTTGGGAAGAAAGAATAATGAGTTTGTTTTTGTGGGATTCAAAACCTGCAACCAGATTTCTATGCATGTTTGTTGCTTGTTGGTATGAAAATTGGTGGATCTATATTTTTTTCGTGATGTATAGAGACTTGCTAATCTCTTGCTGATGTGCAAGACTATCATTTATGGGATTTTGGTTTCACATCTTTTATAGGTCTCTTTATGTTATTTTCTGGTTTGCAATGTTAATTAGTCTCGTGTGGTGTTACGAAAACTGTGTAACACGCTTCTACTGTGCAGGTGATTTACTCATGCTTTTGAATGTATCATCTGCTGAGGGTGTTCTGTTAACAACGTATGGCAAATTGCAACCACCTCTTGGAAAACACAGATTAAAGGTACTTTTGTCGTTCTCATTTGTATAATTTGTTTTCTAATTTTACTGTATCTTTCACTGTTTTGATTATAATTTCATATTTGAATTATATTCGTTCAACAAATGAAATTTGACTGTTTTTTTTTTATCTTAGATCGTAGAATTTATATCAGTCTTACTCACAGTCGGTAGTGAAGCAGCGGAGAAGGAAGTGATTCGACTTGGTGCGGTGAAAAGAGTGTTGGACTTGTTCTTCGAGTAAGTGGGAAATTGTATTTTCTCTGTTGATATATGCAGACTGCCATGCTAAATTGTGGTGCGATTTTGTCTCAGGTATCCCTACAACAATTTTTTGCATCACCATGTTGAGAATGTAATTCTTTCATGTTTGGAGAGCAAGAACTCTCAACTTCTTGACCATCTTCTTAGTGAGTGCAATCTTATTGGGAGTATACTAGAGGTGGAAAAAGATTCCATATTAACAGCTGCTGATTCTGATAAGGTGAACACATACTTAATTGCTAGTATCTGGGGGTTGGCATCATTATCTGTTAACTTGGTTTACATGTGATGTCTCAGCTTCAGCCTACAGTTCCTGCAGAGGGTAGAAAGCCACTCAGGATTGGAAACATTGGTCATTTGACTCGTATTTCGAACAAACTTCTTCAGCTAGCTAATACCAATGTCGAAATTCAGTCACATTTGCAGGTATGCCACCATATTGTCTGATGGACTTTATTAATTTAGTTGCTTGGCACACATTCATGTGCACATGCAGATAAGAAGCGCACATGGTTTGTTTATTTGGATTTGAAAATATTAATATAAGTAGATGTAATTACTATTCCTGGTATTCTGAGTTTTTTTCTATGCGAGTGTGGTATTTTCTTACATTAGCTGTATAATTTTTATAGAAGGATGGTCAAAAAACAGTTTGCTTGGGGGCCTTACCTGTGTTTGATTTCTCCCAAAGATGTTGCCTTGATAGCTTGTTTGCTTGTGAAATATCGAGAGGTTCTAGCCTTGTAGGGTGCTAATCTTTAGTATCAAACTCTTATACCTCGTTCAAGGTATCTTATTTCCGTCTACATTATTTACCAGGAAAATAGCAAATGGGTGGATTGGCAGACAGATGTCCTGTCGAAGCGCAATACATTGGAAAATGTTTACTCTTGGGCCTGCGGGTATGTAATATCTTTCTCTTATGGGGAGTTTTGCTAGACTTAAAGAAACCTTATGAGATTTGCTTATGTTTCAAACATATGACCAAAAGCAGTGGTTGTACTTGAAAAAGTATATTTCTTATAGATGTTCGTCACATTTGTGTAATCTGCAATATTAGCAGTCACGATATATGATAATTTAAATATGTGTGAACATTCGTAGTAGATGGCAATAAGAGCTTGCTTTTGTGAGGTTCCTTACGGGGTGATAAATGTTAGATGAGAGGCAATAGTGATGGTTTGTGTAGTATATAGATAATTCCTTTTACTGACATTCTCCTCTATAACAGGAGGCCAACTTCACTCCATGATCGTAATAGAGATAGCGATGATGATGATTACCACGATAGAGATTATGATGTGGCAGCCCTAGCAAACAACTTGAGCCAGGCCTTTAGATATGGAATTTACAGCAATGATGACATGGATGAGGTGATGTTCTCGTGTTTCCTTGCCATAGCTGCTACTTTGTGAATTTTTATATTAATTATCATTGATTTTACTATTTAGCCGTTTACTCCAGTAAGTCTTGCAAGATCATGGGTTTCGATTGTTGAAACAAAGGAGGAAATCGATTTGGTAATTAGCTAGGAAATCATTTTATTTTGCCTTGGTCTTTAATCCTGTTATAGTTCCTGAAATATGATAACATAGTGAAATCTGATGCAAATAGTGTTGATGTCTTGGACCACTGGGTGTGATGTTGTTACCAAATCTCTGTATTTGGTGATTAGCTAAACCGTCACTTGATTCTCCAATCATTGTACTTGATTGACCTTTGACCTCTCGATAGTTTAACATGCGGTTTTCCTATCGTCTTCTCTTCCTTCATCATATTTAACTAGCCTGGATGTAGCTTGGTTAAAGTCGGTGTACCAGAGAAACGATATAGCTTTTGATTTTCGTTGCATTCTTTTACTGACGCTGTAAGAGTACTACGTAATATGAACTTGTTCTACCATTAACATGTTTTACATTTATCCACTTCAGGCCCAAGGCTCTATGGAACGCGATGATGAGGTATTATTTGTCTTTTCCTTTATCTTTAAGAACTGACACTTGACTTTCGAAAATCTTGGTTATATGACGCTAAAAAAGCTTAAGACCTCTTGTGAGAAGATATTAATTTGTGGAACGAGTAGGAACAAATATTAATTTCTTACCCTGTCTCCTTGCCGTGCTATTTATTACTGAGAAGTCACTCAAAATTTTATCGCGGATCCTGTGCGCCTGTTCTTCTAAGCAATCAATATCAAAGCTTTAGTGATAATGGTAGATATGAAAACCTCTCATAAAGTCTATGTTACAGGATGTCTACTTTGATGACGAATCTGCAGAAGTCGTCATATCTTCCTTGCGCCTTGGAGATGATCAGGAGAGGTAATGAGGTTGACTTTTCTTTTCTGGTAGAAATCAACCCGTTTCTATTTATCACGTGGTTGATGCGGTCCTTTAAACTTACGATGTCTGACATGGTCTCTTTGTAGCGATTCACTGTTCACAAATTCAAACTGGTTCGCTTTCGATGAAGAAAAGGCTGCGAATGAGCGCTCAATGAGCTCAATCACTTCTCCTTCACCCAATGCTGATGGAGATGGTGATGATGATGATGAGGATGATGATGATGATGTCGTCAGAGGTGAAGCTGAAGACTTCAAAGACACTGCGGCCTCTTCCCCATCTGTTGATATGGAAACAGAGGATTCTACATCAAAGAATCCTGCTGAAAACCCGAGTGAACCAGAACCTGAAAAATCACCTGCTTGGGTTGAATGGAGAGAGACCTCTGAGTCCACCACTGCGCCTTCTTCCAACCCAGATGAAGCTACCACCATATTGCCCAATGGTGAGGTTCAAATCGAGAAAGAGGATGATACGGATAAAACAAGTGCTGAGAATTCACCAGCAGGAGGTGCATGTGGTGGTGATGAAGCGAAAGAGAAGTCGCCAGATGCAAGTGGCGTTGCAACCACCGAGAACTTGAGAGATTCCGATCCCGATGCATCAAAACCAAATGAGGATGATCAAAGCTCTGAAACTGCAATCCCCCAGGAAGCAGCAGGAACAGATGCCAAAGAAACGGAAGATGCTGTGAAGGAACCAGAGAAGGTAGTATGAGCTCTACTCTCCACTCAAACCACGGGTCACGTTAACTAGTAAAACAAGTTCATGGTTTTAAGGGCTTTATCTGTTTCGGGTACACGATTTATTATTCTTTTTCTTCTTTCTTTTCCAGTTGTTTTTTTACTTCTTCATTGTATCATCTCCAGATCCTTTTTTTTTCTTGTTGTTGTTCAACATTATTGTCGACCAAAATTTGTTACTAGCTTTTATAATCATATTCGTTCACGTTTTTTTACACTCATCAAGTGTGTTGTTGCTCTTGTGGAGCAGTCTATGATACCGTCAGTCATGTCTCATCATCATTCTCTTAATCTCTTGTTCCTGCAAAACTTTGCTCATTTGCTCTCCTTTGTTTTCTTCAACTTGATTCGTAATGAAAGTATTTGACATGTAAGTCGTATTCATCTTTTCAATAGCAGAGCATTGCTCAAGAGTTTAAAATGGAACTTTCGATAAATGTCGAAGTTCTCTTGCACACGATTGTATACTTATCAGAAATTTAAACCAAAAGATTTGGGCCGTATGTTGTTAGAAGAAAAACAAAACACAAAATTCACAGATGAAAGAAAATCATCATGGAAACAAACCGAAGAATTTCTACGTTTTCACTCTATTAATTTTGTAATTTTACTTTCTAGTATCTGCCTGAATATTCGAAATTACATCGAACATGGAAAGTACTATTGATATATACGCAAATATTCCATGTTACACATTCTGCCAATTATGGCAAGTATACGGATTCTCCCTTTTATACGAAAAGATTATAACGATGCCTGCAAAATTTATTTTCCTCTTCCAATAGGGTTTTCTTCTTCTTCTTCTCCTCACCAAGCTCCCTTCAATGGCGAACCAAGACCCAACAGTCAGGGTACTTTTCCTCTCGTCTCTCTCTATCTCTCTCTTTTCAGTTTCCAATGGTTTTCTGCGTAAATTTTGCAGACTTGCATACTAAAAGTGGATATAAAGTGTTGTGCCGGTTGCCAAAAGAAAGCCTGCAAAAAGCTAGAGGATCTCCCTGGTAAAAACAAAAAAAAAATTGAGACAGAACCATCATCATTCTTAGTTTTAATAGACATTGAGATTTTAACGCTTTTGTTTCCAATGGATGATACACAGGCGTAAACACAGTCAAGTATGACGCAGGAAAAGGGCTCATGACAGTCGCAGGCGACGTAGATCCGATGGCTTTGCTTCACAAACTTAATAAATGCGGCAAAAAAACAGAGCTTGTCACAGTGAATTACAAGGTTGAGGATCTCATCAGTGATGAAGAAGAAGACGACTCTTCTTCTTCTGGTAACACTGGTTCATATCCTGATCCTGATCCTAGACCCATGGAACTTAAAACCCAAGGAATGACGACGAGGAAGAAGGATGGGATTATAAGAATGTATCTTCTTTTAGGGTGTTTCAGAAGTCAAGCAAAGGCTTTTCAGCCTATCGATGTAAAAAAAATAAAGGAGCAACAGCAAAAACAGCAACAACAGCGGCAAGAGCAAGAACAGCGGCAACAACAGCAACAACAGCGGCAACAACAGCAACAAGGGCAACAACAGCGGCAACAACAATCAACGATGCAACCATATCAACAAGATCCAGGAGGACCACCACCACCAGTGATGCAAAACAATATCGCCAGACAAGCTCCACCTTATTTCATGCGGCGACAAATGATGCCCGATCCTAGGATGATGGCGACCAACCCTGCTATCCATTACTCCGGCCAGTGACTCGAACCGCTTTGATTTACATAGACCACTTAAAAGGCTACTAGCTATGTTGATTGTGTCCTGCCTAAATACTAAGCAAAATAATGTTTTTTTTTTGTTTTTTTTAAGTGGACTTGTCCCTTTTGCCAATTGCTAGCATTGAACATTTCCAATAGCTTAAGGCAAACTTTTAAACACAAAAGAAAAGATGGATTGTTTTTTGAAGTTATTCATGTGTGTGACTCTGCATCTCCGAAATCTGATTCCATCCAACATTTGTATAAGATGAGATTTGTTTGTGTCAAAAAAAAACACGAATCTGTCTTGATTCATAACCCAACTGAGAAAACACAACATCTCTGCCTGTTGCTATTACAAGAATCCTATTATCTCTGGTCGGAGAGTAGTACTCTGTCTTGAGATTTGTCTATTGTGCATCATTGTTATTTCCCCATTTACTGGCTGTTTTCATGGTCGCCCTCCAGATCTTTCAGGTATCCCATGAACATAAGAAACCCGAAAAGGAAGAATCCACCTGAAAAGCTCTCCCCACCGCCTCCGCCACCACCACCACCACCACCATCTCGAGGCGGGAACCCGTTTCCTCCGTCATCAAGCTTTGGGGATTTCTCTGTTCCTCATGTTTAGTAAAAGGCTTTATTATTAGACTTCAGTTGTCAAGATACCAATTAGAATAGCGAAAGAGCCATAGCAAGCCACAATATGAGATGGGAAATATTAGCTCAAGATTCATAACAGATCTCTTATGGTCGTAAGCGTTTCTTATTAGCTAGAAACATATAACAGTGTTCTCAACACGAATGCGTGCATCAATAGAGTCAACAAAAGAGAAGGATGCAACAATTTTACCACGAGTAGGAGCTTGTGTGATTGTTGGTGATTCCCGTGTAACAGTCTGTGTTTGCCCTTGACTGCATTTTGCATTCTGAACAACGACAAAAATAAACCAGAATAAGTAAACAGCGAGATTTTACAAAGAGCATGCCGGAAAATAAACTAGTGAACATGAAAGCAAAAGGATCTTCTCTTGATGAAATAAGTAAATTGGTGACTGATGACATGCAAACCATGAAGTTATCTCGAAAAGCTAAGAGTTAAGAAGACACTCTTAACATACCAAAAGCAACATTACATGCAAAGCCACGAGTAGAACCTACCAGCGCAGCGTTACATGAAAAGACAGATCTTTTGCTCTTAGTGCCGAAACCAAATCCTTTCTTAACAAAGGGATGCACTGCGCCATTCCCAATCGCCTTGAGAGAATGAATTTTTCTCTGGCTCAACGGTCCGAGCTGCATAGAAACTATTGTTTGGTAATAACGCCCATGAAGTTTTCCTGTCACAGAAGATGAGCCTTTAGACTTCAATATTCAATAGAAGGAAGAAAAAATCCAAAGCTTAAACAACCGGACTAAGCAAAGGATCTAATGCTACAACCCTTCAATTCTCACTTCACGAGCAATCCAAACTCAAACTTCAAAACGGAAACAAGCTTATACAATTTCACAGGATTTCAAAGCATCTTTCCTCAAATCCAACCAATTATAAACTTAGTACCAGCAAGCAATCAAGAAACATAAAAGCTGAAGAAGCCAATTCTTCTGTTAAAAGGTTTACAGATGAATCCAACAGTAAACATACCATTAGCTGGAAAATGATTAGAGCAAGGAAGGAGTTGCACCAATGGTTGTGTACCAATGCACAAGGAGGGACTTAACACCGGCATATCTGCAAAAATGGATAAAACAATCAAACCAAAGATTAAACCTTTAGCCAATTTCACACACAGCAGAAATAACGTCCAAAGAAAGGGGCAAAACAGGAAATCAATCTATGGTAGCAAAAAAAGGAAGAAGCGAAAACCAAAGTTACGAGTGCACATATGAAATCGGAGGGTTCATCATTTTTAAATTTCGATTAGTATGTGCCGGGGAAAAGGAGTAAAACCCAGGATTTGGTAGGTGTTTTTTCCAGAAGAATCAGAGAAAAGTAGGGGAAAATCTGGGATTAGGTGGCTACTCGAAGTTTCTCGATCATAGAGGAAGAAAAGCAAATACCTTTTAAGAAAAAAGAGAGGAAAGTAGATCGCACCTGAAGAATTAAACGCGAACAAGAAGAAAAAACGGGACTTTCCTAGGGTTTATGTAAAAGTTCTCGCCCAAATCAATTTAAGCGTTGCTTCTAGTGCAAGAATTATAAATACCTGAGAAAAACACACGACGGAGACGGAAACAATTCTCCGTGTAGGTCGGCTTTTGAACGAAAATATCATATTTTTGTTTACTTATTTGTTAACTTTTTATGAAAAATAAATAGAAAATTTTAATTTTTTTTGGAGTTTTTTTCTTTTCTTTATTTATTTGGTCTTTTTCGAAAGAATTTAATAAGAAATTAAAAAAAGGATGCTGATCGGAAAATTAAAACCCTAATTTCAGCAGATCTTCTTGTGTATTCCAAATCGAAAGCAAACCGTGAATCAGGAGCTTAGAGGGAAATTTCTTACCGGCGGCGAAAATGCTTGGTGGATTGTACGGAGATCTTCCTCCGCCGACCGATGATGAGAAACCCAGCGGAAACTCCTCCGTCTGGTCAAGCAGTAACAAGATGGCTCCAGCTACGCTTCGTAAACCACCGGCTTTTGCTCCGACGCAAACAATCCTGAGACCTCTAAACAAGCCCAAGCCTATCGCATCGCAGTACAAGGCTCCTCCTCCTCCTCCTTCTTCGTCCTCCTCCTCACAATCGGTACTTACTCCGGCGAACGAAGCGGCACCTTCGCAACCGGCATTGGTTGGCGTGACTTCATCGGTGATTGAGGAGTACGATCCAGCGAGGCCTAATGATTACGAGGAGTACAGGAGGGAGAAGAAGAGGAAAGCGATGGAAGCTGAGATGAAGCGAGAGCTGGATAAGAGACGGAAAGAGGAGGAGGAAAAGGAGAAGAGAGAGAGAGAAGAGAGGGAGAAGGAAAGGGAAAGAGAGCGAGAGTACAACAGCGAGTCCAGGCTGAATATCTCCGGCGAGGAAGCGTGGAAGAGACGAGCAGCCATGAGTGGTGGCAGCGGGAAGCGAAGATCCTCGTCTCCGCCGGGGAACGTGGACGGATTCAGCATCGGGAAATCGGAGACGAGTGGGTTAGGAGTTGGGGCGGGCGGGCAGATGACAGCTGCACAGAGGATGATGGCGAAGATGGGTTGGAAGCAGGGACAAGGGCTTGGGAAGTCAGAGCAAGGGATCACGACGCCATTGATGGCTAAGAAGACGGATCGTAGAGCTGGTGTGATTGTGAATGCTAGTGAGAACAAATCGGCGGAGAAGAAGGTCAAGAGTGTGAATATCAATGGAGAACCAACCAAGGTTTTGCTTCTTAGAAACATGGTATGCGTTTCAAAACATCTCATGTGCATTTCTTAGAGTTTAGATTTCTCTTAGGTTAAGTCTGTATCAATATGATGTGCAAAAAAGCCAACATAGAATTGATTGAAACTTGTTCTTGTATGAGGACACACTTTGCTACACAATGATCTTAGAATGGTCTGCTAGAGTTTGGGTGAGAATGATATGCTGTATTCTACCATTTGATGTGGTTTGACTTGATATTGTTGGCGGCATGTTAGATCGATAAACCCAAACTTTTGCTTGATTTACTGAGGATTGTATGTGAGGACACATTGGAATACTGTTGACAAAGATGTCTGTGTGAAACTGCAATTTTGAGTCATGAGCTGCCATGGGAAAGTACTCCTTTTGTGATACTTTGATTCTTTCAAACTATCTTGAAATTTAAAAAGCTTTGGTATTTGTACGATGAAAGTTATTTGTCAGTGGAGCTGTTACTTATGTTAATGTTAGCCTAGTGAACTGCTGCGAGTGTTATAGAATTTTGGTTGCCTGTTCTTTGGAAACAACGTTTCAGATGCAGAAATTACAGAATGTTCCCACTGAATAGGCATTTGGGACTAGCCCAACTTAAGCCCTCGGGGTTGGATTGCTAAATACTATGAGAGTTCATAAATGAAACCTGAGAGCTGGCATGTGATTGAAGGACGTTTTATTGGTTTTAGGATTCTGTAACAACTGTCACATCTTTTACTCGTTTTGATACGTTTCTTGACTAGAATGTCATGGAAATATTGGTATTTGCATCTTCACTTTTGAGTGTCATAACCTTTACCCAGTTACAAACACACCACATCTTGTGTGTTTCTTATCGTTGTTCACCAAAACCAGTACTTTTTTTTGCAGAGATCATATCTTGTTTTTCTCTTATGCATTGAGCTATGCAATTTTCGATTGACCGCATCACCCGTTTTCTGTGCGTGAAATAGGTTGGGCCAGGAGAAGTAGATGATGAGCTAGAAGACGAGGTGGGATCAGAGTGTGGAAAATACGGTACAGTGACTCGTGTACTGATATTCGAGATCACTGAACCGAACTTCCCTACACACGAAGCAGTGAGGATCTTTGTTCAGTTTTCAAGACCCGAGGAAACAACTAAAGCCCTTGTGGACCTCGATGGGCGATTCTTTGGAGGAAGGACCGTTCGTGCCACATTCTACGATGAGATGAAATTCAGTAAGAACGAGCTGGCTCCAGTTCCAGGTGAAATCCCTGGCTATTAACAAAGTCTCTTGAAAGGGAAGAACAGGAAACTACCTTCTCTGTAAGATTCTTGATAGAGAAAGAAACCATAATATTATTTGTAAAGTACTTTAGAAACTTTTGGGATCTATCTGTTTATTGTTGTTCAAAATAGCCTCTTAGTGATCAAGAAATGTTTCATTTTTTTTTAATCATGTTTTTTTACCTTAAAACTGATTTTGCATTTGAATTGATCAATCAAAGACATTTCTTCGATTAAATTGTAAATTGCAGGAGCATGTGAACTTGCTTATTGCTCTCATTGTTTCATGGGCCCTTGTTTCATTAAACATCAAAAGACTAAACGGCCTGACCCGACCCGATTCCAGCTAGTATAAATTGGGCTTTGATGTAATCTCGATTTATAAAGCCCTGATTTTGTGAGCCCAAGTTCGGTATCAAGAAGGAAAAAATACATAGAAAGTTACAAACTTTTTTACTGAGAAGAAGAAACAGTAAAGGTAGTTTCCGGGGTTAATTTGCAATCTAACCATATTTGTGAAAGAATCCACGAATATAGCTATGCTATTCAAAAAATATGAAAAGTAACTATGGCCCACAGAGAAAATACTAAAAAGTCCTTCTGTTTTAAATGAAAACGTATTGATTGTTCGATCATTAGGCTTAAAAAAATAAATAGTATAGTATTTGAAGTTTTAAAAATTCATTCAGGTTTAAAAATAAATAGTATAGTACTTAGGATTTCAATTATAGAATCAGACTATACCTTAATATATATTGTCATACGGTAAGATTAATATAGTATAGTATATGAGTTAATATAATAGTGAGTATAGTATAGTAGTGTAATATGTTAAACAAAGGGTCTTTTGTATATATTATAGAAGATATAGACAATATAATAGCACCCAATTTGATATGGTTATTTTATGAATTTTAGTCATTTATATGGTTATATCAACCAATTTCCCTAGTTTCCGACTATAATCCCTATACACAAAAAAAAGTATCCTAAAAACTTGAAAATTTCTACCAATTAGTTCCAAGATTTTTTCTTCAATTTCAACAGTTATTAAATGGGAAATTGGGTCATATGACCATATTTCCAAGCTAAATTCATAAATTAACCATAGCAAAGTAGGTGCTATAGTATTCTTCATATATTCTACAATATATACAAAATTATCCTTTTTGTTTTTTGTTTAATTTCTTTCCTTTACGATCTTCTCTTCTCTTCTCATCCTTTTTCATTTCCTTTTCTCTGCTCACATCGGTTCATCTCATCTCTCATCTTTCCCTTCCCCTCTCTTTGCTTCCGCTTTCCTCTCCTCCCTTCTCTTTTGTGTTTTTCCTTTCCTTCCTCTTTTTTTTTTGTATATACTATATCAAATTGGACTATTCCATAAAATTATATATAATATAGTATGTAGTATCATATAATATAAGGTTATTTTCGATAATTAATTGTGGGTCATAGTTAGTTTACCAATTTTTCAAATATTATAGCTATATTCCTCGATTGTTTTTCGAATATGGCTATTAAAAAAAAAACCCTTATTAAATGATGTAACATCATTTTTCCACCATAGTTCCAACCATTCCACAGAAGATGTGTTACTGTTTACACCCATACATGTTATTGTGTCAATAAGTATAATCGTTTACAACTGTTGAAATTTGCCATTCAAAGGATTCAAACAACATGGACATCATTGTACGGAATTAATTTGTCCATTTTATACACCGCCCAAAAAAGTTAAAACCACACTGTATCAAACCTGCAGCAAACGGACCGTATCATAAAATATCAAAAGTATTGCTCGTTTTGGTGCTGCACAAAATTCAATGTCCCTAAAGCCCTCAATCATCAGACCTACAATTACATTTTTCAACATCATATAAACTTTAAGTTAAAAAGTTCATTATGGATTATTTCTGACCTATCAAAACGCCCCTTGTGTGTGCATGTAACAGACTTTCACTATCTTTGATGTTATAATAATAATTACAACAAACTACCAAAAATACACACACAACAAACAGAGCAAAAGAAACCAGAGCAGGCATGAAAACTATTCGGGAACCTGAAATTAAATTAGTTGGGTCAAATAATAAATTACAAGAAAATTAAATGAGTCAAACTGACATTTGGCCAATAAGAGATCACTGCTTAACCCAGCAGTTCTTGACTTGTTACTGCTTACCCAAAAAAACGAAATTACTGAAATAGTTATACCCTAGCTTTTAACCTCTCTGGGACTAGGAGGATTAAAATTTATTAACTTTAATTTATTTCTTCTGAATATTTTGAGTGTTGTGAAACAAAAACGAAAGAAAAGACAAAACACAAAAGACAACACAAAGAAAAAAAGTTTTATAATTGCACTTATTGAACTAGCTATCTATTACTCCCTAATTTCCAATCTACATAAAATGTCATATTCAGTAGCTATTCACGACCGGTTCCATCGTATAAGACTCGTAAATATATTTTTCCCCCGCCGACTTCTAAAGTAAGTGACATCATGAGTACTTTCGAATTTCCTTTCGTAACTCAATATATTTATATTTCATCATAACCATATACGTGATATATGGATTGTAATGAAATTAAGGTGATGTATAATTGTAGCAAACACGTATAAAATCTAATTAAACACAAAAAAATGAGTTGCACGAGGGTTTAAAAAACCGTAGCGTACTTAGCGTAGTCCAAATTCAGAAAACGAAAACGCTCGAAGCTGATATACAGACGCATCATCAACGTACCTAACCTAGCATACAATACAAAGCCAAATTCAATTATTTCTCAATTTGGGAAAACATTAAATACACACATGCATATATATATATATATATATATAATATAGATATCTGCTCTAGTGTCATGCCTAGTGGGTCCCAGTGAGCCAGGAATCAGGATAAAACTATGCATGCATGTGCATGTTACTATGTTAGTTAGTATGTGCATACATGGTCATACATCGCTCGGTGACGTATGTGTTGGATGAATGTGGATTAATTGGTCCAGTACAGAGCACAGAAAATTTATACGTTTTCTGGTATTGAGTTTTGGGTCGGCTTCTGGTTTTGATTTTTGAAAAAACATGCATGGCTCCAAAAACTCTGCTATCTACAACAAAGAAAATAAAAATATCCTAACGAAAAGAAAACATTTGATAAAATATGCATTAGAACTTTGTAAGGAAAAGAAAAATCTAGAGTGTACCAGAACTCTTAATGGAGAGTGTATATGGCCAACCAAAGTCAAAACTTCTTTTTACCGTTGTAGGCTTTTGTTACGGATATGTAAAATTCGGTTATCAAAGAAATGCTAGAAAACATGGCGAAACAATATAGTCCATTTTCTTAGAATCTGAAACAGAAAAACATATGATATATAAAGGTTTTTTTTAATTAATTTAACATACAGTTTTTGAAAAAAAGAATTGATGATCTCTACCATTCAAATCGGTCTTTTTTAGTTTTATTAACCGAGTTTAAATTCTGAACTAATACCGAAATGTATAACCTTTCTTTTAATATATTTATGCATATTTACCACGAATATGAATTTAAAAGTATTTATTTACTCAGATTTTCCTGCAGCATATAAGAAAAAATTGAATATTTGCAGTCCGTATAAATTAACTGCACACGAACTCGATTTTCTTGAATATGAATATGTGGCTAGTATTAATTGGTGTAGGAGGATGATGACATCAGCGATGTTGACTAAGAAGTAAAAAGACAGAATCGGGTAAGGCATTTCCTTACACAAAGCCAGATCTGTCCCAAACAGAATCACTTTTGTCTTTTCACCGCTCTCTCTATGCTCTTCTTTTTTTCAAATTTTACCACATAAAAACAAACCTTTTTTTACACGAGCCCGCTTTTTTCATCCCTTTCCGGTCAAATCAACGCCCCCACATTTATTTTTTTCATTTATTGAGTATTCATTTGTAGGTTTCATAGTTAATTGTTCATCATATGTTTCTTTATAGCAAAGTATAGCTCCCGTTTTCAGTAGTTAATTAACGGTTTGATCTGTAGCTAGAAAAAAAATTGAAACTTAAAATTGATCGATCGTAAAAAAAAATTGTAATTAGTTATAAGATGCCTACATATTATTCTACTGGACGTATTTAACGAGCATATGCAAATAATGATTTACTATATTTTACGTATAAATGATTTTTGTAGGTGCAATTATTTACCTATAAAATAACAAATACCAAAAAGACAAATGACTCGTTGACAAAAAAAAAAAAAAAAAAAAAAACAAATGACGTTCACATAAATCGCCTTAGCCATTTTTAGTCCCATATCCAACTATTGAATAAAGAGTGCCGACGAGAATGCAATAATTAAGAGTGCTTTTACGATTGCTCTTTTTTACAATCCAAAACTGCAATTTTTAAAAGCATTATAAAGTAGTATCTAATTACTGTTTCAAAAAAAGAACAACCAAAAGTGAATAGTCTAATGGTGGAATCATTAAACTGGAACAAAACGCGATTTAATTCTAAACAGATGATTAAGATAGTTGTTGTTTAACTTAAATAATTATGTGATCGATATTATCTTGCATAATTATAAAACTATTCCACCACCATTTTACAATTTTGCTGGTTACTAATCACCATTAGTTTAAATAACATACCAAATTATGAAAGAGTTACTAATATGCACATATAAATCTGTCCATATTAACTCCAACGTTTATAGGTTACATATTAGTAACCTCCATTAGTAATTAGACTTAGCCAAAAAAGAAAAGTTCACAGGTTTCTTCTGCCTACAAGTCAAAGAACAGCATCATCATCATGACTAGTTTTCTTGTGATAGATACGATTTCAATTTAATAGTAGATAGCAATAGCATGTAGTAATGATTATAGATCATTTAATGTCAAAGATTTATCCAAATCTAATCTTCTGGATAATTATATATACTTATAGTACACTCCGCATGCATTTCATGTTTTGCATATATAATACACTCACTCATGATTTTTTATTTTTACATTTTATTTTGTTCCCAACTCATACTACATGATAAAAAATACTTTGCATACCCATTAGTGAATAATTAGTTTCTTCGACAAACGCTTTTGTAACCAATAATTTGCACCTGAACAGTGAGAAATGTTGGCTGTACTTATAAGAAAACAATAATTTATCTTATATATGTCATAGTAATAAGTAGAAACCTTACTAACAAAAAAGAAAAACGAAAAAAGTAGAACATCAACAAAAATAACATAAAAGCACAATCTCATAGAAAAATCATGCCATACATAGTGTCATAATTGATTAAGAGACATCATCACATCACATTTGTCCATATTACACATTACATATTGGCCCTCTAATTTCACAAAGCTTAGCCAAAACAGCATTCTAACTTTAATATCTAACATAATTAGACCCCTCTTCTTCTTCTTCTTCTTCAAACGAAGGACCAGTTCACGAGAATAAAAGCCAAGCAGTGATTCGATTCGTTGTCATCAAGAACTTTCCACACCGTCGCTTGCTCATACGAAACTGGTCTCCCCATGCTCGACACACAAATTCCCGCCGGAAGATTCGCATATCCCTGAAGATTCCATCCAAACTTTTAGCATTTTCCAGCAAAACCACACAAAAAAAGACAATTCCTCAGGGGAAAAACAAAAAAGTTAAGCAAGAAAAAAGAAAAAGAAAAAACCTGCTGCATGATCTTAGCAAATTCGGAGCAAAGAGCTTTACGACCAGAGTCATCGAGAGTCTTGTCGAGCATTATATCTTGAAGTGCCACGAGCGTTGTTTCAAGCATGTCTAAACCGGCTTGGTTTGCAAATGTGAATACCGGCGATGCCTGAGAACCAACAAAACCAGAGATTTTTACCTTATCCCAAATTAGCTAATCACCAAACCAAACCCAGCATCTTGTGCTATATTTCTTAAAGAAGAAAAGAGATCTCTTACATTAGTTTTGAGGGAGCAGCACAAGATAGCATCGGAATGGTTCCAGAGTTGTTTAAGCAATGTGTCTCCATCACAAGCTTGAGAATCAGCTCCGAACAGATTTGCACCTGTATGAATGCTGTAACCATTGGAAAAAACAAAAACAAATTAGAAACATTTGATTGATGGATTACTATATGAGATCAAACACATTGTTGTTGCAAGTCCTAAAGATTAAGGTTTTTAAAAGAAGAGTACCTGTAACTACGAGTAATCCAACGGACGAGAGTGAGGGCCTCAGGGGAAGTGGGAAGTTGCATTGAGCCAGGACGAGGGGTAATGGCTAAAGCCACTCTCTGAATCGAACCAACAACATTCCTCACGTACTGTCTCGCCATTGTGGCAACGTTGTCTCTTGAATGGTTATCAAACGTGAACTGGAAGGCTATGGTTAAGACCAATCTTGAGTTTGTTTCTGATTCGGTTTTGGTTGAACCATCTAGAGATGATGCTAGATCCCTTGTTCGATTCGCAGATAGATGATCACTCTGTTACAAAACAAACCAAAAAGAGAATATGATCTTGTTTCAATTTGACCACTCCAGGATATTAAATGTCTATTCAAAAACAGTTTCTTTTTGATACCGGAGTTGTTTTCTGATCGAGCGGTATGACACGGAAACCAGAAGGAAGCAAAGGTGCATCATCAGCAAAAGATTCATCGATAGGGGCAAAGACAAGCTGAGCACAGCCTCCAACCACATTTTCATCAACGCCGCTGCAAAGCTGGAACAAAGCAAAAATCAAAAAAATTCATTACAACAACATATATAGCTTTAAGAATTCAAGAATATATTTAATATGAAGCACACCTGCAGTAAATACATATCCCTGGATAAGCCCATGTCTTCCGGTGAGTATGCATGACCTCCGAGTCTAACCACTTCGAGAAACTGAGAAACAAGTAACCAAAGATCTCTCAGTTCTATGTTCAAAAGAAGAGAGACAACAAGGACAAGGTTCTTCAAATTCTTTTTTACCTCTTCATGTTCGAGCGTCTGTGCGAGAGGAAGAATGACTTGGTTACTCGGGAACCCACCGGTTCTAACGCAAGGAACTGCGAATGGAGTTGCTCTGAGAGATGCGGCAGAGTAGGCATCAACGCCATAGTCTGCCCATTCAGCTCGGTGCTCTCTCAGGAACCGAATCAGTACAAGGGGTGGAACATTCTTCAAGGGGACATACATAAGAGAATGGAGTTAGAAATTCGAATTCTTTTCGTCTATTCATTAATGTTGAATCATGAGATGAGCACCTGCAACAGCATAGAAGCTTTGGCACAGAGAACACCGCTTCCAAAGCTGGGGAGAAACGAGTTGCCGTATTGAGAGCCAGCAAATTTAGCAGAGGAAGAGTTGATCATGATAGTAATGTCCTCTGCTCCATCACTACTCATTGGAGACCATCCATCATCCGCAAAACCATTAACAGCATCATTGAAGCCTCTGAATTTCAAGAAAAAGTAATTAGAACAATGCTCGGGACAGTAAACTAAGCTTATCGAGGAGATATGTATATATATATATATTACCGGCAGAGTCTTTGGCTAAAAGTTCTTAAAACTGCAGGCTGGCGTCCACCACTATACTGAACTTCTCCACTACTCTCTTGAGCAATCTGCCTCACATGCCTCAGAGCCTGAAATGTGATCAAGTAAAACTCAGAAACGCAGAGCCTAAACAGGTCACTGGTGTGGGTCAGGTTTGTGTGGAGAACTTACAGCGACGGTCATTTTCTGAGCAAGAATTTTGGAAGACTCATAGAGAGGTCTCAGGACTTCAGGAACACTTGAAACCTACCAAAGCAAAGAAACTTAGCAATCAAACATAAAAGAGGAAACTCTTAAAGAGACCTGATGTGTGTTAATATCAAATCAAAATGCTTACATCCAAATCAACATGATCAACAATGTGAATAATGGAACCACCACCATCACAAGGACGAATAAGAAACCCGCTTGACAGCATTTTGGCTCTCACGAAGCTTGAAGAGAGTGGACCATTGGGGCCACCAGTTGCAGAAGTAAGTGACTTCTCACAAACCTGAAGGAGAAAAACACATATATAAAGCAAATCTAACAAAAGAGGATTTAAAAAAGAACAAAAATGATTCCTAAGACTCACCACATAGCTTCCATCTTCTAGACTTGTACTATATCTCAGCGTCCAAAAGTCACGAGCTGCTGCTAAAGTTGTCGGAGCATAAATCTGATAACCCACCACTAACAAAAGATCAGAACATTCTTAAAAAGAAATAAACGGAGCAGGATAGATTTATTATGAAACACAGACCTGAGTGTTCACAAGCTCGATAGTACCACCAGTTCCAGTGGGTATTACACTCAGAGTCTCGACACATCGACAGTCACGGAACCAAGATGGACGATCTTTGAGGATTTCAGCAACCTGACACAGTATTTGAAGCTTAGAGTGCTTCCATAAAAAATTCTTATTACAAAACAAGATTTTAGATAAAAAAAAAGAAAACATTCATTACCTTCATGGGTTCTAAACTCACGAGGCCACAGGCACGTGCTGCTATTCCACTGCAGTTGCGTGAAACAGCTACGATGCCAATAGAATCCGGACCAGGCTACATGCAAAAAAACATCAAAAAGATTACTTCTTTCCCACATATAGAGAATCCTTAAAAATATTACAACTTATTTTACCTTCATCCCAATCATCTGAACCCAGTCGACAGCAGTTCCTGTAGCCTTGCAAAGGAACTCCGCCAAGGTCTCCTCCGCAATCGAGAGAAGACTACATGAAAATATTCAAACAAAATCATTTTTAACCTCTTCTTATAAACTAGCTATGAGAAATTCAAGAAACTCACAAAAACAAAACAAGAGCCTTCCTTACCCAGCTGGGTTGTTAGCATCACGTTGAGGATGCTGATGTGTTGGGTTTTGCTGCTGACGTTGCTGACCACTCACGACCACAGACTCGCAGCTGTTGTCTGTGGTCGTCCCAGATGCCTAAGGGACAATACAGAGAACCAGACCAGTCACTTTCTAACAACAGAGGATTCTTAAGGACAAATCACACTTTAAAACGAAAAACTTCCTTACTACTGCATTTAAGCAAAGGATGTAGGGACTTACAGTGTGGATTCGATGTTTCATGAATCCATTCTCGTAAACCAAGTGGGAGACTTGCTTCTGCAAACGGTCGTTCTCTTCCATCAAAAGCTTGTTCATGGCACTCAGCTTTCTGTTCACTGTCTGGAGACGAGCAGATTCTTTCCTCTGCTTCTCTCGACACCTAAAATTCAACAACCAAACAAAAAAACGAAACGTCAAAAGACGTGAACAAAACAGCTGAAGACAAACAATAGTAGTATGAAAAATGTGTAGAATGGTAGACAGTGAACAGAGGAGAGAGCAAAGAAACACCCTTTTTGCTTTAGGAATTATACCAGAATGACATAAAGAACAAAAGATAATGTAATTTCCAACATATTCTCTGCAGAAATATTTTAAAAAATTTGAAGAAAAAAGAGGTGCTTAAAAGCTCATCAAAGACAGTTTGATTAGCTGTCACTACTTTTAGTGTGTCTAACTTTCAACAGTGTCAAAGCCTAAGCGAAAAAGAAACAAACTTCATCGATGTTTTTATAAACAGATCTGAAATTCAAAAGCTTAGAATTGTTGCCATGGAGATCCAAAACCCGAAAAGACACAAAAAAAATTAACCCCCAAAAAAGTAAAAACATTTGTCAGAGAAGAACAGGAGCAATGGAATTAATTAAAGTTCAAAAATCAAAGAAGGAAACATTGTCTTCAAATACAAACAAAAAATAAATAATTTTAATTTCAGAAACAATCAGTCAATATACAAAAAACAGTAAAAAAAAGATTGAGTTTTTGTTTTTCACCTGCGGTTTTGGAACCAAACTTTGATCTGTCGAGGCTCGATGTTGCAGAGAATCGGGCATTCTCGAATGAGCTGTTGTCTTCGGAGAGAGCTAGGTTTAGGACACTCGGCGTAAACTCTCTCGAGAGCTTCGACTTGCTCCGGTGTGTACCTAACGTACTTGCCGGAATCGAATCCCTTATCCGGGGAGTCTCTGTCGTCCATGGAGTGAGCCATCATAATTCCAAGTCGGGAAATCAAAAGAGAGAATAAAAATCGATACTTTAAGTGAAATAATCGAGACCCAGATGGAGGAGAAATGTTAGGGATTGATTTAGACGGGTAAGGCCTCTGAGTGGAGAGAGCCTCCTGCGAAGTTCATGAGGAGAGAGTGTTTGGGGAAAAGAGTTTTGGTTTTCATTTGCTCTTCGAAGAGGAGAAGATGGAAGAAAGTGAAGAAAAAGAGCAAAGCAAGAGAGCTAAGTAGAGAGAGGGGTCTTTCTCTCAGACATCAATCTCGAGATTCTTTGTGAGACAGATAGAGAGAGAGAGAGAAGAGGAAAATACTGAAAAAGTAAATTAAAGATTTTCCGAGAGAGAGAGGACAAGCAAGAACACAACAAGAAGCACTAAACAGGTAAAATATTATTATTTTATTTAAGAAAAAAGGTGAAACTCGAAACGCTGTGAGTAGGTTGTTTTGGTTAAAAGCTTAAGCTGTTCGAGGAAAAAACCAAAACTTGCAAACTTTTTTTTCATTGGAACTCAAAACTCTTTCTCATAAAAAGCTTTATTTTCTATATAGAGCTTAACTTGTGTTAACAGAGTTTTTTTGGAGTAAATATATTGGAACACTATTAAAAGTAGAGAAAAGTATCATATTTAGTAGTATAATGTTATTTTTCTATGATCATTTTTTTTTTAATTTAAATTGTTTTTCGTTGTAATTTTTATAGCTCTTGTAAATACATACATTCGTGAAATGGAAGTCTCTACTTTTAATTATTTTCACATAATTCTCAATAATAATGTGTTTCTGTCATCAACTATTCTTGATTTTAAAGGTTCAAAAACAAAAAAACTATTCTTGATTTAGATGATTAAATGTTAGATGTTGACCAGGGAAAAATGGATTGAAAGTAACTAGATTTGAAAACTTATAGATTCATTCAGACTAGATACATTAGCATTTAATCAAGAAGTAGGATTGAAAGGCTAAACACAATAGATGAGAAAAGCCAACACGCAAAGCTGTCTCTGCAAATACTCAATAAGAATTTGTTAATGCTAAACCACTAAAAATGAAGAATAAGCAAAATCTTTAACACATTTTCAACATAATTGTCAATTTTAAATCGTAAAACGAAAGTGTTGTTGTCAGAAGAAACGGAATTTTGACGAAATTGGGTAATTTGCTAACTTAAGGAAATAAAGCTGTTGTCTTTAAGCTCTGTGACAGTGGCCTACCCAAACATAGCATCAAATTTCCTCTATCTTCTTCCTCTCTTGTCCTAAGATGATGCTAGTGATGAGGTATGTATAGTGATGATGTATGCATGTATGTGCATGTACACATTTCCATGATCGCGTTGTTGTATAAATGTCCATCTTTTGTATCCATTCGGATGATGATGATGCATGAGAAGTATGTACAATGTCACTTCGCGCGTGAGAAGCGTGAATACACAACTACATATCTATATATTTTTGTAAAAAAAATTAACGTTAAGTGTTTTTTGTTTGTTTCTTTAGGTTGTTTTATAAAGTTATGAGAAAATAAATTAAGACAGGTCTGCCTTCGCTGGGGGGTACAACCTGTATTTGGTCTGGTTACAATTTTTCAATTGGTTGGTTACGATTTTTCAATCGGTTGTATCTATTTGTCAAACAATATTTCTTCTGTGAACGTTTTTTTTGGCTTTCTTATTTACTTTGGACATAAGTTTGACTTAACTATAGCGCGATTTATTTTCTCTTATGTGAATAATTTATATACACATTATACAAAATGTATCACCTAGTATGAACGGTTTCGATCAACATAACCCACAAATGAAACTTTTTTTTTGTTTTAATAATTTCTCCACAAATGAAACTGTGTAGCTAATTTTCTTAGATCATTTGCTCTATTATTAGGTTTGTTATTATATGTCACAGAGTTTTAAGTTCATTCTTATGGACTATAGTTATCCATCGGAGTACTCAAATACACGTAGAATCTCAATCTGTTTATTATTATAAATATAATAGCAATACATATGGGCTGCTCCTCCAATGTTTCCGCTTTGATCAGTCAGAAGGTCTTTTGCTCTCACGTTTTACGAGATTCTACAAACACAAGAAGAAAAAAAAGCTAAACATGATACATCCATCAACATATACGACCAAACATCAGATGTATCATTACGAAATACTTTTGCTATCTTGACGAAAATGACATGATCAAAATACATGCATGTTCCTTATCTATTTTATCCATGTCCAGTTGCTCAGTTTGATGTATTTGCCCATGAACCATATGCTCTCCAGCACCCACAAACTAACCGTTACCCTCCATGCAGTGGTGGTATTTGGTTCGGAGTAAATAGCTCAACAGATAAAGACCAAACAGTAAAACAGGGCAATTACAAGTTTACAACAGTTTCCAACGATGGTGGTTTTGGAGATTCGTTGGGAAATAGTTGTGACTACTTGACACAACATTTCTACAAATTAATGCTTACTAACTATGACTAAGATTCGAATATTTATAACAAATTAGTTACAATTTCTGTACAAATAAACAAATTGATTCAAAGTTTAAAGTTTGTCACATATATGTTACAATTTGCGACAATAATTTTGCAACAATTAGATCCAAAAGTTACAATCTTTTGTTGCAAAAGAAATAAAAATAATAGTAAAAGAATTATTGCTGAATTAATAAAAAAACTAATTAGAAAAAAGCAGAATTCAAATACAATAAAACTTATCAATAACATACATTGTAATGTTACAAAGTGTACAAATCCACTGATTATATAATCCGATTACAATATATTCCATTACATAAGTCGATTATATAATACAAAACATTTTTGATATGTATAATTATTGTTAATACATCAAATTTATATACTAAAAGAGTTGAAATGTTGGCACCAATGTATACCGACGAAAAATATGTAATTATAACTATTTATTCTTAAAGTTTTGTATATCTATGAAAAATATGTAGTTATAAATTTATAATTACTTATTCATGTAGTATATGTTTCTGAATAATAAACAAAAAATGCTTCAATAACCAAAAAATTATAATCTACAACTTAATTAATTTCTCTTTTTATCTCTCTTTTTTTTAAGTATCAGCTAATTTCTAAATTATAATTTTTTTGTCATTCAATAAATTCACCCAATAATAAATATTTTTGTAGTTAACAGAAAAAAAAAAGTAATAGTATGTAGTATTAAACATGTGTAAACCATTAACATCTAGACAAAAGGATATATTCATATAAAAAGAAAACAATAAATACGGTAAAAGTGTAAATAAATGAAAGGGATGAAGAAGGTCATGTGAAGTCTCATCATGAGTTCTTACTTTGTGCATGCGCTTCGATTTTCTACATCGCAGATATACCAACTTTACCCCGTCTTTTGCAATTTAATTTGTATTGCGAATTTGCATTATTTTATTAACTAGTAATATTTATTCTTAATCGGAGTAATAAAAATAGACAATGGAGGGTGTTACTAATAAAAAATAAAGCTCTTTCTCAATAAATTCTTCCTTTTTGTTATTAACATACTTTACGTACGACTACGAGAGTATATCTCGCGCCACGAAAAAGCAACATACTCCTAACTCTCTATGGTGTTGACTGTTGAAGTATTTTTGGTGTTTTCATTAATAGTTTCATTATTTAATTGACATCTGTAATTGTCTGTACCTTGTGTTGTTTTGTTTATAGTGTCATGGGCTCTCTTAACAAAACTTGCGACATGTCAAGAACCAAAAGTACTACACATGATCTTTTGTGTTTTTAATTACAAAAGAACTTTATATCTGAATGATCTACTATCGTTTATCAACTTTTATATCTGTAACTTGGATGATCTTACAATAACAAAAATATTTGTAAAAGAAGAAAATTGTATTTTTTTTAATATTAAAATGCGGAATGTCAAACTTTTTGTGACGATATTGATCTCAATCAAAGTCAACACTTGCTTTTTTCTTAACATCATAAAACTTGACCATTCCTGGTTAGTGGTTACGCATAAACGCACACTGCATAGTTACTATATGATAATACATGATACTATTCACCATATACAGTATAGGTCAAGATTTTGGTCAGTAACTTTTTCGCAGCGGTGAAGTTTTTCTTGTTCAGAAAAGATACTATTGAAGAAACATTTGGCTATATTAGAAAAACTAATATACATTCAGATATCTATATTTTGTATATTGCTAAGTCCAATTAGGTTAACCATATATACTAGAGTTTTAGAATTGCATTTTTCCATCGATATTATTCAATGAGATTCGTTTAATTTTCTTCTTTAATCAAATACATGGAGGAAAATACAGGATTCTTCGTTTTATTACCAAAATTTCTCACAACAAAACAATATCAGTAGCATTATTTATTTCTTTACTAAAACTTCATGACATTTCTTTATTCCGCATACCTCCTCGTGGGTTTTATTCTTTTAATCACAAAGTCTAAAAAAACCCCACTTGACGTTTCACCTAATTCCTCCCAAGAACCTATACATTTCTACAAAGATTTGTATATAATAACACTAAAGACGATGATGATCTGAGACCAAAGAGAGCCAAAATGCAACAAAGCTAAAGTAGTATGGACGACCTTTTCTCAAGATGTACCACTAGACGCAGCCACGGCGGATTTATCAGAGCTAAGGTTGGAATTTCCTTCACGGCTGTCTTCGTGACGCTCACCTTCCTTCTTGGCATTGAGAAACCGGCCGCCACATCCTCTTGGCCGTCTTATCGCATGTAAATGACGAGATTCATGCAAATACGGCTGCAAATAGACACACACTCAAGATTCATCCAAACTGAAGTACGGAATCATATTAAGTACAAAGTTCTATTTTATTTTTATTTTTACCTTACGTGACTTGACAACTTTATTCTGAGATTCGAGCTTTGCTCTAGATTGTCTGCGCCTTAGTATCCCGTGGTATTGCTTTGCGTTGACAAAAACAGGCTCCTCGACTACATCAGATGGTAAAGGAACACCTTGTTGCTGCATTCCCATTAACTGTAGATGCACCTGAAAATGATTTGTTATAATTACATTTATCCTGATCAGAAAAAATGGCTAGGACTTAATTGATACAACCATACCCCTGCATAAGGTCGTGGAGGGTAAGCCTGTGTGTCACAAGGCGGTGCAAATATGCTTCTGTAGTAAGGATCTGGATATGGATAGTGTCCAGGCGCCTTCAATGTAAGAACACACGGAATAAAGAAAAACTCTGTTACTTTTATATTGTGTGAGAAGGCATAAAAGGTGATAGTAATGGCGCCAAAAAGTAGTCATTTATAAACTAGTAGGTAAAGGCTACACTAAGAAAGTTCTTTGTTTTACAGAGATAAAGAGAGTTTGCAAATAAGTAAACAAATCATAAAGTTCTGAATCAAATTAGTTTGTGAGTTTTGATCGTGAAGAGATGTTTTTACCATGGAGTGAGGAAGGTGTTCCGAGTAGACTAAGGCTGTGGCAATTGGTTCAGGATTACTTCCTGGAGGTTGGATTTGGATTTGAGAATCTATCTGTTCTTGCTTCTCATGACTTCCAATTTTATCTGGACAAGAATACACCAAACTTAACAAGAGAGCACCACTAAGAATCAGTCAGAGGAATACACCAAATGAAACAGAAACTATGGATCAAGCTTAAGAGGTCAGTAAAGCTAATGGAAGCAGAATAAGGACGAGAGAGAGACAGAGAGCAGAACCAGAAAGCTCATGGATTGAAGAAGTCATGACTCATGAGCTTAATGTCCGAGAGCACAACTCTGAAAGTTCTAAAGAACAAACAACACAGCAGCAGAATAGTCAGTACATGATTAAAGCTACTAAATTAAAAAAAAAATCAGAATTATCAAAATCCCAAAATCCTTCGGAATTTTCCAGAACCAATTCAGAATACAACCACAACCCAACTATACATAACTAAAACCCATAACAAAAAATAAGAAATTAACAAAAGATGATAAACCATAAACAGTATACTAAACTGTAAACAGCAAAAACAAATTTACAGGAAACCAGTCAAAAGCTATCATTTCAAAGACAGGTTGCCAATTTTACCTCTGCAATTCTCTTTGCCTCTTCTTCAAAGTCTCCGAGAAGAAATAATGAATCGAGAGACAGAGAGAGAGGAGAGAGAGGGAGTGTCGTTTTCTTCCCTTCCGCAAGTTATTCCGCAGATTTCAACCCCACACTCCAAGGCGTTCTTTACTATAAGTCAAAAACATCATGCCGTCTTTACGCTTCACGAGTGCGAAAAACTGCGAGGTCTGCAACAACTGGTGCGGAGTCTGCGGACGCAATATCGATCGTACAAGTGGAGAATGAGAGAAGCGTTTCGGATTGCACGTAGCAGATTACGGGCACATCTCAATTTTCTGCCCGAAGTAGCTCACTTACTGATTTAGTCCACGAGTTTCTACGGGTCCCACCTCTACCCAATGCCCGGGATTAAAATATTATGAGTCATCGAAAGCAACCGGTTCCCATTTGTTCGAATTCAAGCGACAAGAACCCAATCTCCGGTTTGGTTTGGCGTAGACTCGGTTCAAATTCACAAAACCAAATTCTTATTCCAATAATTTATTGGAAACCGGGTGATTTATGTTTTATTACACAAATTACATGCTTTTAAGTTTTAACGATTCGAAATTTAGTAGAATATGTTCGTAATATTGATAGATAGCGGAAGCTACGTAACAAAAGTCGGAGCTCGTACTCAAAGGAGAACTTGCAAACAACCTTGGTTCTTGACTCAAGCGAATAGATTGGAAAAGACAAGGAATTAAAAGTACTCTTTTTAGTGCTTGTAAAAGCTCTTAGTTTATTGAAAGTTCAAATTAAAAGGTGTCCTTTACAAAGCTCTTAGAACATCTTTTTATGATAACGAAAGATTATGTTAAATCTTTAGATCATAATCAACAAAAGATTCATAATTATTCTAAAGGTAATAGAAAATCAAAACCCTAAACATAAATAAAAAAATAATAGCAAACACAGAAAAGTCCAAAGCCTAACGTAAGTAATAGCAAATACGGAAGAGCTAGTACTAGCAAACACGGAAAAGCTTGCAATAGAATTATGGAAAAGCTCCTTTACCGTGTTTGAGATGCGCTGCATCAAATATTCGGTAACCTTTGGTTGGATTTATTGCAGCAGCACATGAAAGAAGAATATTATTCTCAACTTTATTAAATGCGTTGCGTCGTTTTCTTGATGTCTCTCATGTCATTACATATTCATAACTGATAAAATCGTTTGTTCTATAAGAATATTCCAACGAATTTAATCTTCTCAAACCAACATCAATTCAATTATTTATTAAGATGCTTAAAATCAATTCAAATACAGCAAAAAAGACATTGAAAAAGAAAAGGTAAAAAAACAAGCTTAATAGACTTCAACGTGCCACTGCTTGTTCTTCCTGAGCTGAGAAAGCTTCAAGTCCCAGCTCTCACCTCTCTCCTCTGCAACTCTCTTGAGCGTATCTTGAATCCCAGGCATCATTCCTTTTAGACCACAGAAGTAAATATGAGCTCCATTGTCCAAAAGCTTGAAGATCTCATCACTGTACTCCTCAATCTTGTCCTGCACGTACATCTTCCCGCCTTTCTTGTTCTTCTCCTCCCTGCTCAACGCCTTATCGAACCTAAAGTTCTCAGGGTGGTCCTTCAAGTACTTGCTAAACTCATCATCATAGAGAAGGCTGTCGGTGTTGGCCACGCCTAAGAAGAGCCAAGCTAAGCCGCCGAATTTGTAGTTCGGGACGTTTTCCATGAACAGTCGACGCAAGTAGCCTCTGTAAGGAGCCACTCCTGTTCCCGTCGCGATCATTATGTGCGTCGCGTTTGGATCTTTCTCTGGTAATAGCATTACCTTCCCCGATGGACCTGGTTTTCGGAATTGTATATTATTAAGTCTAAAAACTCTTATTCCAAGGGGTCTCTACATATATGTGATTTAGTAGGTTATATAGTTTACATACCAGTGATTTGAATCTTGTCTCCGGGCTTTGAATCACATAGGAAGTTGCTGCAGATACCGTTCTTTGAAGGATCTTCTTTCCCAGTCTCGGGATCGTAGTAAACAGCTCTTCGTACACACAAACTCGCTGTCTTACCATCGAAGGAATCTCCATACCTCGTTGATGCAATCGAGTAAAGGCGCACATTGTGTGGAGCTCCTGGTTTCTTCGGGTTCTCACCCTACACAGACAAGATCAAGTTCCATTAATAGACTTGCAAGGATTAAAGAATGATGGTACGAAGTTGAAAACCATATTATAACTTACGGGAGGGATCACACCGTAACTCTGTCCTTCCCAGTAAGGAAGGTTGCCGTCATGATCGATCACGATATGACAAGTTTCTCCAGGAGCTTTAGGCCCCACGACTCGCTCCACGGAGACGATCTTAGCGGTGTAAGAGTCCTTGGGTTTGTACAAGTTCAAAGGAGGCTCCTTGGGATCTTCCAACTCTATAGGAGAGACTAGAACCTTGGAACTACTTGTTTGTTGAACCGACATGCATACTGTTGTGTTTGTGTACCGTTTCGCGTCTCTTATGCTTGTTGTTTTCTGGTTCAATGCCAAGGAAGATGTCCATGATGATGATGATGACTTGCTGTTGAAGCTTATGCTATTGCTCTGCTGCAGAATGACAAAAGCGGCACAGCACAAGGTTTAAGATCAAACTCAAGTTGAATCAAAACGAACACAAACTTCAGGAATCTTTATGTTTTTTTCCCGAGAATTTTATATATATGAAGATCGAAAACTGAGAGACTGGATGAATCACCTTGAAGACGGATCTTCTAAGAGAACGTTCGTTGCCAACTGAAACTGAGACAGCAGCAGCCTGTAGAGAAATTAAAGATCCATCGGATTAAAAAAAATCTCCTCTCATAAGAAATGAAACGAATATTCTGAAGAGTGAAGTCTCTTTCTCTAGTGATTTTCCCGCAAACCCCAATACCAAGAATCAGTAAAGCTAAAATCTTTCATCGAGGAAAACACACAAGCCTAAAACCCAGATCAAGGATCATAAAACCCCAGAACAATAAGTTCAAACAAATTTCCCTCGTTTTCTCCGCAAACAGACAAAGGGAAACATTCAATTGGATCAAATCCCTAAACAAACAGAGAATTCGAAAATCCTCGGCCCAGAATCTCATTAGGTGATCGTTGACTAAAAAAACCATGAAAACAAAAATGCGAAAATCATCTGACCTGAGAAACAGCAGAGTGAGACATTTGTTAATCGATCGGAGAGAGGAACAGTTTCGTCGGAATCTAACTGAAGCAATCAATTCAATGACTGGAAGAAGCTATAATCGATTGAGCAAGATCATGAAATAGGGTTTATAAATACAGTAAGCTACACGATCCTTTGAAACTTCTCAAAGGTCAAGCTTTCTCCCCTCTTTTGGACTCCTCCAACTGACGCCTGTGACAGACATTTATTAATTCATTTTTCTTGCAAAGCTTTTGAATTAATTAATCATAGCTTAATTAAGTAAAAATCATTCAGTGTGAATTTTTCACGGAACCGAACCGAATCATATAGGCAATTTTTTCTCATCCCGAACCAATTTTCTCCGGTTATCTTATACTTTTTCTTCTTCTGAACCAAAACATAGTCGAAAACTAAAATATTAATATTTGCTTTCTACAATAAATGATTCACAATTATGTAGACAACATTTTTTATTTTCATAATCAATTCAGAATAATACTATAGACAAACAAAAAGGTTCTACTTGGATTTGTTGCTTTTCCTTCTCTACTTGGTATCATTGGTATGAACCTGATCACAATTTATAGATGAATTTTGTAATTTCGGGTAACCAAGAAAATAAGCATAAGTTTTATAGTAATTAGTTTAACACAACATTTGCATATCAAATGGCTTAGACAAACAAAAAGGTTCTACTTGGTATCATTGGTATGAACCTGATCACAATTTATAGACGAATTTTGTAATTTCGGGTAACCAAGAAAATAAGCATAAGTTTTATAGTAATCAGTTTAACACATCGTGTTTTAGCATGATGCCAAAGTATAGGTATGGATATTTACAGTTACTATTAGTTCAAGCATGAAAAAGCCGTTTTCTCTATAATATATCTGACTATTAGAATTAGTATATAAATTTTAAATATAGTTCAGGCATAATTACTATTCGGTAATTTTTTAATTATAAATTTTTATTGCACGGGCAAAAATACTAGTTAATTAATATAATAATAATCCTTGTGTTTCTCACCAATCAAAATATTTTATAAATACAAGTCATCTATTTATTTTAAATTTAAATCCATTAAAAATTTAAATATTTTTGTTGTTAATTTTAGTTTTGTTTTTGGCCAAATGCAAGCTTAAATAATAAATAATAGCAAAAATAAAAATTGTTTTAATTTTTACTAAAACTAAACCCAGATAATAAATAATAGCAAAAAAATTGTTTTATTTTGTGCCAAACATAAGCAATAAATATAAGCAAATCAAAAAATTAAAATTTATAGCTACCTGTTTGCATGACACAGACATGTACGATTGAAGAAAATGTAGGTTCAACATCAACTATGCTTTCATGATAACAAATCAAAAAGCTTTATATTATAAGAAGCTCACACATCAGCAAAATTTTGAACAAATAAAAACACAACAATAATACATATCATCAACACAATAATAAAATCAGTTCATTATCTACTGACCCAATAAAAAGCCCAAAATTTACAAAAAAATGAAGGTTGAAAGCAAAAAAGAAGATGCTCAAACCACGACAGCTTGGAGATTCGCACTTCCGGTGGTTACCGAGAACAAATCAATAAGTTTTCGATTATTCTCCTGCGCTACGCCTCACATGAGAGCTTTCCATCTCTCATGGTTTCAATTATTCCGCTGCTTTATCTCCACTTTTGCAGCTTTGCAGCTCGGGCTTCCTCCCAGTCATTCGTGAAAACCTCAATCTCAGCACCATTGACATCAGAAACGCCGGAATCACCTCGGTTTCCTGCTCGGTCTTCACTCAGTTTCTGAGGTTTTAACATGAAAGCAAATTTTCAGGGTTTAAAAAGGAAAACAAAAATTCTTGGGAAAACGAAAATTCTTGGTTTTGATGGAAAAATGAGATTTCCCAATTTTGGCGCGAAAAAGAAATTTCTCAGTTTTGACGGAAAACAAAATTTCCAGGTTATGATGGGCAAACAAAATATCTCGGTTTTGATAGGAAATGCAAATTTTTGGTTTTGGTGGGCAATGCAATTTTTCTGTTTTGATGGATAATGCGATTTCTTGGTTTTCGCTAGAAAATACAATTTCACGGTTTTTACGAAAAATGCAATTTGACGATTTTGGCAAAATAATACAATTTTTCAGTCTTGTTAGAAAAACATGATTTCTCGTTAGACGAGAAAACAAATTATCTCGATTTTGAAGGAAGTAGAGGATTTCTCGGGTTTGGCAGGAATAGGAGATTTTTTAGTTTTTGCGGGAAAGTATAATTTTCAGTTTTAGTAGAAAAACATAATTTCTCAGTTCTAGCGGAAAAATGCAATTTCTCGGGTTTGGTAAGAAAATGTAATTTTCAGTTTGGAGTGAAAACAAAAATTTCAATTTGACGGGAAAACAAAATATCTTGGTTTTGATGGAAAAATATGATTTCTCGGTTTTGATAGGAAATGCAATTTTTCGATTTTGAGGGTAAAATACGATTTTATGGTTTTGATGAGAAATGCAAATTTTGAGTTGGCGGATAATGCGATTTCTTAGTTTTCGTGAGAAAATACGATTTCTTATTTTTCATGGAAAAATACAATTTGACAAGTTTTGCAGAAAATGCAATTTCTCGGCTTGATGGGAAAATGCTTTTTTTTTTGGTTTGGTGGGAATAAGAAATTTCTTGGTTTTGATTTAAAATTCAAATTTTAATTTATTTGATGGATGATGCATTTTTTTTTAGTTTTCGTGGAAAACTGTGATTTCTTAATCTTTGCGGGAAAACACAATTTCTCGTAAGATAATACAATTTTCGGTTTTTACGGAAAAATATAATTTCTCAGTTTTGGTGAGATAACATGAATATTATTTTGACGAGAAAATGAAATTTCTTGTTTTGGCAGAAATAGGCGATTTCTCAGTTTTTGCGGAAAAATGAATTTTTCAATTTTGACGGAAAAATATTTTTTTGATTTTTGCGGGATGATACAAATTTTTGGTTTTGGTGAGAGAACAAGATTTCTCGGTTTTGGCAGAAAACATAGGTTCTCGGGGAAAATATGATTTCTCGATGTTTGCGGAAAATGAAATTTCTTGGTTTTGGTGGAAATAGGCGATTTCTCGGTTTTTGCGGGAAAATAAATTTTTCAATTTTGACGGAAAAATATTTTTTGGTTTGACGAGAAAATAAAATTACAGTTTTTTTAGAAGATGAAATTTGTTGGTGTTAAAATTCCAAGTAACCATAAGTTTACATTAACCAAAATTTAATTATTTAACTTCTGCTAAATCGATATTTTCTATTTAGTTATAAAACAATTGCAATGATATTGATAGGAATGTTATTGATTATAGCTTGGTGGTTTTAGAAACATATATTTATAATAAATATTTGATAAATATATAAATTTTATGATTCAAAATAATTATATTAATGAATAAATCTTTTTTATAAAATTATATTTTGCTTTATATAATTATAAAGAATGATAAAGTTGTAATTTAAAAGATAAATTAGATTATATTTGTTATTAGCATGAAAGTATTTAAATATATATATGTATAGTTAGTTAAGTAAACAAATTTAATAGCAAATTACAATTTCGAAAAATAAAAAAATTACGGATGTACAAGATTTATTCTCATTTAAAAATATAAATACATAACTTAAGGTAATCAAATAAATAAATCTTAATATTTATTTACATTATAAACATAATTTAGTATATTAAAAATACAGGTAAAATTCAGAAAAATATCCCGCAGCGTATCGTGGATAAATACCTACTCAATACAACAATAACCCTTGTGTTTTTTTTGGAGATGACACTTCTGCAAAAAGAATTACTAGTCAAAATATTTTATTAATATAACTCATCTACTTAATCAATTTTTTTAAATTAAACCCATTAAAAACCCAAATACTTTTTTTATTAATCTTTGTTTTATTTTTTACCAAACCCAAGTCCAAATAATTAATAACAGCAAATATAAAAAATTATTTTAATTTTGCCAAACTCAAACTCAAATAATAAAGGGGAAATTGCTGAATAAGACTCAAAACTTCAGTTAAAATACAAAACTAGACCCCCTATTGCATGTTTGACAAAAATAACTCACAGGAGTAGTGAAATTATAATCTTAACCCTTATGACCAAACAAAAAAACGTGAGCCTCAATTACTGTTTTATCACATAGAAGTCTATTCGAGAAGTTAAGTAGACTTCTCATGGAGAAGTCTACTCTCTAATAATATGTTTACAATTAATTTTAAAAATAATAAAAAAATAATTTGATAAAAAAATTAGATACATAACACAAATGTATACTTTTTACACCTTTTAAAAATAAAATTTGACACAAAATAATCAATTTAAATCATAATAGATAAATTAGGATAAAAATCAATACTAAGAGACTTCTCGAGTAGACTTCTCGGTTTCTCTAGTAGACTTCTCGAGTAGACTTCTTGGAGGAGAGTTTAACCTTATGGTATTAACAATAAAGTCTTTCTCTATCTAAAAAACGCTTCTCTCTCTTCTCCCTTCTCTCTGGCCATGAATTTCTTCTCCTTCCTCTCTTGCTATCAATATCCACTCCATCCTCTCTATCTTGCATTCAACCTCCTCTCACTTGCAGGTTATGGTAGTGGTAAGCAAATATGAGCTTTTTTGTTCCTCTTTTTGTTTGTTTTGTGTTCATATTACGAATATGAGCTTATTATTATAGATTTGAGCTTATTGTTGTATATCTAAGTTTATATTTGTAGATCTGAGATTATTATTGTCTAAATTTTATAGATTTTGTTGTAGATCTGAATTTTGTTGCAGATCTAAATTTTTTGTTATTGTTGCAGAGCTGAATTTTGTTGATTTTTTTGCAGATCTGAATGTTATAAATATAGTAGATTATGTTGCAAATATAAATTTTAACATTTCTCTTTTCTTATTGTTGCATATCTGACCTTATTTATATTTATGGTTTTGTTCTATAGATCTCAACAAAGTTCTTGCTTGTCTCTGCCAGATTTAAGTGATTTGAAGGTTCAAAAGTTTAGAATTCTCGAGTAGACTTCTCCATCTCGAGCAGACTTCTCAAGCAGACTTCAGTTGCATACATAGTTTTGAGAGATTTTAGTTTAGTAGTAATTTTTTATGCCAGTTTTAAGATTTGTAATCAGTGATCCTTAAATGTTAGTTTGTTTAGAGAGTTATTTTCTATGTAATGTTGATTTGCATTGAATGTTTTGTATCAAATTTCTAAATTATCTGTGTTTATGTATTTTACAAAATAGACTTCTCCTGTCTCGAGTAGACTTCTTAAAGACATTAATTTTACATAACTTAAAAGTGATTCAGAGGGACATTTCTCCCATATATATCATATAACTTGTGAGCCGAGTAGACTTCTCTTGTCTCCAGTAGACTTCTTGTGTCTCGAGTAGACTTCTAAAAGACATTAATTTTACATAACTTAAAAGTGACTCAGAGTAGGGGTGGGTGCAGATCGGATATCCGGAAATTTTTTAGTATTTGTGGTTTGCTCCGTTTATAACGGATATTTAATTTTATTATTTGATTTGCTCCAGAAATATACGGATATCCGGATTTTCGAATATCCGGAAAATTTACAAGTATATGCGGATATTTGCGGATATTTATGAATATTTATGAATATTTAGTTTGATCTGTTTAATATACATAAAACTGAAAGTACATCAATTTTTATTATAAAACAAAAATTTCATCTAAACTATTAAGTGAAAATAACTAAAAGAAAATATTTTATTTTATAAAAAAAATCTATAAAAAATAAACCTACAAAATTAAGATGAGGAAAAATGATATTTTATATTTAAAAATAATATTAACTATTTGAAACTTTAATATTAAACTTTACTAAAAAACTTTTGTTGATATTTATTTACTAATATAAAATAAAATGTTATTTATTAACATATTTTAAGTGTAAACATATTATTTATTTTTTATAATTAGTTATTTAGTCATTTATTTTATATAATCAAAAGAACAATTAAAAATTTAGGAAGAAGGTTGAGAATATATTAATAAAAATTTATAATATAATTGATATATACATGATAATATATAATAAATTTATAAAGACACGGATCGGATCGGATATCCGGCGTTATCTAAAAACATATTTGTGATTTGCTCCGTTTTGTACGGATACTACATTTTGCTATTTGCTTTGCTCCGAAGCTTTACGGATATCCGAATTTTTCGAATCGGATCGAAGCAAATATCGGTTCGAAGCGGATACAACGGATATTTTGCCCTCCCCTAACTCAGAGGAACATTTCTCCCATTTATATCTCATAACTTGTCAACCGAGTAGACTTCTCTTGTCTCGAGTAGACTTCTGAAGTAGAATTCTCTTGTCTCGAGTAGACTTCTTAAAGACATTAATTTTACATAACTTAAAAATGACACAGAGGGACATTTCTCCCATTTATATCACATAACTTGTCAACCGAGTAGACTTCTCTTGTCTTGAGTAGACTTCTGAAGTAGACTTCTCCTGTCTCGAGTAGACTTCTTAAAGACATTAATTTTACATAAATTAAAAGTGACAACATTTGCTCTCCTTTGCTGTTCGCCCTCCTTTGCCAACATTCACCAAAAGTTCATCATGTGTGCAACCATCTCTTAATAACAACATTCGCCCTGCTTTGCTATTATCCACCTCGAACTGCCACACTGATTCACTCTTAAACCATTCTCCATAAACAACGGGTATGTGAACCATTCTCTGTGAAAAAAAGAACAAAATCCAAACACTGGAATCCTCAATCTCTATGCCATTGACAACGGCAAACACTGGAATCGCCTTTGTTTTCGGCTCGGTCTTCATTCAAATTCTCGGTTTGGACATGAAAGCAAAATTTCATGGTTTGAATAGGAAAACAAATTTTTTTGGGAAAATAAGAATTCTCAGTTTTGACTGGAAATTGAAGTTTCCCTGTTTTAGCACGGAAATAAAATTTCTTGGTTTTGACGAAAAAATGCTATTTCTTGGTTTGTTGTTTTGATGGAAAACAAAATTTATGGGTTATGATGGAAAAACAAAATATTTCGGTTTTGACAGGAAATGCGAATTCTCAGTTTTGATGGGCAATGCAATTTTTCTGTTTTTGAAAACTATAAAAATATCAGTGTCTCTCCAGGAGATGACCCATAAGCTTTTTTATGTTACAAGAAGCTGACACATCAGCAAAAATTTGAACCAGTAAAAACATAACAATAATACATATCATCGACCCAATAATAAAATCAGCTTACTATTTTGTTGATCTATTATAAAATCGAAAGCTTACAAAAAATGGAGGTCGAAAGCAAATGAGGAGATGCTCATACCATCACAGCTTGGAGATTCGTACATCCGGTGGTCACCGAAAACAAATTAGTAACTTTCGGTTATTCTTCGTCGCTAAGCCTCACTAAGATCTTTCCATCTCTCATGGTTTCAATTATTCTGTTGCTTTGTCTCTATTTTCGCAGCTATGCAGCTCGGCCTTCCTCCCAGTCATTCGTGAAAATCTCAGTCTCAGCGCCATTGACATCAGAAACGCCAGAATCGCCTTTGTTTCCAGCTCGGTCTTTGCTCTATTTCTCGGTTTAGATGTGAAAGCAAAATTTAATGGTTTGAAAAGGAAAACAAAAATTATTGGAAAAATATTTTTTTTTTGGTTTTGAAGGAAAAATGCTTTTTTCGGTTTGATGGAAAAATAAATTTTTCGGTTTTGGTGAAAAACAAAATTTCTCGGTTTTAACAAGAAATGCGAATTCTTGGTTTTGATGGGCAACACAATTTTCTGTTTTTGATGGATAATGCGATTTGTTGGTTTTCGCACGAAAATACAATTTTACAATTTTTGCGGGAAAATGCAATTTGACGATTTCGGCAGAAAAATACAATTTCTCAGTTTTGTTAGGAAAACAGGATTTCTCGGTTCGACGAGAAAACAATTTTTCTTGGCTTTGGCGGGAATAGGGAATTTCTCTGTTTTGCCGAGAATAGGAGATTTCTTGGTTTCAGTAGGATAATGTGATTTTCAGTTTTGGTAGCAAAACATAATTTCTCGGTTATGGCGGAAAAAAGCAAATTCTTGTGTTTGGCTGGAAAATGTGAATTTTTTGTTTTGGTGAGAAAAAAATAATTTTGACGGAAAAGTAAAATATCTTAATTTTGACGGAAAAATACGATTTTTTGTTTTGATGGAAAATGCGTCTTTTTAATTTTGACGAATATATGCGATTTCTCAGTTTTCATAGGAAATGCAAATTTTCTGCTTTTGACGGATAATGCGACATCTTTGTTTTCACACGAAAATATGATTTCTTAGTTTTCGAGTGAAATTGCAATTTGTCGATTTTGACAAAAAATGCAATTTTCTCAGTGGGAAAACAAAATTTCTCGGTTTTGACGGGAATAAGCAATTTCTCGGTTTAGATGGGAAATGCAAATTTTCAATTTTTGACAAATAATGTGATTTTTTGGTTTTCGCGGCAAAACACAATTTCTCGGGAGATAATATAATTTGTAGTTTTCACGGAAAACTGTAGTTCATCTGTTTTGGTAGGAAAGCGTGATTCTTGGTTTGACGAGAAAATGATTTTTTTCGTTTTTGCGGGAATAGACGATTTTTCGGGTTTTTGCAGGAAATATTTTTTTCGGTTTTAACGGGAAAATATAATTTTTTTGTTTTTGCAAGAAGATGAAATTTTTTGGTTTTGAGGAAAAAACGTGATTTCTCAATTTTTGCGAAAAAACACAGGTTCTCAATAAACCGAACTAAATAGGCAAAAAATTTCACGGAACCGAACCAAATAGTGTATGCCAAATTAAGTAAAAATCATTCATTGTGTAAAAATTTTCACGGAACCGAACCAAATAGGCAAAATTTTCCCAACCCGAACCAATTTTCTTCGGTTATGTTATATTTTCTGCTTCTGAACCAAACATACTCGAAAACAACATATTTATCTTCATGAGAAAACTAGGGATTCACAATTATATGTTAATATTTGCTTTCTACAACAATGGTTCATAATTATATGTAGACAACATATTTATTTTCATGAGAAAAGTATAGACAAACAAAAAGGTTCTACTTGGATTTGTTTGCTTTTCCTTCTCTACTTGGTATCATTGGTATGAACCAGCTCACAATTAATAGACGAATTTTGTAATTTCGGGTAACCAAGAAAATAAATGAGAGCAGAAGCGACCATCAAGGCGACGCCGGAGAGTCCACACACCAAGCTGCCGATAACCAGCACGTGAGTCATCACGTGATCATTCCGACCTTTTGATGACTTCATTGGAGATTTCACCGCACTAGGCAATGTCGAGCCAGACGGTGACGATGTCGACGTCAGCTCATTTGAAGAAGGGGGTCCGAAGAACGACGTCATCTCCGACGATGACTCTCCCGGATCGTAGTAGTCCTCGAGCCCGTGATCCGACGGTCGTAATTCTCTAGCATAAATGGTCGTCGTTGATTCCAAGATAATGAGCAAGATCATGATTGAGATCAACGGTGGAAACGCAACGGTTTTGTGTGAATCCATTTTTGTGCTTTGGAGAGTTACGAGTTACTACAAGTCTCTCCCGTTAAATGAAAGAATGCTAGTATTTGTATGAAAAATCCGATGAGGACGAGACGGTGCCGTTTTTAAGCTAACCATCCCGTGAACAAACAAAAGGCCCTATCGATTCTCTACAGTGCAAATGTTTATTTATTCCACGTCGACTAAGAACAGTGTCTCTCGACTCTCGCGCTTTGTCTGAATTTGGTTTTTAAAAAACTTCTCGTGAATTTCTTTGTCGGAGATTGGCCCTGAATTTACGGGAATTTAGGCGAATTAATTTGTTACATGTAATATAACGACAACATTCAGAATTCACTTTCAGATTTTGCTTATCTTTAGAGTATTATTATTGAGATATTAGATTAAAGAGAATAGCCGATAGAAGAATGGTTTAGTATAAGATTTATAGAAAACGAATTTGGCGTAACCAGTAAAATAAAAAGTACTGTAAGCATTTACAGTTGAGTGGTATCCAAGGTTTCACTTTGTATAAAGCAAGAACAAAACCTTTATTTTTTGTTTTATTTTTAACCTTTATTCGAGAGACTAGTTGACCAGAAAATATAAGTGACCCAACATAGATTTTCATGAAAAAGCCCATTTAATAATGATGCATTCAGCCCAAATAGTAACCAAATTAAGAAAGTTCTCTTACAGATAAGATAAGGAGATGCTTATGTCGATGCGTTGACACAAATCCCGCGTCTTTTCTCCCAATCTCCTCATCTTCTTCTTCTTCCAACAAACCTTGGACAACGTACACAAGATTCGAGATTCCTAAATTGCCCTTCTCCGGGATGGCTAATTACTCTCGGCCCCACATCTGCCAGTGCTTGAGTCGGCTAGCATCTGTCAAACGGGACGCCGCCGTCATAGTCTACGGCCACCGGAGACGCACTGGCCGAGAGTTCGTCGATGGCGTACTGAGACTCGCCGAAGGACTGAGACGTCTCGGCCTCCGAAACGGCGATGTCGTCTCCATTGCTGCTCTTAACAGGTCAAATGTGTAAATCATATACAAAATCCCATTTTGTTCTATAATTTCAATCTGAACAAAGGAGTTGACTTAGATTGGAAAGTTTGAACCTGAACCATCGAATGTTAGGTTATCAGATTTTAAAGTTTTGTTTTATTGTGTGCTTTCAGTGATTTGTTATTGGAGTGGTTATTGGCTGTTGCATTGGTTGGAGGAATAGTTGCTCCATTGAATTACAGATGGGTCAGTAATCATATTTCAAGGCTTGTTTGAAACTCTGATGATCAATTAGAACTTGTTTTTCTAAATCCAGATCTCGATTTATTGCATCTCTGGTAGTGTGTAAAAGAGAGTTGCTGATAAATCTTGTTATGTTCCTTCTTGGTGGTAACGTATTTGTTACCAAAGTGCAGAGCTTGAAAGAAGCGAAAATGGCAATGATGCTAGTGGAACCCGTGCTCTTGGTTACGGATGAGACCTGTGTCTCGTGGTGCATCGATGTACAGAACATCGATATACCTTCACTGAAATGGCGTGTGTTGATGGAGTCTACTTCAACAGAATTTGCAAACGAACATAACCAATGTATGTTTTTTGTCTATTAAACCAATAAAAAACCAACCGTTATAAGATGGATGCAATCGCGTCCTAATATTTCATGTTACCGAGCAGTTTTGACAACCGAGATGCTTAAACAGCACAAGCTGGTTCCTTCCTTAACGACCTACGCTTGGGCTCCAAATGATGCTGTTGTGATATGCTTCACTTCTGGTACAAGTTACAACATGTTTGATTAATTCTGCTTCCTCCATAATAATCTTGAACCTTACTTGTTCTCTCTGTTTTTTTGTGTTTCTTATTGGCAATATAGGTACAACGGCAAGACCCAAGGGCGTGACGTTAAGCCACTTCGCGTTCATCACTCAGTCTCTAGCCAAGATCGCTATTGTTGGCTACGGTGAAGATGATGTACGCCTTTTTTTACCTCCATTTATGTGTAATATAGAGCTAAATGCTTCTTCTAAGTGAAGGTTTTCTCTTTTTTCTTCTGCAGGTGTATTTGCATACATCACCATTAGTTCATATCGGTGGTTTGTCATCAGCCATGGCTATGCTAATGGTTGGAGCTTGCCATGTTCTGCTTCCCAAGTTTGATGCTGAAACAGCGCTTCAAGTAATGGAACGACACCGTGTGACTTGTTTCATCACCGTCCCAACTATGATGGCTGATCTAATTCGTGTCAACAGGTGAAAAAAGACTAAGTAAACAAATTTCCTCATGAGAAGTTAATACTGGTGTTTATAATTGTTGATGAGCTGAAACTTTTTTTTACTCAAAAGGAAGATGAAAAATGGAGCTCAAAACAACGGTGTGAGAAAGATACTAAATGGAGGTGGATCTTTATCAAGTGAACTCCTAAAAGATGCTACCAAAATCTTCCCAAGGGCAAAACTACTCTCAGCGTATGGTGAGTGAGTCATTGTCATCTTGCTTTGTTTTCACTAATCTTTTTACCCTAAACAGTATCCCATGTTTGGTTTGGTTTTAAAGGGATGACAGAGGCGTGCTCTTCGCTTACCTTCATGACTCTTTATGATCCAACACAAGAGTCCTATAAAGTGACGTCTTCTTCGGTGAATCGATCAGAGCAAGGCACGTGTGTTGGAAAGCCTGCGCCTCATATCGAACTGATGGTTAAGCTCGACGAAAACTCATCGAGGGTCGGGAAAATTCTAACTCGCGGACCACACACAATGGTTGGATATTGGGGTCATCAAGTAGTTCAAGAAAATGTCGCAACATCAGAATCAAGCAGCGATGGAGCTTGGCTTGACACAGGAGATGTCGGTACCATCGATGAGTTTGGTAACTTATGGCTCATAGGTCGGTCCAATGGCCGAATCAAAACTGGAGGCGAGAACGTTTACCCCGAAGAGGTTTACCTTATAACGCAAGAAACTTCTCCCTAAGTTATGCAAATCTTTAACATGTGATTGATGAATCTATCAATGCGCGCATGCAGGTGGAAGCTGTTCTGTTAGAACATCCTGGGATTGTGTCTGCAGTGGTCGTAGGCGTCATTGATGTTCGTCTTGGGGAAATGGTCGTTGCCTGTGTTCGTTTACAAGAGAATTGGATATGGTCTGATGTCGAAAACCATAACCGAGATTTCGAACTCGCACTCAAGCATCATTGTAGAACACAGAGGCTAACCGGGTAACATTTCTTGATAAACTGAAGAAAATGTTCTGATTTTATTTCTTTTTTTTTTGTGTTTTTTTTCCTCTGATAGTTGGTTAATTCATGACAATGTATGAACTTTGGATAGGTTTAAGATTCCGAAGAGGTTTGTCCGATGGGAGAAGCAGTTTCCATTGACAACAACTGGTAAAGTGAAAAGAGATGAAGTTCGAAGAGAAGTCATGTCTCATTTACAAATCTTGACTAGCTCTCTCTGATCCTTATTACATTCTAAGACTTCAGTAAAATCTTTTAGATTTGAATTACTTGTAGAGTTGTTCGATCATTAAACCGCCATTATGGCCCTTCTCACTCCATTCATGAATGAGAACCAAACTGAACAGAACAGATCAAATCTGTATATATTTTTTTTTTGTCATCCAGATGCAGTTAACTTGGTTTAATAGTTTGATTTAACCGGTTAATACACTTGAACATTTTAACAAACTCGATCTCTATTGATTGTAATATGGTAACACTACAATGTAATGTATTTGTATGTCTTGTCCATTTGAAAAGACAAAAGATAGATTCAGCAAGGGGCTTTTTCGTAAAATGCAGAAAGCTTTGTTCTTTAACTCTCCCGCTCCGCTTCCCAAAGCGTTTTGTTAGATCGATTCATCTTCTCGCCGTGCTTCTCCTCATTAGAAATAGAAACCCTAAAGCTTTATTTAGAAGAAGACCCACCATTGAAATTGGACCCACCGATTTTCTCGATAAACTTTTCCACCGGAGCTGGTTTTTGTAAGTCGCTTGCTCTGTCAACTTTTTGCTATGGTCATTTGAGTTTTTTTATATCTTTGTCTAGGTCTCGTCATCTCAATTAGTTTCTAAATTTCGTTTTGATTTTTCTCTGTTTCAGTGATTTTACTTATACTTTCTCTGTTTATTACTGATTCCTGCTCTGTTTCAGGGATTTTCCCGTCTTATATTACTGATACTTTCTCTGTTTCAGAAATTTTGCTGATGGGTGAAGAGGTTATGATTCGTGGTAATGGTAGTAATAGTGTCATCAATGAGACTGAGAATTTGAATGTTGATTTTCTTGAGGATGATGGGTTAACAGTTTCAAGATTTGTTAGTGATTCGGTTACAAGAGGAATGCTAAATGCAGTTGATACCGAGGATGCTGAGAAGATAGCTCAGACAGAAATCGAACTGTCGAGATTGAAGGAAGCTTTGCTCTCGTGTCGTGTGGGTTCTGAAGAAAACGAAACTTCGCATTCTCGTTTGGTTCTTGATGAAGCGTGTAAAGATGAACATGAACGTAGATTGTTGGATCAAAATGTGGAATCTTGTTCTTGTGGTAAGAAAAGCTTGGCACTTGAGAGGACTAAAGAGATTGCTGGTTTGCGCCAGGAGCTAGAGTTGATCTCTAAGCTGCTTTCGTGTCATGAAAATGGAGACATCGAGGCTTTGGAGGACCAAAAGAGAAATGACCTATTGCAACGCAAAATCTCTGGAAGCCTTGGTAATGGTAAGCACATAGGATCTGTCATGTCTAAGCCTGAGAATACAGAGTATTTAAGAGCGTTATCGCGTGAACAGTTGATAAACCATTACAAGAGTGAGATGAATCAGTTGAAAAGAGAGCATGATTATACAATGCAAGAGATGACTGAAGAGTACTTTAGCATCAAGCGAAGGTACTTGAATCTAGAGGTGTGCGGTTCGTTTTCTTCTTTGAAGAAAGACAAGGAGTTTGATGCGCTGCGAAAGAAGATCCCGGACATCATTTCGAAGTTGGATAAGGTTCTGTTGGAAGATGAGGGGAGGAACGTTGCTGATTCCAAGAGACAGCTGGATTCTCTGCTTCTAGAAAACCGTCAACTTAAAGATTCACTTTCAGAGGCTGATCACAAGGTGTCACAGTTGATACGGAAGCTTGAATCAGATGTTGAGGATTTGCATGTGGAAGGTTCCATCTATGAGGATGTATACGGTTCTTTTGTGGGAGAGTTTGTGAAGCAGATTCAGCGTGCAAAAGAAGAGGCTGATTTGGAACATTGTAGTATCAAGAGGGAATCATATGAGCTGACATCTAGAGATCTTGTGGAGAGTGGAGAAGAATCTGAGAGCAAGATTGATCTTGAAGACTCTTGTGTTGAGTCTTACATGGAAGAAGAGAAGGAAAGATTAAAAGAAGAGATTTATTGGCTGGAATGCCTTGTTAAGGAGAAGGAGGATTTAGTTCAGATAATTAAGAATGATTTGGCGACAGAGAGGGAGAAACTTGAGATGATGTCTCATCAGATGAACAATCTTCAGTTTGAGATTGATCAGCAAGCAGAAGTGATTCAAGATAAAGACAAAGAACTGAAAGCTGTTTCTGCTCGCGGTTTGGAGAAGACAGAAGGTTATGAGATGGAGATATCTGAGCTGAGACAGAACCTTGAGTTAGTTAGAAAGAATTTGAAGATAACCGAAAATGAGAAAATGAAGTACGAGCTGAAATTATCATCAACACAAGCAGAGCAACAGATACTTCAGAGTCAGTTTGTATCGACGGTTTTGAGTCTCGCTAAATGGAGTCAAGGTTTCGACAATCTTGAGTGTTTGGTTGCAGAAAAGACGAAAAGGACTAACTCTAGGTATACTCAAATCTCTGTTTGCTTTAAAAGTTTTTTTTCCTTAGACTGATATCTATGCATTTGATTCAGTTAGCATATAAGAAGTTGTTGATTATATAGGTTGAAAAGTATGGAGATCCAAATAAATGATCTTTCAGATGAAGTTGATGAACTCAAGGTGAGAGAATCAATGTACAAGCAACTAATGGAGAAGAAGACTTGTGACCTTTTAAAGGCTGAGACTGAGGTGTGTTTTTGATTATGATGCTGAGCCTTTTTATCGATCGCGATATTCTTTGTAGCATGATCGTCTTTTGTTATCTGCTTGAATCATAGGTTGATCTCCTTGGCGATCAAATCGATTCTCACTTGGACATTCTTGAGAAAATATACATAGCTCTTGATCATTACTCACAAATTCTAAAGCATTACCCTGGCGTAAGCAAATCTCTCTTATACTCGTGTTTATATGAAGCTTGCGTTGTACAATATGATTTAAACAAACTTTTCTATTTACATCTCTCGCAGATTATCGAGATCTTGAAGCTCGTCCGGAGAGAATTAAGAAGAAACTCCAAGAGATAGATTATGAGTCTTCCGACCAAGTCTTCATTTGAATCAGACACATCTCCTTCACACACAAAGTTTCATTGCATTTCTGTTGTCTAAATTCACGTCCCTTGCCAATGTTTTAGATGAGTCTTCTTGTTGAGTAGGTATGTTTAGTAACCAAAGAAGATCATCAAATAACAAGAATTGAGCGTTTACAATGAGATTTTTATGTATAATTGTACAAATGTACCATAAGAGAAAAATATATCACTATGGTATGCTTCAAAGATTCAAGAAACATCGTGTTTGACAAAATAAAGCTATATATGACCCGTTTTAACTTGTTAAGAAGTTCATGGCCAACAATGCTGCCCCAATAGCTGGCTCTACCTGAAGATGCATATCAGTTTTTACTTAATCAGCCCTTGGCAGAGAGAGAGAGAGAGAGAGAGAGAGAGAGAGAGAGAGAGAGAGAGATAATGAACGAGAAGTAGGATCCTGAACCTTTGGAATGATAGTTTGAGCGCCGGGAAAGTATCGGTTGATGCGCTTTGAGACTTCTTTCCCAATGTCCCATTTCCGGTTAGCGTTTAGGACACCACCCACCATTACAACCGGGAAAGAAGCTGTCCCATCTACAACGTAGAGAATCTGACACAATAAGGAACCTGGTGACGAAAACCAAGTCTAATACAACAACAGCTCTGTAATTTCACCTTCGCCACATAAACCAAGTCTCTGTACAACAGCTTTCACGCTTAGAGCTAGATCCTCAGCTGCATCTACCAGGATCTTATCTGAAATTTCATCACCAGCTTCTGCACATGATACAACTTGAGGAACAAGAGCAGCTATACGTGCCCAAGATGGATCGGCGTAAGTCCACCTACATCCAGAAACATTAGACTAGCATTTTGATGTGGTGTTGTGGTTTTCTTCCTAAGAGATAATAAAAAAATGGAAGCACCTCTCTTCATGTCTGAAGTGATGGCTACCAAGAAATTATAGAAACTTTTGAGACCGAGTTTGGAAAAGAAGGTACCCGATGAGTTCATCTGCAGAGGAAAGTCCAAGTGCTTTTAAGATGGTACTTGTAAGCATAGTTTGTTGGCCACGACCATCGTGAGCTCTAATCACCGCCGTTAAGGCCTGTGCAGCAATTCCATAGCCACTGTAAATAATCACATCATCATTCACATAGCTATCGGTTAAAGAATCTACATACATCAACCTGTGATCAGAATTTTGCCTAATGCATCCCTAAAAACCTTATAAGAGGTAAAATTAAAACTAATATCTTTCTGGCAAGATTGAGCTGATGATAAAAGAAAATCAAACCACATGATAGGATGATGTGAAAGCAGAGACTTTGTGATGTGATTTATGAAGAGTTACTTAAACATGACATAAACCAAAGAATAGGAAGAAAAATACCTTCCCCAATCACCTAAGATTGGTCCAGCACCAGATGCCCTAGCCTCCCTGCCATCTTCATCAAAGCCATAGGCTATACATCCTGTACCGGCAATTAGAACACATCCATGGAGCTTCCCCATGGTTCCACTAGCTAAAGCCACTATAGCATCATTCTGAACATATACCTTGACATGACCAGGGAACATCTCCCTGGAAAAAAAAAGCATTATGAGACGAGGGTAAGATCGAGATGACTTAACACATCAAACTCCTGTAAACCATGATTTTACACTTGACACGACTACCACCTTATCCAATTTTCTATCTTTTCCTGGTCTGAGGGATGATTCACACCTGAAACACCTAAGCATACACCACGAACATCTGATTTATCTGAACCCGATTGTACAAGTGCCTCTGAAATAACTTGCTCTAGTGAATCCCTCGCTGCAGTCTCTGCATATACACTATGTACGCTGAGAGTTGACTTGAAAAAGAGTAGAATCTACGTGGTGCCACAACTATATATTACTGCAACCATATCAATAGATTCACATTCCATAAGAACAGAACCAAAAAGGCACACTACATAAGTCAAAAAAGTACTTGTGTTCATGTACATTTTAACCAAATCCAGTTCCAATTTTATGATTAAACGAGAACAAGAATCAGCTAAGCAAATGCCACATTGCACTAGAACTTAGTTAAATTAAAGCTAAAGGACGCCAAACATTCGTTCACAGATGCCTCAAGAGTCAAAATCTACCAACAATTTCTATTGCCCGGAGCTAAAATAGTCGCACTTCAATAAAAGTCCTCCACAACTGAGCAGAAATTCAAAATTGGGGGAGAGTAAGATAAGACGGAACCTCCTACGCTGTTGCGATTGGTGCAACCAGCGACGGATCGACCGAGGATCGGAAGAGGCTCCGGGAAACGATCGCCGTAAGGGAAAAATGGCACGCACACGCACACCGTCGATGTGGCGCCACCGTCGAGGCCCAAGATGACGCCATCTCCGAAGCCGTTCTGGCACGATTCCTCCTCCGTTGATTCTCCTCCATCGGCTTCCAGCTTCCGAAGGTTCCCATTGCTATGTCGATTCCTCATTCTTCATTCACCAACACGGACCTCGGAATCTTCACCGACCCAGATGAGATCAAGGAAGATGGAGAAATGGGTCGTCGGAATTTGAGAGACTTCAGCGGCAATTTAGTGTCTTTTTCCGATCGGAGATCAAGTTTGGGATTCCTTTATTTTTCAAAGAAAGATAGAATCTCAGGCTTGATGGTCAATAGCGGATTTTCACGAATATTTTTAGGGGTTTATCAACGACAAAAGGATAAACAAAATTATAGACAAATCAAATAATAATACAACATTATCTACAACAAATAATAAATTTCGTGATTAATATGTATAGTACCGTGTTTGTTAGTATTTGGAGAAATTTTCATCAAAATTAAGCAGTAATCCATTTGTTTATTATCCAATTAAATGTAAGAGTGAAGAATTGGTTGGATCCAACTTGTAAATGCATTTATTAACAATTGTTTGTACCAAATTTAGCATTTGCATATGAGATAATGTCAATAAATGAAGAAGTAAAACCTATATTTATACGGCTAGAGTCTAGAGAGAAATTATTCACGAACCTATCTTCTGCGCCAAGTAATAACCCTCAAGAGTTTCTACTAAAACATGACATTGACACTCCTTTGAATAAATTTTGAATCTATTTCACTAATTAATATTGTATAACTTATGTATGATTCAAAGATAAAGGATTAACCAAGTGACAAGTTTATAATTGGAAAATATTTGACCCTATTTATCGCAAGTATATTGATTCCACTAGGTCATGTGTTCTCTGCCTAACAGGCTTTGATGAGTGAAACAATACCTACGTTTTGCGTTTGAGCTTGATTTGTCATATAAACAAACATAATTCATGAAATAACGATCCACTTTCTTCGGTCTAGAGAATTTAACAGAAAAGGGAAAAACTCAACATTTATGAAGAAAGAAAAAATCAAAGCTCCTCGTCTTAATTATACAAAGACCAACCCTTGAATACAGATAATAAATTTATAAAAACGTGAAATTTGCTTCATCTTCGTGTGAAATATATAGGTAGCAATTACCATATTTCCCAATTCCGTGACGACGCCTAAAGGCTTCATCGTTCAAGTTTAACCTTTTTAAATGTATTGCTTTCTACATTTAGTAGAGAATGTAAAAAGGTCCAAGGCGACCTGACAAAATCTTTGCAGCAATAATAATCTCGCCCATCTTGTTGGTGCCATGAAAAGACGTAGGACCTTGTTCTAAAGATTCACTCGGAAACGGAGATATTCTCCTAGTTGTCGACCATCGATGTTCCTTGGCGTTTTGTAATACACATATATCAAACTGACTGCCGAAAGCATTAACATAAGCTAGCTTTCCTCTGTAGTTTATCAAATTTGAAGTAGACTCCCCCAAATATATGGTTTTCCTTGAAGGGAAGTTGACAAAACTTAGTCTCTCTGATCTTACGTCAAAGCACACAATCACTGTTTTCTTGTATGGTGCTGGAATCAAAGCGCCATAATACACAAACCCATTGATGCATATTCCTTGTGTTAAAGGGCGATAGTTTTGGATGACGCCTTCAATACGTCTCCATGACCATGAAGGTTTAGTGTTACCTCTTCCAGGTGTTAAAACTAGGTGCTCTTGAACATCCTCCTCGGAATTTGAAACAGTGCTCTTACACATTGCTTTATATTGATCATTAACCGGATCGTACCCCAAGAACTTATAAGCGGCCTTCAAATGATTACCAGGTAAGGTTATGACCTGTCTCGTGCTAGGGTTACATACCACGATATCGTCATGTCCAGATTTGCTACCAAAGAAGGAGATTCATCTTCCTCTTCAGCTTGTGAAGGAGAGAGGTAAAGAAGAACAAACGCTTTTCAGCGTTCTTATCAGTTAACTGACCGTTTCTGAAAGAAATTACAAGTCGTGGAGATGGCGTCGAGAACGACTTAATGAAATCTTTGCTTCGGATGATGGAACACCACGCCTTGGAAACGAATTGGAGCTTCAAAAGAGATTTTACGGGCAATCTAGTGAGAATCTCCAGCGTTAGATCAAGGGGGATCGGATCTATCATCAGACTTGAACCGTCTTTGGGATCGTCCTTGTTATGCTCCTCGCTTTTCATGGTGGTGAGTATTAATTTCCACGTAGCGTTTCTACGTATGTGTGCCTGAGTCTAAGGTAATCTAACTATATATATATATATATTATATATAGAAAATTAATATTAACCGTTGCGGAATAGGAGGTAATCACGTATGTGTGGCTGAGTCTGAGGTGATCTAACTATAACTGATTAACAAGAATGAAACAATTAACAAGACTCAGCCACACATTACCTCCTTGCAAATAGAATCAGAATTAATAAAAAAGGAAACATCTCTTAAAAGAAATTGCAAAGTTGTAGGACACAACACAAAATAACGAAATGACAAGAATCAGTTCCTTTGTTGCTTGACGTAGCATGCAAGATATAGAGTTCCTTTGATGCAATAGAGTTTCAATTTTCTTAACTAAACCACATTGCAACTAAAATAAGCCGTTAGGGCTATAAGTTTGCCTCCAACACAGTTTTCTTCTATCTGAAATCACAGCATATATATGAAAAATTGTCAAGATCAACGAGTTTTTGCAATAGCTAAATTCCACCAAGTCATAATATAAGTAAGTGACCTCAAGAGTTAGAGGAGGCGAGGAGAGACAAGCGAGTTCTTCTAGTTGGGCTAAATCAACATTCTTCGGTAGAAACATTATGATATTAGAAGTAATAGATCGAGCAATCTTAAACAGTGAGTACCTATAGAATCAAGAACCAATAATATTAACAAACATATTGAACACTAGTATAAATCAAAACCGTAACGTAAGAGTCAGATTTATAGATAATAATGTTTACCCGTCTATCGGTTGGAGCATATCCATCTTGAAACTCTCCACTTGGCAATACGTTGGTCCTCCCCATGGTGGTGAAAGAAACAATACATCTCCCTAGTAGCCAAAAAAAACCGATTTGAATCTAGTATAGATATAAGCACCAATAACAAAAAGGGTCAAAAAAATCTAGATTTATACTGATAGAGAGAAGAAGAAGATTACTTTGAGAGATGGAGCTAAATGGATGAAATCACCAACGACAAAATCCACACAGTCAGCAACTCCATAAACCTTTGCGTTGTTCATTGCTATTTTAACTTTTAATGGATCAATGTCGATAGCAATTACAGAAGAACATCTATAAATGAATAATATTGGTTCAGAAAACATCCATATTCATAAACTTCTTGTTTTTGAGTGTGAGAGAGAGATGAAGAATCAAGAAATATAGAGCTTACACTTTAGCAAATTGAATAGTGTTACCACCAACACCTGAGAAGCAATCGATGACCGATTTGCCACGGCATCTCTCAGCTTGTTTGATTGCGATTTCTTCATGAGTCACAGAGTACCATCCTTCTTCATCCATTTGGATCCCTTCGTCATATCTCGAGAAGAGTTCGTAACGTTGAATCCAGTACCTGCTTATCTTAGGATTCGTACCATTTTCTTTCTCTATCTCTGTAAGAACAAACACAAAACAAGAGATAAAGAAGCAGGAAAGTTTACGGATTGAGCTCAGTGCACATTTATTATACCTTTCTTCAAGAGCGATTGATTTTCGATAGTCATTGATCTCGTGTTGTGAGTAAAACAAGTCAACTCCAATTCAATTTATTTCCTGCGTTCCCGACAAAGGAGAGAGAGAGAGAGAGAGAGAGAGAGAGAGAGAGAGAGAGAGAGAGAGAGAGAGAGAGAGAGTGGCTCGAATCTCCCCATATATCGAAATATTCGGGTTTGATATAAAATAAATTGTCAATAATTGATTTTATAACTTTGATTCCCCATCCGGTTTGAAAATAACCGGGCCGATTGAAAGAAACAGATCGACATCGAGACTCACTTAAGGTTAAGAAAACATTGCTACTTCATGAGTCATCATTGAGAATGTTGCGACTTTTGTAGAATATTGTATTCCAAATGTGTATATTAGTTTTGCTCGCTTATTATTGTTTTGCAATTCGCATTGCGATGGAGTTTTATTTGGCTGATACTATATAACAACAACTGTTTTTTTTTCTTTCTAGACTAACTATTGTAACACTTCAATGGCCATGCATTTGCAAATCTTACCTTCACAGCTCAAAGAGTTACTCTTCTCTAGTCTTGGTGCATCTTTCAGTTTACTGCTTTGGACATATCTTCCATTATATAATCATTTTTTTCATATTTTTGGATGCATTAATAAGGTTCTGTGATAGAGAAAGGTTATTTTTGGTTACAGCGAGTTGCACAAAAAAAAAAAGGTACAGTGAATGCAAACTTTCGAGACAAATTTAATTTATTTTCTAAGCGGCATATACCACATCGGAGAAAAAGTAAAGGTGCATGGTCCCTTTTTCTTATTCCTTTACGTTATTAAATTTTTTTTCATTTTCAAAGCAATTAGTATCTGAGAGTGTAACTATATAGAAAGTGGTAGTGGACCTAGTGGTTAATATATATGTTGACTCGTATTTTTAATATGTTGGTTACGAAGTTACATCTTTCGGTTTACTGCCTCCAAACACATCTTCCATTATATAATCATTTTTTCATATTTTTTTAGGGGTTTATCAACGACAAACGAATAAAAAAGAAATAATTAGCTAGGTTATATATTCAGAGCCATGCCAAGTGCCAACATTAACATTCACCATAAACGGTTAAGAATAAAATGCTCTACTTTATGAAAAATGTACACATACTAAGAAGCTAAATTATCAAAACGAATATTAGTTTTTTAAAAATATAATTTTTAGTAAAATTTTTAATCAGTTCAATTTTCAGAATGAAAATGTTCAACTAATATTTTTATATATGAATAAATTAACCAACTCACTCAATATTTTACATGTGATACTTTAGCAAAGATAACATAAGCAAATCATTTATTTTTAATTTAACAGAATCACATCACTTATTTTTTAATGTAACATAACCAATTTAACTTTACTCTAATATATTACTAATTAAGAAAAAAATATTTTTTTTTAGTTACTTAACTGTTAGAAACCCATGGGTTTTAATGTAACATAACCATTTTAACTTTACTCTAATAATATATTACTAATTAAGAAAAAATTATATATATTTTTTATTACTTAACTTTAGAAAGTTAGAAACCCATGGTTTTATTGTAAAGGCCTAGGTTTTTGTAATTTTTAATTACCACGGAGATTAAGTTAAAGTTTAGATTTATATAATTATATTATCTTAAGTATAACTGCAAAACTAATAATAATATGCCCTTAAATATTTTTCAAAAAAATCTGATGCCCTAAACAAGTGTTTCTTTTCTTTACATCTAGACATGGCTCTATTCTATATTGCCTTGGACAAATATGTTCATCCAAAAAAATTGTTGTTACATTTGATTTTCTATAATCTCTTCTATTTCGTTAAAAAAAACAAAGCCATTTTAAACAAAAAAAACACACATGTTTAAGCAAAAGAAAAACCTTTAAAAATGAGTAAGAAAAGTCTACCCTAAGTCTAGGCACGCTCAACGTGAATTTAACACATAGGATTATATTATAATTCACCGGATCGAGACATGTTTTATGGATCATGACATGTGTTATTGGTTTAATCTGGTATCTAGTGGTACGGATTATATCAATTTTAGAATATCTAGACATTTAATTTGTATCCGCATGCGAAATCTAGTTTAACAAGATGCAAGATGCAAGTAAAAGGTGTGAAAAAAAGAAAAAGTATGCAGCTTTTCTATGCAAACAAATATGAACAATGCAAGATTCAAACTCCACGAGGTGTGACTATATGTCAAGATCACCACAAGGCATAGCCACAAAAACATCAAAATTAAAACGAAAGTTACAGTATTAAAATCATGGTCATATATATGCATCATGCACCATTCACCATAATATATGTTCTTTACTTGAAACTACTGATGCAACTAAAGAAGTCGGTATTTCGAAAACTTTTAAAAATATAATAAACTTATACCTGGAAAATGTGTTCGTGTGGATGTATCTAAGATTTGTCTACACTATAAGTCTATAAGCATGATCACAGGATTGAATTTTCTCTTGTGATTCTCACTATAAATCTCAAAAGTTTCCCTCAAGAGTTTCTACTAAAACTATGCAAACAAATATGAACAATGCAAGATTAATTCAAACTCCACGAGGTGTGTGTGACTATGCCAATATCACCACAAGGGCATAGCCCACAATAACATCAAAATTAAAACGCAAGTTAAAGTATTTATTTGGCAATGCCATATAATAATTATATATGTTCTCTGCTCCAGTTTTGTTTTCAAAACTACTGATGCAACTAAAGAAGTCGGAATTTCGAAAACATTTAGAAATATATGAGTTTAAGATTGTCTACACCATTATATGCATGTTACTATGATTCATAGGATTGACTTTTCTCTAGTGATTCTCACTATAAATCTCAAGAGTTTCCCTAATTGATTCTCCGAAGAAAACTTGCCAAGGTTAAGACTTAATTAAGAATAATGACACAACAACTAATACTAATAGTGCTGAAATTGTAGAAGCATTAGAAAGAGAAGGACGTACCTGAGAAACAACAATTGTTGTGACGGAGACAGACAAAAGAACAACTTTGCATGAAAAGATGATATATATACGCTCTGGCCAATCAATAGTGTCCAAGGCGACACAAAACTCTCTAAGCTAGAAAGAATCAGAAAGTCTCTCACAACTCCTACTACTACAACAATCCAAACGCAACCAATAACACTATCGTGTATTGGAAACCAAATGCAGGGAGAGACAGAGAGAAGTCGAAGCTGAGACAGATCATCAAGCACACTCCAGTTTCTTAGTCTAATGAAGTTGAAAAGGTAAGCTAATATTAGATCACATAACCGGATAGTTATAAGACCAAAAGGAATCTTTTGTGAACAACATAACTTGGTTATAACAAGAGAAAGGGTTAAAAATCTGCAATACCTAGATTTCCCTGTTAAGATTCTGTCACCAAAAGATGAGGTTAGCACATTTTCAAGAGAATGTACATTAACAAAAATAAAAAAAAAATACGAACTTACCATTGCTGCTAGACCAATGTCAAAAGTTCCAACATTGCCCTGGTTTGATGTAAAATAAGATAATAAAAAACTACACACAGAGAGTACAATTTAGCTAGAGATGATATACATACCTCCTTGCAAAGACGTCAGATTCTTGGATTAAGGTGAAGATATTATATAACTTGGACACGCTTTTTTTCAAAGGCTGGTTGAAGCAGATTACTGTCTATAGCTTATATGCAGAAACTTGAATTTATCAATGTTTGAGACATAACTCAGTAAGCCTCAATAAAACATATTAATGTTCCTCATCAGTTTGTACAAGACTGAATATCAATCGTGATGTCCCAGCCCATCAATAGCAGAAGATTGAGTTTCTCATTCTTGATTTCCGCATGCCTCATTTGATGTCAGATTGATTCTCCCCATCAATATGCAGAAGACTGAATTATGCATAAGCTTTAAGTTCCCATTGTATGTATCATGCTGTCTCATTCCAGCTACATATAAAGTTAATCACAGAATTTTGAATTTCTCACCGTTGTAACATCTATCTTGCCCATCAAGATATTGTGTATAGTTTAAGCAGAGATTGAAGAATATTACTTTCAGTGACATTTTCCTAAAACAATATCGAATATTGTTGTAATCTTGTTTAAGCAGACTATTGAATAAGCAGACTATTGAATTTCCTAACTTTGGGACATAATCCCCAAATACCATTTCAAAGGCTTGATCTAAGTCAAGCAAGATATAGATTATTGAACATCATCATCTTGTCTGAAGCAGAATATTGAATGATCCGAGCAGAGTATTGAACATCATCATCATGTTGTCCGAAGCAGAGTATTGAATGATTCAGGCAGGTATTGTTTTGAGAAGCCTTACTAAAGAACATTTATTCCGATAAAACAAGCAGAACTATTGAATATCATCATGATGTTGTCTGAAGCAGAATATTGAATGATCCAAGCAGGCATTGTTTGAGAGCTTTACTAAAGAACACATTTATTCCCATCAAATAAACAGAACATTGAATTCGCATGTTATTTGATCCCACCAAGATATAGAATTTAAGCAGACATGTGAATTTTCCCGATCTGGTGTTATTAGAAAGACCTTACCAAAGAATATTCCTTCTTCATCAGAACATTTAGCAGACAATTGAGTTCTTGATCTCCAAAACATCATTAGGCAAGCCTAATAAAAATGTAATTTTCACAGATTATTGAAAACTAACATGCTGTCCCAGCCCAGCAAAGTATATTTAAGCAGACAATTGAATTTAATTTCCATTAGACAAGCTTTCATATCAGGACTTTTGTTCCCCATCGAAACATCATTAGGCAAGCCTAATAAAAGTGTAATTTTCTGCAGATTATTGAAAACTAATAGGCTGTCCCAGCTCAGCAAAGTATCTTTAAGCAGACAACTGAATCAGATATCGACTAAACAAGCCTTTCTTATAGAACATTTGTTTCTCCATCAATAAGCAGAATATTGAAAACTATAATGTTATCCCAAGCGCAGCAAAATATCTCTAAAGCAGACAATTGAATTGAATTTCCATTGAACAAGCCATCATATAATTGTTCCTCCATCAAAATGCAGATAATTGAAGATAATCATGCTGTCCCAGCCCAGCAAAGCAGACAATTGAATTAAATTTCCACTAAAATGCCTTTCTAAAAAGACATTTGTTCCTCCATCAATATGGAGAACATTGAAAACAGACAATTGAGAAGATCTTAGATCAAGAACTCAATATATTGTGGATTTCCCAATCAATCTTATTAGAGAAGCGTTTGTTTAAAGATGCAGATTATTGAACATCATCATCATCATCTTCTCCGAAGCAGAATATTGAATGATCCAAGCAGAGTATTGAACATCACCATCATGTTGTCCGAAGCAGAGTCTTGAATGATCCAAGCAGGCAGTGTTTGAGAAGCTTTACTAAAGAACATTTATTCCCATAATATTTACAGAACATTGAATTCTCATGTGATTTGATCCCACCAAGATATATAATTTAAGCAGACATGTGAATTTTCTCCAACCGTATATTATTAGAAAGACCTCCTTACTAATGAACAATCTTCCTTCATCCGGACATTTAGCAGACAATTGAGTTCTTCATCTCCAAATCATTACGCAAGCCAAGTAAAAGTGATTGTTTTTCCCGCAGATTATTGAAAGCTGTCTTTAAGCAGACATTGAAGTCTATATTTTTACCAAAATATCAAGCTGCCCAGCTCAGCTAGATAGAGAGTTATAGAGAAGTTAATTTCCCAATCTTGTGCAGAAACTGAAGTTTATATTATCACTGTTGTCCCAGCTCAACATTTGTGACAAACCATACTTAAGAACATTTATCTCCTCCTGCTTGTAATAGCCAACATCGGACGATTCAAGACAATTTTCCCAAGTTAGAAACCGGACAAACAACAATCACATAACTCATGTGTTGTCCCTTTCTTTTGGGTTTCAAGAAAATAAAAATCTTGAACGTTGATTTTCTCCATTAGTTTGCAGAAGATTGAAGAATGATCATGCACCAGCCCATGTACATAGCAGAACATTGAATTTCACAAGCCTCATTAAAGGCATACTGATTTTCCTCAAAAATATATGCAGAAGTCTGAATATTTTACCCAACACAGTAAGCTATAAAGCTTATATATTTTATGACTTTGTCCCAACGCAACTATAGTTTGCAGAAAATTGAATTTTTCTTCCATCAATACGCACAATATATAGTGGATTTCCCAATCAATCTCATTAGAGAAGCTTTGTTTAAAGATATGCAGATTATTGAAACAACATCATCATCATGTTGTCTGAAGCAGAATATTGAATGATCCAAGCATGCATTGTTTGAGAGCTTTACTAAAGAACATTTCTTTCCATAAAATTTGCAGAACATTGAATTCTCATGTTATTTCATCCCACCAAGATATAGAATTTAAGCAGACTTGTGAATTTTCCCAATGGAATATGATCAGAAAGACCTTACCAAAGGACATGCTTCCTTCATCAGAACATCTAGCAGAAAATTGAGTTCTTGATCTCCAAAACATCATTACGCACGCCTACTAAAAGTGAGAAATTTCCGCAGATTATTGAAAATTAAGATGCTGTCCCAGCCCAGCAAAGTATCTATAAGCAGACAATTGAATTAGATTTCCAGCAAACAAGCTTTTCTATTAGGACTTTTGTTCCTCCAAGACATCGTTAGGCAAGCTAAACATGCTGTCCCAGCTCAGCAAAGTATCTTTAAGCAGATAATTGAATCAGATATCGACTAAACAAGCCTTTCTTATAGAACATTTGTTTCTCCATCAATAAGCAGAGTATTGAAAACTATAATGTTGTCCCAAGCGCAGCAAAATATCTCTAAAGCAGACAATTGAATTGAATTTCCATTGAACAAGCCATCATATATTTGTTCCTCCATCAAAATGCAGATAATTGAAGATAATCATGCTGTCCCAGCCCAGCAAAGCAGACAATTGAATTGAATTTCCACTAAAATGCCTTTTTAAAAGGACATTTGTTCCTCCATCAATATGGAGAACATTCAAAACAGACAATTGAATTTTCCAAACTTGGAACCGTGTTTATGTAGCTGCCCAGCTCAGCTAGATCGAGAGTTTAAGCAGAGAATTGAATTTCCCAATCTTGTGCAGAAATTGAAGTTTATATAATCAATGTTGTCCCAGCTCAACATTTGTGACAAGACTTACTTAAGAACATTTATCTCCTCCTTGTATTAGCCAACATCGGACGAATTTCCCCAAGTCAGAAACCGGACAAACAACAATATATAATCATGTGTTGTCCCTTTCTTTTGGGTTTCAAGAAAACAAAAATCTTTTAACGAAAGAAAGCAACACTTGAAAGAGTTAAACAGCGCACAATCCTTTTGCTTCGTTGGGTTAAAAAACAAAATCGAAGAAAACATGATCCTTTTAAGAAAACAAAGAACGGTCTTAAAATGGATGGATCGAGAGGGTTTTTGATTTCTAAAATTAAAAATTAAAAATTCGACAAGGGCTTATGATTTACAAAACACAAATAGACAGAAACCCTAATTCGAAAACAACGGAGGTGGAAGGGCTTTTGATTCGCGAAAAAAAGAAACCAGAAATAAATGAAAACCGTAATTTAAAACAACAAAATAAACACAAACCCTAATTCGAAAACAACAGAGGTGAAATCTGAATAGAGGGTTTTGGATTTGCGAAAAAGAAACCCGAAATCTGAAAAGGGGGATTTTGATTTGCAAGAACACAACGGCGAAATTCAAAAAGGGCCGTATCAAAAGAGAGAGTTGCCGATTATACGATATCTTTATCAAATACAAAAGGGAACAAAATTAAACAGACAAAACCTTGCGATGATGTGATAATGACCTTTGGAGAAACTCTGAATCGCCCGCTCCAAAGAAAAAGAAAACGAAGACGAGAGAAAGAAACGAAGATTTTGATAACCGTTAGCAGAAGCACTGCTATTAGATAGCCGTTTGTAGTGGGCTTTATTAAATCGTATTGGGCTTAAATAATAATCATCAGCCCATACTTTTCCTTTTTCTTATTAACAACAAATTTGTTTTCTTTTTTCCAAAAAATAATAGTGAGATGTAATCATGTAAACAACTTATACAATACCTGTCTAATGTGATATTTGGATGTATTTAAGATTATCTTACACCATTATAAGCATGTTATTATGATTCAGAGGATTGACTTTTCACTCATGGTCTGAGTCTCACAATAAATCTTCCAACAAAGCTTGCTAACGTTAAGAATTATGCATTGCATCGCATATTATTCCCATGAGATTGAATCAACGATATACAATTTATTCAAAACGGTTTGTAGCTTACGGTGAAATATTTTGGAACTTGCTTTGAGATTTTTGGGTTATAGAAAAAAAAAGTGACGAAGAACCATAAAATTAACATTTTCATACACTATAAGAGCAAAAAACAAAGGAACACACCAAAGTCAATTTCTCTATTGCCTAATGCAGAAAGATAAATAAATAGTTCCTTTGATGTAATGATATACTTGCAAATTTTTCAACTGCAACAAAAATAAGCCGTAATGGCTTTAAGTTTGCCTCCAACACAGTTTTCTTCTATCTGAAATCACACAGCATATCAAACACAAAATTGTTAAAGAAAAGAGTTTTGAATAAATTAGCTCCTCAAAATTCACAATGGAGAGTGTTGCGTTACGTAAGTAACCTCAAGAGTTAGGGGAGGCGAGGAGAGCCAAGCGAGTTCTTCGAGTTGTGCTAAATCAACATTTCGCGGTAGAAACATTATGATGTTAGGCGTAATCGACTGAGCAATCTGAAACAATGTGTACCTTACACAAAAACAAAATAGTGTGGATTTCAATTAGTATACTGAACTCAGTTCTACAATCAAATCAATCTAATGTTACCCGTCTCTCGGTTGCAGCATATCCATTGTGTAGCTCTCGACTTTGTTATACATTGGTCCTCCCCATGGTGGCGATAGAAACAATACATCTCCCTAGCAACAACAGCAACAAAGTTGATATTAGCACAAGAACAAAAAGAGCCACAAGAATCTCTATGTATTTGCAGATAAAACTGATAGAAGAAGAAGAAGATTACTTTGAGTGATGGAGCTAATTGGATGAAATCACCAACGACAAAATCCACACGATCAGCAACTCCATAAACCTTTGCGTTGTTCATTGCCAGTTCTACTTTTACCGGATCAATGTCGATAGCAATTACAGAAGAACATCTAATTTTTTTTTTCACAAAAAAGAAACAAAACTGTTTCAGAAAAACATGACAGAACCATGACTTGTTGTCTTGTTTTTTTTTGAGAGAGAGAGAGAGCTTACTAACACTTTAGCGAATTGGATAGTGTTACCACCAACGCCTGAGAAGCAGTCAATCACCACTTTGCCACGACATCTCTCTGCTTGTTTGATTGCGATTTCTTCGGGAGTCACAGAGAACCATCCTTCCTCATCCATCTCGATGCCTTCGTCATACCTCGAGAAGAGATCGTAACGTTGGATCCAGTACTTTTTCACCTTAGGACTCGTACCATTTTCTTGCTCTCCCGATGAACTTATCACTGAGTCAAAGATGGAGATTATCAAGAAGAATAGACTCAATTAGGGTTTTTCATCAGAGGAAGGAAACAAAATTCAATAAAACTGGATTAAGCGATAGAAAGTCAAACGGATTGAGCAGCGACTATTTACCTTTCTCCAAGCGGGATCGTTTCTTGCGCTTCATCGGTCTCGGTGTTGTTAACTCGTGAGTCAAAGAGTCAACTCGAGTTTCAACGCCGATGGGTGAACAGAGAGACCCGGAAATCGAATAAACATTCGGTTTTGGTATTATTGGAATAATTAATAAACCTTGTTTTTCGACCGGTTTAGAAAAAACCGGAATTAGAGAGATCGGGAACCCGCTTTTTAATGGGCCCTTGCCGATATTGGATCACAAATTTGACATTTGTTTAATTTTCATGGTCATCATGCCATATCTTTGTCTTTACTGCTCAAAGAGTAATTACTCTTCTCCCTTTGAGTTTACTGCCTCTAAAAAAACATTTTCCGTTATTAAAACTGATTGAGAAAAGAAGAAGAAGAAGATTACTTTGAGAGATGGAGCTAATTTGGTAAACTCACTAACGACAAAATTTAACTATCTTTTGTGGTGGACCGCAAATTCAGGCGCAAAACCGGTAGGAACAAAACAGAGTCTATGTTTTAGAAGGTAGCTTAATCAACACTTAAGTATTCTCAGGCAAAAAGTCAATGGCTGCGTCTGAGTGTATATCTCGTGAAAAACAGATCTTGCATTGCGATTTCTAATATAATATTCTAGAATAAATTTGATACGAAAAGGGCATTTTCAAAATTAGTTTATTCTCTTTGTCAAGATCAAAAGGAAACAGAGTGACGATTCTTGTGAGTATCACTTATTTAAGGGCCTAAGCAAGCTTGTGTTGGGGATCAGATCATGCTCTGGAGGTTTCAGGAGCTCCAACGAGGCGCGTCCGGATCTGCGAAGAACAAATTAATTGCGAGAGAGATCGAGAATATGTTGAGAAAAAAAGAAGAAAAGACCAAAACCTGGGGAAGCTTCTTTCTGAAGGCAACGTCTAGGCGTGCGTCTAAAGTGTTCTCGCAGACGATCTTTCCGTCTTGAGATGCTAGAACCACTCCTCCCGAGCTTCACCATTCGGATCACACCATCATTGTTCATATGGATAGAAAGAGAGAGAGGTCAATGAAAAAAACGATGAAAGAAAGAAGTTTACCAGTGAAGGTCATGGGAATCAGGGAGCTTAGGGTTAGGAGGGGGAGGGAGGAAGACTTTGTCGTCGATGGTGATCTTAGGAGGCCCGACTTTGGCTTTCTCTGCATACTGTTTCTTAACATCCTCTATGACCGTTTCAACAACCCTCTTGTCCATCTCTCTGCATCTAAGAAGCACCTGTGGCTCTTTCAGCCGCAGCAAACTCTTGACGTACAAGAAACAGTGATAACCGTAAGAACTTTTCGAAAAGGATGATTATTAAAGATGATAACTTGGGAAGCAAGATGTGTATCTTTCTTCGCAAGTTATCTCCAAATAATGATTGATAGATGGGTAGATACCTCAAGGATGAGACCCTTGAGAAGCTTTTTGTATGCGTTCTTGTCGTTGGAGACACGAAGAAGGTCTTTAGCTGCAGAGTCTTTCATGGAGGTGACAACGTCATCTTGTGCTTGAAGGTACTTAATCCTACTTGCATTCAGCTGCGTAGAGTAGTCGCTGAAGAAGACATCAAATGGAATCAATTTGAAGCCTGAAAAAAAAAGCGATGGGAGGAGGAAGAAGATGAAAAAGAAGAAGCTTACATGCGCTTGCGGATATCGACTTGCTTGAGCTTGCGGTCATACTCTTGACGCAGCTTACGCTTGGCACTCTCGAGAAGCTGAAGTCTCTCGATGTTGAATTCTTCCTCAGCGGAGATTGAGATCTCGTTAGCTTTTTCTTCCGCCTCTTGCCGGATGAACCGGACCATCTGCTGTATCTGCTTTGACACATCCGCGTCGTTCATCTCTCTCTTTCTCTTTCTCTCTCTCACACACACACAAAAGAATAATCAACCTACTCTTATTATTCTCTTTTATCAACTCTTGTGAGATGAGGAGTTAGTCCCCGCTTTTTGGTGCCAAATCTTCGTTTTTGTGGACCATTGACTCTTTCTTCACATCAAAACACTGCTATTTTTGGATTATTTTCATGTGACTATTTTCATTTGAATCTATAGTAGTATATGTTTCTTTTTAAAGCATTATGCAAATCAGTGTTGTTTAATGCTTGAAGCTGACTTTTTTGTGTGTGTGTGTGTGTTTGTTTTCATGATGGTGTTTTTGATGAATGTAGATTGTCTTAGTATAATCGCGGGAAGAATTCATTTTTTTTTCTGGTTTCTTTGATGCATTAGTGTAATCAATATAATATTATAAGCTGATGCGTGCATAATCTTTGGTATGGTCATAGCTATCCCATAACAGCAAAAGGCAGCTCACGTGATAGACACACAGCATGAGTCATGTGATATTGATATATATGCTAATCACAAAAGTCAAATACATTAATATTTCCATCTTTTGAATGATTCATAAGTTTGAGTTGGTAAATCTTATTTACAAAGAGTATAAGAACATTTCTTCAGCTCTGTAATATTCCTTTTCTTCCTTTTTGGGTATATTCCCTTTGCACAAACGGATATTTGTTTGTTTCTAGTGGATTTCCTCAGATAAATCTGAATTTCTTATATAAATTGTTCTGTCATGGTTAGTTAGTTCTGGTTTAACCGTATGTGCGTACATGTTGTGAAGTTTAAACTAGAAAAAGTGGGAGGATAGTAAACTGAAGCATATGAGCCAAAAAGTCAAACAAATAAAATACATCAAAAGAGCTAAAGATTCAAGTAATTTAAGTTAGTCATTCTCACGTTCTTAATCTTTTTTAAGTAGTGCTTTTTTCCTTCCATATATTTCCAAGCATTAAGTTGCACAAAACCAGAGAGAAAGAGGGATTTGGATTTTCAAAGGTCATTCAAATTCTTTATTGAAATATTTAGTTTTGTTTTTGCTGTTTGTAAGAGATGATTGCTCTTAAATCGTCTCGTTGGTTCTGTGCTTTGACTTTCTTGTCTTAATCTCTCGTTTCAGGTTTTGGTCACGTAAGGGAGAAGGTAAAGAAAGCAATGGCGTCTTGGACTTCATCTGAGTTTCTCTATGTAGAGATAAAACCACCAGGTATACATTTCCTGGAACGTTTTAAGCGTTCAGGGAAACTCTCTTTCAAGCAATATCAAGCAATGGTCTTTGTCTTGACCTTCATCGCCTATATTGCCTTCCACGCAACTCGAAAGCCTAACAGCATCGTCAAAGGAACGCTCTCAAAACCATCAACGGGACACTTCAAGGCCACGGACCAAGGCGGATGGGCTCCTTTCGATGGTCCGGACGGTACAGCTTTGCTTGGACAGATCGATTTGGCTTTCCTCTCCGTTTACGCCGTTGGAATGTTCGTCGCGGGTCATTTAGGGGATCGTTTGGACCTCAGGACGTTTCTGACGATAGGTATGATCGGGACAGGAGTGTTCACCGCTCTGTTTGGTGTTGCCTTTTGGGCCAATATCCATAGTTTCTACTATTTCTTAGCCATCCAGACATTAGCAGGATGGTTTCAGTCTATCGGATGGCCTTGTGTGGTTGCGGTTTTGGGGAATTGGTTCGATAAGAAGAGGAGAGGTGTGATCATGGGTGTGTGGAGTGCTCACACATCAATAGGGAACATCATTGGGTCTTTGATAGCAACCGGACTCTTGAAATTCGGTTGGGGATGGTCTTTTGTTGGTCCGGCTCTTCTCATCACGTTTCTTGGCGTTGTGGTTTACATGTTCTTGCCTGTGAACCCTCCCGCTGTTGACGCTGAGAGAAATGGAACTGAAGTTGATTCCACAATGATACTCGGTGACACCATTACTGAGAGCTTCTTGAGCTCTAGGATGAGTACTGGATTCGACAGAAGAGCTGTTGGGTTCTTAGCCGCTTGGAAGATCCCTGGAGTTGCTCCTTTTGCCTTCTGCCTCTTCTTTACCAAATTGGTCTCTTACACTTTCCTCTATTGGCTTCCTTTCTATGTGAGCCAGACTGAGATAGGAGGAGAGCACTTGTCACAAGAGACATCGGGAAACTTGTCGACGCTCTTCGATGTTGGAGGCGTGGTTGGAGGAATCTTAGCCGGATACTTCTCTGATCAGCTCGACGGGAGAGCAATCACAGCCGGAGGATTCATCTACTTGACGATCCCAGCTCTGTTCCTCTACAGAACCTACGGTCATGTCTCGATGACAATCAATATCATCCTCATGTTCACGGCTGGAGTGTTCGTTAATGGACCTTACGCTCTGATCACAACCGCGGTTGCAGCTGATCTCGGTACTCACAAGTCGCTTAAAGGCAATGCGAGGGCTTTGGCTACAGTCACAGCTATTATAGATGGAACAGGATCAGTTGGTGCAGCCATTGGACCTGTTCTTACGGGTTACATCGCTGCGATTAGTTGGGATGCTGTGTTTTACATGTTGATGACTGCTGCGTTGATCTCTGGACTGTTGCTTACTCAGCTTATTATAACAGAAGTGAAAACTTTGTTGTATGGATCATCTGAAGTTGATGAAGTTGCTGCTTCTTCTGAACCAAGACCTCCCATTGATGTCCTCATATGATAATGATATCGATCACTTTGTTTTTTGGTTTTCTTTAATTGTTTTTTTTTATATATAATTTGAGTTTTATTGTCTTGTTGACTTCGTTCTTTTGGTGTTTTTAATATCTTTTTGTGTTTTAAGTTTTGTATGAAAACAAACTTAGGCCTTCTGGTTTTATTGTGTCCTCAATTGCTTATGAAACAAGTAACCTAACCCAAAGAGGATAACTTCCTGTAGAAGTTGTGTTTTTTACGGATTAATCTTTGTGAAAACGATAAAGATCTTTAAAAACAAACAATATGAGCCAATTGCAATACATAATGGCATACAAACAAAATATCTTCTAACTTCAAATTTTGTTGGAGTAAATAATCATTTTCCTAAAATCCCCAAACATGAAAATCAGAGAAATTTACTATTCCAAAACCGAAAAACAAGAAGTTATCCACAAACTTGGGTCACACAGAAGCTTTCATATTAAAAGTAACCCTACACTCTAAAATGGGCTTTGTTCCAATCCTCTCAAGGATTCTTTCTTGTAACTTCTGGTTTCGGTTCATTTGACTTTCATTTTTTTCTAATTCCATTCTATAGCTTCATCATAATAGGAGCACACATTTTTTTTCATTAGAACAAAATTGAAAAATCTCAATAATGAACACGTCAAAATTTCCATGTATTTATCCGAGTTTTTGTAATTTGGAAACCAGTCTTAACTTTTATTTTTACACGTTTAAAAGTTAGACTGGTTTAAAATGTTTGTCGTTTAGAAAAAGAAAAAAAAAAAAAAAAGAGGGACAAGCACACAGTTATAATAAAATTAAAAAATAAACAGATCTGTGAATATGATATGTGAACAAATGTTTTTTTCCCCTCTAGTAAGTACTTCTAGGGACGGTACGGACCAAGTATATATGAAAAGACCAAAGAGACCTTAATATGTCTCGAAGCATACGTTGGTTGAGATAAGGGTAATATTGACATTTTAAAGGAAGGGTTATTAATGAATGCTGATTATCTACCGGACAGGTGCATGTGACCCACTTCCCTATTATTGCCACCGCTCTTATCTTTTGTTTATTTTTCCTTTTCTTTTTTTGACAATTATTTTTCTTTTCTTTTGCTTGAAAATTATTTTTGTGTCCGACCGAGAATGTTAAGAAAAAGGAGAATTATTTCTATGTCCGATGTTTTCTTGCAACTTCTTCCAAAAGAAAACACCTTTTATGTGTATTGCAAAATTGTTATTTTCTGACGACAAAATGATATTATATTTTATAGTAATTCTCAAGATGCATATAGTTTATTGTATTTTACATTGCGAAACACTCCAAAATATACGGGTTTTTAGCTATAATTATTAGTAATTATTAAATGAGTGCTATCAATTTCAAAGTGACAAGAACAGAGATGGGATGGTACTTGACTTCTTGGATGAAGGGAACAAACAAGCAGCAAACAAAGATTAAACTTTTATAATAAAAAGGAGCAAAAAAGAATTACTTTTCTATTTTTTTGTCGTCGAATTACTTTTTCTATAATTTGAAAAAGAAAACAAATAGTATTCAAGGAAAGGTTTATTATTCTTTCTATCTTCTTTTCCTATCTGTTCCAACAAACAACCCATGTTCATAATTTCTTCTCCAGATAAACCCTCTTAAGCTTTTCAGTTTCTCCTCACAAAAAGTTTCCTCATTTGTTTGAAACCCAGATCTTTTTTCTTCTTTGTTCTTCATTTTCTTCTGTTTGATTCCATCTCCATTTTTGGTCTTTTGCTTTTTCACTGAAAAGAATCCTACTTTGTACTTCCTGTGGGCTCTTCTGGGTTGTATTCCAGATCTAGCAGCTTATTAAATTTTTTACTAGAAAAAAGGTTGGGAATTTTCGTTGTTTTGCTGACTTTGCGTTCCTTTCTTGAAAAGAAAACTTCAGCATTTTAGGATTGATTTGCTTAAAAAAGCTGTTGATTTCTTCTTGAAAGACAGAGAAAAAAAAATTCCTTCTTTGAGACTCGTTGTGTTCCTCTTGCAGCTTCTCTGAAATTCTCCGGTGGACTCTTATCAACAAAGAAGAGTAGAAACCAAAGTTCATACATTTGGGACATTTATGTTTCTTGGAGGAGCTTATATAAGGTGTAGCTGAAAAAGTTTCTGGAAAAAGTTGATAGATTTACTGGGTGATTCTAGGGTTCTTTGAGTGGCTATGTCGAAGCTGAGGAAAAAGTTTCTGGAACTTCTTCTTTGCGTATTGATTTTCCTCACTTGTGTTGTTGGCTATGGAGAAGCTCAGGCAAAGAGTTTCCTTGTCGATTGTGGCTCAAACACTTCAACGAAAGCAGACGGAAGGATTTGGGTTGGAGATTTGTCTCCAAACAACAGTTTAACCCTTAGCTCAACAGGATTTGAAGCCACTGCATCGACACCGTTAAAAAGCTCTGCCTTTTCCGAGATTTACAAGTCCGCTCGTGTTTTCACGACGACGTTAAACTATACATTCTCTGGTACAGCTCAAGGAAGTGTCTTTCTTAGGCTCCATTTCAGCCCTTTCGCCATCGAGAACCACAATGTGAACGAGTCTTCTTTCAGCGTGTACGCGAATGGCCTTAGGCTGATGCGTGACATCAACATCCCTGGAGAAATCGCTCATAAAAACCTCATCTTGCTAAGCTCCGGCCACAATTCCACAGCCTCTGCTCTGGTTAAAGAGTTTCTGTTACCCATCGGACCGGAAAAACTGTTTTTAGGATTCATCCCGGAGAAAGGATCGTTTGGGTTTGTCAATGCTATTGAGATTGTTCCTGTTGTTGACAAGCTTTTCAAAGAACCTGTTGCTAAAGTTGGTGGAAGCGAAGTGGAGCTTGGTTTGAGCGGACGTGGGATGGAAACTATGTACAGGCTTAACGTTGGTGGTCCAAAGCTAGGTCCAAGCCAAGATCAAGAACTTGAGCTGTATCGGACATGGGAAACAGACTCAAGCTACATGGTGATCGAAAACGCAGGCGTGGAGGTCAAGAACAGCTCGAACATCACGTATGCTTCCGCTAATGACTCGCCTGTGGCTCCTCTTGTTGTCTATGAAACCGCTAGGACGATGTCAAACACAGAGGTCTTGGAGAAACGATTCAACATTTCTTGGAAATTCGAAGTGGATCCAAATTTTGATTACTTGGTTAGGCTTCATTTCTGCGAGCTGGTTGTTGATAAGCAGAACCAGAGGATATTCAGGATTTACATCAACAACCAGACCGCTGCTGGTAACTTCGACATATATGCTCACGCGGGAGGGAAGAACAAAGCTATCTATCAAGATTACTTCGATCCCGTCTCTTCCAAGAACGACATCCTCTGGATTCAGCTCGGACCTGACACATCCGTTGGTGCTTCTGGAACCGATGCTCTTCTGAGTGGTCTTGAGATTTTCAAGCTCAACAAAGATGGGAACCTTGCTCATCTCGTCAAGTTTGATTCCAATGGTCGTTCCGTAGGTGACTCGAAGATGCGTATTATTTGGATCACTATCGGTGCGGTTATAGCAACCATCGTTCTTTTAGCGTTTTTGGTGACTTTGGTTGTGTGTTTGTGCAAGATGAGGCGGAACAAATCGAATGACTCCAAAAGCAATCCTCCTGGATGGCGTCCGTTGTTCTTGCATGTCAATCACAGTACCGGAAACGCGAAAGCAACAGGAGGAGGCTCGCTTAGACTGAACACTCTTGCAGCATCTACAATGGGTAGGAAGTTTACACTAGCCGAGATTCGTGCAGCTACCAAGAACTTTGATGACGGTTTAGCTATTGGCATTGGAGGGTTCGGTAAAGTCTACAGAGGAGAGCTTGAAGATGGAACGCTCATAGCTATAAAAAGAGCAACGCCGCATTCTCAGCAAGGGCTTGCCGAGTTTGAAACCGAGATTGTGATGCTCTCAAGGCTTAGGCATAGGCATCTTGTGTCTTTGATCGGGTTCTGTGATGAGCACAATGAGATGATCTTGGTTTATGAGTACATGGCGAATGGAACTCTGAGGAGCCACCTGTTTGGAAGCAACCTTCCTCCGTTATCATGGAAGCAACGACTTGAAGCTTGTATAGGCTCTGCAAGGGGATTGCATTACCTTCACACAGGCTCCGAGAGAGGGATCATTCACAGAGATGTCAAGACGACAAACATTCTGCTAGACGAGAACTTTGTCGCCAAGATGTCTGATTTCGGGCTGTCGAAAGCTGGACCTTCCATGGACCATACTCATGTCAGTACAGCTGTGAAAGGGAGTTTCGGGTATCTTGATCCGGAGTACTTCAGGAGGCAGCAGTTGACAGAGAAGTCAGATGTTTACTCATTTGGTGTTGTGTTGTTCGAAGCTGTGTGTGCACGAGCTGTTATAAACCCGACTTTGCCTAAAGACCAGATCAACCTTGCGGAATGGGCTTTAAGCTGGCAGAAACAGAGGTCTCTCGAGTCAATCATCGACCCGAACCTGAAGGGAAACTACAGTCCTGAGTCGTTGGAGAAGTATGGGGAGATAGCTGAGAAGTGCTTAGCGGATGAAGGAAAGAACAGGCCAATGATGGGAGAAGTTTTATGGCACTTGGAGTATGTTTTGCAGCTTCATGAAGCTTGGCTGCGCAAACAGAATGGAGAAAACTCGTTTTCGAGCAGCCAAGCATTAGATGAAGCACCGGAGAGCTCTTCTCTTCAAGCTTGTTCCAATCAGGATTCCTCAGAAATGGAGAAGAGCCAAACTTGATCAACTCTTCACAACATGGTGTAGAGGGAAGCAATGGATTGTGATCTGATCCAAAATAATTCTTTTGTTCTTTTGTTTTTATTGATGATTCTATCCAAAAGTTCTTAGTAATGGAGCTTGTAATGTCATGGAACTTGAAAATATAATTTGCTTTTTAAGGTATATGTTTCTCTCTCATTTTCAACAACTTATTCCACCTGTTCTCTATTTCAAGAAATCTCAATCTCAATCACTAGAGGTTTGAAAATCAAAAACTTATTGAAAAGGTTCTACAAAATACAGCAAAGGCTTAATGCTCTGTCTCAAGGCAAAGACACGTCTTAGCTAACTGCAGAAAGGAACAAGAGTTACAGATAGGTTTGTGTTTGGTAAGCAGATAAAAAGCTGCAACTTTCAAAAGCAGAAAATACAGTATGGTTCCTCTCTCGGAACTTGTATAAAGCTTCAAGATACGGAGAGGATACCACGCATAGGTAGAGAAGATGGATCTCATTTCTTCCCACCACCGGAAACGTTGAACTTGAAGAAAATGATATCTCCGTCCTGAACCACATAAGTTTTCCCTTCCTGTCTGTATTTTCCTGCGCCCTGCGGTAGTTTATAGGATTGTATATTAGACTTAACTCTCACCTCCACTATCCACATTGCACGATGGCTCTGTTTTTAGAAGATACTAACTCCAGAAACGTTTCTAAACGGGAGGAAAAGGAGTTTTAGACTAGTACCTTGACAGCAGTTTCATTGCCAAGTTCCTTGAGATCCTCGAATTTCATGACCTGTGATATCAACAACATTGGAATATAAACCACATCGTATTTCAAAATAGACAAAGCATTCAACTCAGGTAAACATTTAATTCGTTTGCGGAACTGATTAATCTATATATGGTTTCGCATTAGGATTCTACTTTGATATCTACAGACCTGCGTGGATCCAACTCATTGATAGGAAATCAACAACAAGATGAATATGAGAGAATATGCAAGCATCGTTTATGTCCGGGAACAAGAGAAAGATTATGGAAACTCTTTTAACAGAAACAAATCATCAAAACTAGGAGGGAAAAGGTATGACGCATGTAATTTTTAGGGTAGGAATAAATTAGTGAAATGAGAAGGAAAGTAACCTCGGCACAAATAAATCCTCTCTCGAAATCAGTATGAATGGCCCCTGCAGCTTGAGGAGCTTTTGATTGCCGTCGTATTTGCCAGCATTTCACCTGCAAAACAGAATATCATTAATAGTTTTTTTCCCTAAAACCAACAAAACTGCGAACTTGATACGTCACAGTGACCATAAGCTATCAAATATAACTTATTACACCCAAAAGCTTAGAAGAACATCCCAGAGAAGTAGAGACTAAAGCGTGTCGTGAAGCCAAGTCGATTAAAAGTGGGATAGTAATACCTCATCAGGCCCTGCTGTGAAGAAATATATGAGGTTAATGGCTGAAAATCCAGTTTTGATGATTCTCGGAAGAGCACTGTCAAAGCAGCAATGGCCATCAGATTCATTTAACGGGTTCATGAAGAAAATTATCTTCAGGAGCAACTATTGAATTGAAGGGAGGCTATGCCTTTTTTTTTATTACTAACCTTTGCAATTTGTTCTCCTCACAATACTTTGCTGCTTCGTCTGGGAGCATATCAGCGAGACTCCTTTCAAAAACACCACTGAAAGGAATCATAGTATCACCACCGTGTTCTTGAACCCTACATAACGATGAAACAAATATTAGGTTTAGAGAAATATAATAAGGGAAGTAAATGTATCAGCCCACTGCTGTAGAATAAACTTTAGCAGCACCAGACAGGCATTTTATTTACTTATTATTCAACATAGTTTGTTAAAAGATATAGATAAGTACCAAGCATGAATCTTGGGCAAGAACTTGTTTTTCTTCCTCTGGTAGTCTCTCTCATTCATGTTAATCTGTAAGTATAAATTTGAGAGCCATCAGTGATCACAAAAAGTCCAAACAACATGCCTTTATACTTCTTACGCTGAGAGGAAACATTTGGTTGAAACAAACACGTAAAGCATAGAGATCAGGAAAAGCTAAATAATGCATTATGGTTACATTAGCGAGCAAACAGAATATAGACAGTACGCATCTACATTTTGTAAGCTAAACCGAGAAGATTTGTTGAAACAAAATTTTCGACCGCAGATATCAAAGAAGTAAAAGAATCTATCTTGATAGAAATATATGATTGCAGAGAGAGAGAGAGATGAGCCTTCAAGATTACTCACCAAGTAAACAACGGGTTTTGCTGAAAGCAATTGGAAAGTGTTCAAAATCTCGATATCAGCTGTTTTCCAGTCCCCAAAACGGACATCCTTTCCTTCTTCCAGCCAAGCTTTTACCTGTACACAGAGAGGTAGTCATTTTTTCAGTCAATAAATAATTAATAAAACAATAACATTCACAGAACAAGACTGCATGGTTAACATTTTATAAACACACCTTTAGCAAGAGCTCAAGTTCTACTTTAAGCTGCTTGTCATTGCTCCTCTTCATGCTCTTCTCGACATCTTCAACCTTCTTTTTGATGAATTCAATATCCTAAAGTTACACCAAAATAGTTCAGTATGTTACTCAAACAAAATTGGATGAAATGTAAAACAAGATCTGACTAACTGAAATACCAGACAACTGAATTAAGATACACACAGAGGGTTTCGCAATATCAGTGATCTACATGTCAATATCTGTAATAGATTTGTTTCACCTTTAGCCGCAGTTCTTCAGTAATGGTCTCCAAATCTCTAACAGGGTCCACGATATCATCGACATGGATAATATCAGGATCCTCAAAAGCACCTGCACATTTCCAGTCAAAAAGTTACTAACCACAATATATATCAAAAACTACTAACAAATTATCTCGGTTGTTCAGGAACAGATACACAGAACTACAGAAGATGCATTCGAGAGAAAAAAACATAAACTAGTTATTGCAATGCCCCTATAGGATAGAAAACAAGAAAAAGATAGAATACTAAAACTCAGCTGCCACTAGGACAAAACCACCATTTCAACTTTGCATCAAAACCACCATTTCAACCACAAATCACACTAAAACTCAGCTGGCACTAGGAGAAAAAAAAGAAAAGGAATGAAAAATCATACGCAAGACATGGAAGATTCCATCAACAGCACGGATATGGGACAGAAAGTTGTTTCCAAGTCCCTGTCCTTCATGAGCGCCTCTAACAAGCCCAGCAATATCATGTATTTCCAAGAAAGCTGGAATCTGAGGCAATCACACAGGAGACAGAAGTCAGCTTGAGCAACATAAACATTCCATGGATCAATCACTTTCAGCAGCAGCAAAGTCATGAAAGAAAGTTACAAACTTACCTCACTCTTCGGCTTGTACAACTGGCAAAGCCAGTCGAACCTCTCATCAGGGATATTCACACGTGCCTCATTAGGCTCAATGGTACAAAAGGGGAAGTTCTCAGCTGGAATCGAAAGCTTCGTGAGAGTGTTGAACAGTGTAGATTTTCCCACATTTGGCAACCCAACCTGCGACGCCACAAACAAATCCATGGTGAGTTAGTTAACATGCATGGTATTTCTCTACACCATCGTATCTCCATATATTCTACAATCAACCCTAATCAAAGCAGTTCCTGAAATTGGATTAGCCGTAAATCGAATCATATCTGTCATGAATCACAAATGTTCATTTCCTATGTAGAGTTGATAGATCTCCGTCGGAAAAAAAAAAAAAAAAACTCAGAAGTAACAACAAAGACACTTTCATCGATGAAAATATTGCGACGAGCAAATCTAAGACTCCGTTCTTCTTTCCCAATCAATCAAGTTGGATTCAACATATAAAAAAACCCCAGAAAAAGGAGAGATAAAGCGAGATGATATACAATTCCGATCTTGAGGTGAGAAGAGAAACGGCCAAGGATAGGCCTCTCTACGGGAGCTGCATCTTTAGCTTTGGCTTTCGGAGGCATGTTATCTCTAGTGTCGAGCTTGAAAGAGAAGCGAAGCAGAGAGATTCTAGGGTTTTTGCTGATTAAACGATACAGGAGAAGCTAGACGCCGACCACTGAGGTTAAACTAAAGAGGAGATTGCTCAGCTAACCGGTCTAAATTTGGGATGGACATTTCCCGGTTTACCTTGAATCATTACGGGATGCTTACCAAAAAATTAAGAGCTATATTAACCAATTCGTGGACAAAAGTAAACCACTACGGAGAAGCTCCGTGTCTTTCATACGCTGTCGTTTAGGAAACCTTCTGCGGCCACTACCAGCGAGGAGGACATTCTCCGTTTAGTGGCGAATTCCATGTGTGCGGACGTACGAGAACAATTCAGCTCGGCTAAGCCTCGTTGGCTGCTGCCGACGGTGGTGAAGCCGCCGATGACCACCTTCGTGAGAATGTCCCTGTCATGGTGGTCGAGACTGTTTTCCCCGGAGGATCCGATCCCAAGGCCGATTGGTCAGTACTCTAATTTGAAATTCGTCTGCTTTTGATTCGGCTTTGATGTTGGAGTATTGACATTTGAAGAGAACTTCTTTTTGAACAGTTTTTGCCTAGAAAGAAAGTTAAAGAGCGAGCTAAAAGGCTACGGAGGTCTCTCTCAGAGGATCTTTCTAGTGGAGATTTGTGCAAGAACATACTTGCGATGACTTTTAGGCAAGTTGTTTTTGCGGCAGCTGTGTGTCGGTTGAAGCTTACTGTGTGCTATTGATTCCAAAACAAAACTGGAAAACTCCCTGCATCTGTTTAGTTTCGCTTCACTTCTTCTCCCCAACATAGTTCTGGCTCCTGTTTGGGTCGTCTCATCTTCTTTCCTTGGTAATTTTCCAATAGATTCGACTTCTACATCGAATAAGTTTATGTGTTTGAGTATTCAATAGAGCATTTGCAATTGCAGTCATTTTTCAAAAGATTAATTTGCCTTCTGTAGCTCACTAATCTTTTAAGTCTGTTGTTATCGCTGATTAGGAGTTTCTTGCTCCATATGAACATCTAGCATATTTACATTCCACTAAGTCCAGTTGAGTTTCTGTCTTTGACTTATATAAAATATGCCTGACCGTTGATAACTTTAGGCGAGCATCGCTTCTTTTCACTCACTGGGGAACTCAAGAGAATGTTTAACACCTGGAGGAGTGCTCCGTTTCCAAGTGAGTTTCTTACTTTATATGCTTACATCAAAGAGAAATTTGATTGTTTGCTAGTTACTGGAAAGTTAGAGGAACACAGTTACATTGTGTGTTTCTTGATTATGATATATTACACTTGTGATCTAGGATTCATAGCTTTATCACTGAGTCGTCATTAGTTATGTAGTCACTCTTTAGTCATTTTCACTTGTTTATACGACCATGCTTAACCATGACACTTTTCATCTTACTCGACTATGTCGTTGTTCTTGAGGGTTAAATACAAAAAGTTTCAAACTTTTTGGTGTAGTGCATTAGGGATATGGGTATTCTCAGTCCTAGGCGCATTGGTTGCAATCCCGGTGGGCATCAAACTCAAGTCTCTAGGTCCGCTCGTGTTCTTCGGCACAGCCGGAAAAATGCTCGAGAGAACACGCAGAGCACCAAATGAAGTTACTTCAAGACTCTCAAAGTGCAACAAACAACACAGAGGCAGATTCTATTTCGTAATCTTCTTTACAGTTTTTTTCGCAATAAGACTTTGTATATACATTTGATGCGGATTTATAAGTTAAAACTTGTTTCAAGACTTGATTATTCCATGTGTGTTGAGAGAAGAAAGACGAAAGCTTTTGATATGATTCGGCAAAATGAAATATCTTGCCAAAAAAACTGTCTTCTTCTTCACGTATTTTGAATCATGTAGTTTGCGAGGGCAATTTTGTCTTTTGAGACAGTCTCCGGACTCCGGTTAGTTCAGCATCTTAATGTTTTCAAATACCTCTCATGGAGCTTCTGATTCCTTGATGTAAGCATTAATGTTTATATCAAAAAAAAACACAAAGGAGAAGAGCTAAAACCTGTTTTGCATGAAAATAAGAAGCAAATGAGATTTATAGCTGATTGCAAAGGAGCTAAAGACTTTATATCAAAACGCCAGCGTTCCATATGTCCAAGAGCACGTCTTGATCAAGCTAAATCATGTCCAGCTTCAATCAAAATAGAAGAGAATTAACCCTAAATCGTCAAATCTACTTAAACCACCAAATGAAGCATTATTGGAGCCGATTAAGAAAACTTGGAGAAGCAACATATTTCATTCTACCCACCCTTTTATTCTATATCATCAGAAGATTTCAGAAGATATACAAGCCAATATACAAGCCAGATACCAGAGTTACTTGATTCAAACCGAGGGAGAACCGCCAAATTCAACATATGGACCTACATGTACATATTCGAAGCTATTCAAGAAAACAAAGAGCATAGCTTATACCAATATTTCATTCATGCCTCCTTTGAAGTTTACAGAGTTTACCAAAATTTCTAAACCACCAGATCAAGCCATTAGCCATATTAAACCAGCTCAAGACTAAAGAGATATCACCAAAGAAAAACTTACCAAAGATAGAACCAAATTTATTGGATTAAGGAGAGAAGATGGAAACAAAGACCAACGACCACATATCTCACTCAATCTCAACCCTCCATCATCCTTAGAAGACTCAGCATACTTATTTCGTGCCAAAGACCCATCAACAATCCCCCTTTCAGCGCCCAAGTCAAGATCATCCCCATATAAGCCAAATGGCTAGTTAACATTTCCCATCACTTATGCTTCTTTCTTTGCTTTGTTTTTAATTCATATTACTGAGCTATATATAAAGCTCCTAAGTATTGTACTTTCAATTCAGAATATTCAAGAAATTAATCAAAGTTATTTATTTTCAAAGAAAAGTTCTTTGCATTCAAAGTGTTCATGCGTTTTGTACTAAGTTTCTTGAGGATTCAGAAGCTTGTAAGAATGTGTAGAGCCTCCTAATCTCTTGTGTGAATTAGCCCTTGAGAAAAAAGATTCTAAACTCTTGGTGTTTGGAGTTTAAGCATCACCTGACTTTTCAACCATTCAAGTCATTCAGCCATCCCTAAGCTTCTAAGCATTTGATTTCAAAGAAACAACACTTGAAGCATTTCAAGTATTGTATCATTCCTACGAGTCTGAGATTGCATTTTGGTAACAGAAGACAGATTGAAGTCATGAATTGAAAAAGGATTTTAAACGATTCTGGACTTGAGAGCTGAAAACGTGAAGGATACATTCTATCAGGCAGCACTTGATATGCAATTTCCCTAGGGAAAGTCACAGTGGTGAAAATTACAATTGAAGTCAGGTGGCTCCTTTGGCCCAGCAGGCCGAGCTGTTTGCTTCCATTGTAGCAGATAGCAGCAAAAGACCGATCTATGTTCACAGTAAGGAAGGTGTTTGGAGAACTTTTGCAATGGTTTCCAACACGCCCGGTGATAAAATAAATTCTAGTTTCAGAAGAGTCAAAGCCTGGATTGAATGTTGTAGCATCTGGTAAGGGTGTGCCTGACAAGAGCATACCGATAAAGTCTCTGAAAACAAGCAATGAATCCGGAAGCAATGTGGGAGATACATTTGCATCAGAATTTCCACCGGACAGTTTTTTACTAGAAAAGAAATATGTCTAATTACTCCTGCTGGTTATGTTAGTAATCAGTCAAAGAAACAGGGAATAGTGCCGACGACAGCAAATTTTCAAATGCTGTAGTGACAAACGGTAATCAGATTGTTGATGCAAGGAAACTCTAGTGGGACCCTTCTATCTGCAAGGTCTCAAAGCTTAGGTTTTGGCAATGGAAACTTTTCAAATGGAAATGTGACCATCGAGTAACAGGGGAAACGGCGTCTCTGCAAAGCCTATTGTTGTGCCTTCAAGTGAAAACTTAAGTCGGACTGTAGTTTCCCAACCTATTCGAGAGTCTCAGAGAAACAACGGTGCTTCTTCTGGGGCTATTGAGGGAAATATGTGTGCCATTGGTAAGGGTGCAATAGAGAAAGAAAACAGCTTCGAACTGATGGAGAGTCATGTACAAGGGAAAATGTGATGGGATCCTCTCTAGCTTTCACACATCCGAGTACTCAACAACATATGCTTCTTTGGAACTGTACTACTGCTGAAAAAGCTTGGGGTAGAACTGATGGAGGAAGCTACAGAGGTAAACGCTTTGCTTTTCAAATCTAGAAGATTACATATTTCTCTCTTGTGTATTAAAGTTGCCTATAACTGAGGAAAAGTTGTTCTTCTTTTGAATTTGGTTTCAGGCTGCATCTTTCTTTTATCACCAAGAGAAGATGAATGGTGTGGTTGAACCTGAGGTGCATGATGTATTTACCAGGATTTCGGGGTTTGGCTTTGTCCAGACCTTTTACATTCAGGGCACAAGGTACAAGAATAAGTTAAGTGGACATATGCTAGACTAATCAACAGCAGCTTAATTATGATTGACTATGTTTTGCTTTTGTTTGAATACCAGCAATCCCCATCAATGGGTTGATATTGCACGCATCAAACTTGTGTTGTTTTATGGGTATCCTTGGATATCTAACATCACATCCAGTAGGTATGGATTAGAGTTTGAGAGTATAGATATAGACAGACCTGCACATCAAATGACGCATCTTCGCAGCTTCACGAACAACAGCAAACGCCTCTACAGGGAAAAAACATTCAAAAAGGAGATCTATGGACTATTCGTCATTAACTCAGGGTATACAAGCTATTACTTTATCCTCAGCAAAGGTAACGTTGATTATTAAAAAATATCCATAGTTTAAGGTAAGAGAAGAGTCTTTCAAAAAGCTCTATGTATTAATCAAATTCTGAAGTGTAACATCCTGAACAAAACCAACCACAAAGCACCTATGGCTTCTCTAAATCTCAAACAGGAGAAAACTTTAAGAAAAAAAGGAAAAGATAGATTTGTATGATGCATCCTTGCTGTACTCGTGGACATAGAAAACCATGCATGGAGAAACATCCTGAACAAAACCAACAAAACCAGAGTAGAGTTAGACAATACAAGATCAGAGTCAATACAAAACCAGAGTCAATACAAAAATTACTTCAATCTAAAGCAAATGCGACAGACTTACGTTTCTACAAATCAAATCTTTAAAACGAACTTCCCCGAGATGTGTAACAAAATGATCGTTAAACTTATACCAAGAAGATTTTGATCCAGAGGTGTGAATGAATGAGTAAAAGTGGCCTCCTTCCAAGAAAGCTCCTTCGTGGACCAAGACACTAAGGCAGACGAGTCAAAGTTAGAAAGACCAGAGTTAAAAGGGAACTTTGACTCGGTTTTTGTTGCCTAAACTCTTCTTCCAAGAACGGTTTCAAGTTCGGACAGTTTTAGGACAATTTTGTAACCTAGCCACTATAACAGTCAACATTTTTCGGCGAAGATTTTGTTGCCGTGAACATTGACATTCTAACTAATTCAGTAATTCACAATGATTTTTTTTTTTAAGAAACTGGGTTAAAATCCAAATAATTTGGACGAGCTCATTTTTCCATTGGACCTGAAAATATTTGTTTAGAGATAGTGATAACAACAAAAACATAAACAATCTGTTTGCTTTTTCCTTTTGGATTGATTTATATAGGTCATGTGAACAGTAAATAGAAACTTTTATAGTAAATATAATCTAGTTTTAATTTATTCTTTATTTAAGTTTTATATTTGCATATATTATTTTTTTAAAAATTATTAAAATAAGTAAATATATCATCTAAGCATTACTATAAATAAATATGTTATGTAGATAGCTAATAATTTTTTAAAAAAGATTGAATCATGTCTGTTTCTTTAAACAAATAAGAGTTAAAAGAAATATGTGAAAATAATAGAGAAAATAGACCAATTAACAAAAGAAATAGATTTAGGTTTCAGATTTTTTTTCCTGATTTGGAATTCAAAATTTTTTTTCTCATAAAAACTATATTAAAATAAAATATCTCAACAAAGGTGTCGAGCTTAGGTTTCTATAAGAGAGACTCCAACAATAAAACCATTTTAATACATGGTATTTTCAAAAATTGGCAACTTTTAAACTTTATATATATTCGAACCTAAAACAAATGCCTTTTAAATTACATACTTAAGACACGGCGCTATGCATGTGAACAGTTTAAACAACATATCTATATTACATTTGTATTTTTTTTTTGGAATATGTGATAAATGAGATTTTATGATATGATAGTGGCTAATTAACAACTAAAATTTGACTACGTTCTAAAGATATGTCGTTCAGATTCGGCAGTGGAAATGAACTACAGTTACTAGAATTTTTGGATGTTGTTGATATCAACTATTAAGCCTTTTTTTTTTTTGGTATTGTCGGCAGTTTTCATTATGGTAAAAGTATTTTATATTGGAGCTAGCTACTTTAGAAACCAACATTTTTCCGTGGATATTGGTGTTTTGACGAATTCAAAGTGAAAAAGATTATTTAAAAATTGGATTGAACCCCAATATTTTTGAACGAACCCATACATGTGAAGGCAGCTCAAAAAGATTTGTTTAGAGATAATGATTAATGACAGAGACAGAAACAGAAAACATTTTGTTTTGTTTTCGATTCGATTTACATAGTCACGTGAGAAGTGCTGCCTTGATTAAGGTTAGACGATAGAACTGGAGTTTGAGGTTTTGCGTTCGTAAAGGTTGTGAGCACCACCAATTTCTTCTTCTTCCGCGGTCGGAAAATCCTCCTCTTTGAAAAAGATGTATTCATCTGTCTTTGTTTCTATTTCCTTCTTTTTCTTCAAGAAAGATGTATTCATTGTTCACCTCTTCCATCTGCACAGCAACCCGGAGGAGAATCTGTCTTTGTTAGCGACGACCCATCATAACACGGTTTCTGCCCCAGACATCCTTAGACTCTGTGGCCCTGTCCACGGACTGCTGTGTCGTCAAACTGCCACAACGGCGGTTGTTTCTAACCCCATCACAGGAGAAACTTTCATCTTACCCAAACTCCCAATGGAGGGGACTACGTCACGCCGACGAAGAGCAAGATATTTTTTTTTTGGGTATGATCCAATTCTCCAACAGTACAAGGTCTTACGTATCACCTGGTGTTTCTCTCACGACTCGGTCTCTCAGTATCATGTTCTCACATTAGGGACTAAATTATGCCCAATGTTGCTCGCCTCATTATTATCCTAACCCGGATGAGGGTGTATACATCAACGGTAGATTGTATTATTCAGCAGATAACCCTAAATACGTCAAAATTTACAAAGATGACATCTTTTGCTTTGATGTTAGGTCTGAGAGTTTTAATGTTGTTCGTAACATTGATTCTTTTGACTTCAGGATGGTCGACTACAATGGTAAATTAGGTGTTTGTAACTTTAAGAATAACATCCTTTTTTCTGTAATTCAATTGTATATATTATTTTTGAAAATTGACCAACGTGGAAGAGTGTACAAATGACCATTGTGGTGGTGGCTGTTGAAGAAGGCAAGATGATATCTCAGCCGTTAAAAACCCCGGTTGCTGCTCTGCATAGACACATCTCTCTATCTTTATTTTTTGTATTTTATCATTCAACATCAACATTTGTCACTAATTTCCTGCAAATTTGTATTACATTCTTGGAATTGCAAGACAAAACAAAGTTAAATAAACATGAAGATGGCCGCTTTTGATGCACCAACTCGCGCCACATGCTGCTTTTCCTCATCTGCAAATAAAGGTGTAAAGATAATAGCAACCGAGTATGAAACCTAAAAATGTGCTTCAAGACAGAGTTGAAGGCAGCAAAGGAGAAGAAAAACTGCAGAACAACATAATCATCTTCCTTGGATCCTATGAACTGCATCAACTTGGATGAGCTCAAAGTAAACTACAACTCCTGAACTTATCATCTAAGAGCAACAGAACAGAGTTCATATATTTATTTCCATCTCTATGGATCAAGCAAAGCCTGGTTCAATAGAACTAACGAATCTATTTGAGCTATAACATACAGAATGTTCATGGCATCATCACACCAGAGCAAATCAAAAATTCTCTTGGAGAAGTTACGCTCGTCTGATAGGTTTTTAGAAGAATCCCGAAATTAGCTCCAGTTTTCAGCAAGTGTAATTGAACAAAAGGAATCTCAATTGAACAAGAGGAATCTCACCAGGAAACCGCAGACACAGAAGGAGGAGTCTTAGAACTCGATTGGAGTGAAGGAAGAGGATTAGAGCCTTTTATGATCCAGACAAGTCCGAAGAAGACGCCGCCGGCGAGAACCGCGGTTCCCCAAGCGTGTGAGTACCACTTGCTGTACTGCCTGATTGCGAGTTTTCACTGCTCCCTCCTGAACCGGATTCACAGACTCTGGCCGGTTAGGATACGACATTCTATGACCCGGATAGCTTGAACCGGATCCGATCTCCGGCGTCGGTTTCTTCATCGCGTTGTTGTTATCGGGGATGTGGCCCTTTTCCGCCATTGTCGTCGTGTAGATTCTTTCCTTCAGATGTTGAAGATGTTTTTATCCTTTCTCGAATAACTCCCAAAGCCACTGACACGTGTCCGATAAAGACACGTGGCGTGTTGTGCGAGCTCAATTTCTCTCAGTTGTGTTCCGAAACGACGCCGGTCAAGCTGTTTCACAACTATCCTGTTTATTCCAAATTATACCCAAAACCGAGAGATCAAACTTCAAAGGGTAGGCAGAATTTTTACTTTTTACAAAACCAACTGACTAACAAGCAAAATGATAAATAATTCATAAATTTTACTTCATACATGTTAATGACTTTTTAAATGCATCTTACTCATCAAAAATCTTCCGGCAAATTTCCGAAAAAAAAGCCCTAACTTATGGTTTGGTGCAATATGTTTTTTCATAAACAAAACCATTTTTAGACTTTACACACTTGCAAAAATATTATATCCCTAATTTGCAAAATTGCATTCCCTCCAGACAGAGTCAGGAGGACTAGTGGATGGTGTGATTCTAGAAGGCATCTTCAAGAGCCCCTCTTCTGTTTCAAGCATGAAGGAGTGTTTAGGCGTTATAGACATGTCCATCTCGTTATCAAGATCCACGCCATCGTCATCACTGTCTGCATCTCCATTCACTATGACCACAGGACAAAGCTCATCATCCTCATCATCTTCGTCATAAGTCATTTTCACCGTTGACCAGTAGATGAAGTTCCGGGAGATAAAGCTTCAAGAGTTGACAAGGAAACGGGTGAGAGTAAAAAAAAATATGCAATGGCAACAACTAGGATTCTTCCGAAATCATCATATTCAACATATCAGTGGGTTTAACGAGTCCAGAAACTTCTATAGGTTTCTCATATTGCTTCTTGCGTTAATTACTTTGGAAGAGGAAAAGAACAAGAGTTAAGATAGCGAACCTGTTAGAGATTTTCAACAAGCAAGGATCGAATGGGAAGAATGTATCAAGCCTTTCAAAGCCACCAAAAGCACGAGAGCTCTCAGACTCAAGTAGGTCGTCGAAAATGAAGGCATCAGAGACAATGAACAGACCCTCTGCTTTGGCTTGTTTAAGGAACTCGGAAACTACAGTTGGGAGGCACACCTGTTCACACAAAACGAAGCTTTAAAGCATTTGATTCTTTGGAGTTCAGACCACTTAAAACAACAGTCAGGCTATGAGAAAATAAGTGTAAGTTACCATCAATGGGTTTAGTTTGTGAGATAAAATTGACTCCAATGGTAGAAGCTGTGATTCAAAGTGAGGAACACCGAGGATGGATCTCATCCGGAAGCATAGCACGTACAAGATTGCCTACAATGTCGGTCATTTTAGAGAAGAATTCTCAAAAGGAATTAAAAAAGTAATAAGATGATTCTAAACTTGGACTATACCTGACATCCCGAATAGAAAACTTGGTTTGCTTCAGGCCTAACATCATCATTGCATGCTCTGCAATAATCCGCACACTCGTCCACCAATCTAGGATTTCAGACAAAAGAGAAACAATTTCAGTAAACTGAAACTTGAATCAGATCAAACAATTATCTTTGTCCGTTTTTTATAGCGCTTTCTTTGTACCTTTTCAACATGCTAGCCACAAAAGAAGCAGGCAGAAACTTTCCACGAGACAAGTAGCTAGCTAGATAAGCCACTGCACTCATCCTGTTGAGTAAGGAGAGGAAACAAAACCATATATAAGTGAGTGATTAGAACAATATTAGCTCAATATCATGCAGAGAAATTTTAACCATGAAAGATTCAAATGAAACTCGCCTAGTGAGTCGAGGTTTGTTGCTGGAGAGATATATGTCCAACAGCTTATTGGCAAATTTCACACCACAGTTTTCAGGATCTAATGAGCACGCATAGAACATCAGGAACTGTACATGAAAAAAAGTGAGTCTAAGCGAAGACATCTCATGCTGACACTGAGCTAAAGTGCTAGAAGAGTATAGTATGTAAGGTGATAGCTATGATGTCTACCTGTGAAAATTTTGATTTGTACGTGTTCAGAATGAAGTTCTCAAACGACTTGAAGAGGATTTCAAAAACCTACGCCAAAATCATGAAAAACAGGACCACCAAAAGATTAATGAATCTACCACAAAGGAAAGGAAAGATATGTTGATAAAGTACCATTTGGTGACATACCTCATCTAATCGACCAGAATCTTGACATGATTCAAGATGCTCAAAAGATAGGACCATCAATTTGTCCAACGCCTCAGAGACTACGTTTCCATCCGAAGTATTTTGATTTAGAGACTGCAAAAGAGAAAAACAAAATTAAATATTTTATGAATGGTTGAATATACATTTTTCACAGTAAGAGAAATCGACGCCTTGAAATCTGCATAAATAGCAAAAAATACGCTAAACCCTACCTCGTCTCCTTCCTCCATAACTGCATCTTCAAGTTCCATATCAAACATTCCTTTACTAGAGTCATCTTGAAGAATATCATCCCACTCAATCTCCAACTGAAAAAAGATGCATCAGCATGTCAGTCACTTACCACTTTACGAAGTATGAACAATTATTCATGAAACATGTGTTTATCTACTCACATCCAAATCTCGCAACCTCTCCATCACCACCATAAGAATCACGCTGCCAACAACTTTTCCAATTGAGCTACTCTCTAACTTCAACAAGTTGTCCACATATGTTGTTGTTATCAACTGCAAGACAATCAGATAGTACTCATTTTCGTTACCGCCAGTATATAAGCTCACTGTTACATTGTCCTAAATTTCATCAAAACAAAAACTTACATGGTTCTTCACGTTTAGTTTAGGCATCTTATGGGCAAGTATGGGCACTAATTTTGAGGGAGCAAGAGGAACCAGATAAGAAATCTTTTGAAGGGCTGCATGCACCCGGGAAAGGACTTCCTGCTTCTTGTCGAGTATACGTGGTTGCGAAAGTTTTTGCACCACAAAAGGAGGTGGGATGAAATTGCTTATGAGCATATTCAAACAATGGTCCAGATACTTCCCACTAGTAGCGGCCTAATGATGGGAACAACAAAAGCACAAAATGTTAAAGCTCTTTTCAACCAGATGATATATCCATTGACATGAGGAATAAGGGTTAGTTGCTGAGCTGTGTACCAGTGATATGACTAGGTCAACCAATGCATCCATGACACTAGGTTTGTGATCCCACAAGCTCATCCTCAAAATCTAATCACAATAAATGGGATGAATTTTAGAGGAATGGTAGGAGCGGAGGGCCTGTCTTAAAAAGTTATATATGGAATGATAGATAACTTACAGAAGAAAGAAGATCTCGATGGCGAGCTACATCTATGCAAGCAACAGAACCTGATAGAGCTTTCAAGAGTGCCTTCAAAACAAATGAAGATGAAGATATCTTAATTAGCAACAGAATTTTAAAAAAAAAACACACAAAGAATTGCTTGTCATATGAAGAAAAGGACACACCTCAAGCTGTGCCACGGCATCGGAATCATTATATTCTTTAAGGTACATGAGTCCAATAAGCTGAGCATAAAGGTCAGAATCCCCCTGGATTTAAATTCAGAAGTAAAACAATCATTTATAGAACAAGACCACTACAAAAATAAATAGCACGGGCATGCACACACACGCACAACATATGTGCAACACTCACACTTTTGACAGATTCAAGGGCATTTCTAACAGCATACACTGATTCTCTGTCGCTTAATTCAGCATTGTCCAGTGCATTTGAGCTGAAAGGAACACTCGGGACTTCTTCTGCTCCCATTCTCTATATATAAAAAAAACACAGTTAATTGCTGCTTCAAATTTTGGCCAAGAATCCCATTAATGTTATCTACTAAAGCACAAAAGAATCCATCAAAATGTAAGATTAGTGGAAGCTTATACATTCAACTTTTCATCTCTTACATTGGTCAAGATTCAGTAAAGTAACCATATTTTTCAAACGGGGAAGTGAGGAACAAGTAACTACTACAAGCAAATTCGTCAAATTTTATACACCAACCTATAACCAACGGGATAGAATAGCTCAATGGAACCTAGCAATAAGTACACTGGAGTGAATTTAGAGCAGGGGAATCAAACCCAGAAAAGGAAAGCACTAAAATGGAAGAACAAAGACTTAAAGCCAAAGAATTTATAATAAACAATAGATGATCTATAAGCCCCTTTAAGAAATCTTAACAATTTGAAGAAAAAAACCATAATCCACCACAAAGAAGGGTTAGAGAACTCACAACGATGAACAATTGTAACTTGCTCTGCTTCACTACTACGCAGCTCTCAGGCTCCGGTAGATAGCAGATTAAATCCCACAGGAATTTCCAAAATTTACTCGTAACCCGAAGAGGAGAAGAAATCGCGAGAGGCCTAAAGCTTGCGTGATTCTCCAACGTCTTCTTCTTCTTCTTCTTCTTTTCTCTGTGTCGCCGGCTGAGGAGGCAGAAGAAACAGAGAAGTTCGATGGATCCGCAAAACCCTCAAAATTAATTTTAATTCTTGTTTTATATATTTTTAAACCTATTGACGAAAATACCCCTTTAATTTGGACTACTCTTTAAAAAAACTTATTGGGCCTTCCACTTATTTGTTCCGTGGTTGCAATATATTTAGCGGCCCATCTTATAACTGTCGTAAGCTGGTAAGAGAGCAGTTAGTGAATATTGAGCGAGTCTATACTCTCTCTAGAGTCGAAAAAAACCTAACATCAATATATATGTGATAGATCATAGATGAACTTTTTTACGCAGAACTAAACGTAGCTTACAACAGATTCGAGAGATAAAGTATAAATTTTTGTAAAGCCAATATCTCTCATCTTTGGGAATCTCATTTCCTGGTATTTTTTAGAATTTCTTAAAACCCAAGGATATGGAAAAAAAGTTGTTACTGAGCTTGTTGGAACTCGTTTTTGATCAATTGGTGTTAACCATTTTTTTTTGGTGAGTTTCCAGCGAAAATGTTTATTAGAATAATCGAATTTTGGATATGATGTAATGTAGACATGAATATTATAAAATAATATAATCATATGTCAAGTGGTTATGAATTAGAAATATGTAGTTTTAGAAATGGATAATTTAACAAGCATTAAAAACTTTAAAATTTTGACTAAATGTTAAAAGTAATAATAATTGAATTTTTATGTTCATGTTAATTCCTTTTGTTGGTTTTTGATTGAACACAAAGTGGAAAAATAAAGAATCAAACTAAATGTCATTAAGGGGGATGTATTCAAAATAGAATTTAGTGTGATTTGTATTAAAATCACAAACCATCTGTTATTGATTCATAAATTTTAAAATTTTGTTTAAAATTCAGTGTTATTGAATTAGGGATTTGAAAATGTATCTTAAAATTCACTGTTATTGGAAATAATTTAAGTAGAGAGTTTTAAGAAAGTTAGAATGATTTAAAGATGTTTTGATGGAATTTTCTAGTTAAAAATATAAGAATTCAAATCTCATAATTTTAGGTGGAATTTGGTAGAATTTTGATATCAAATCATAACAATTTCCTTAATTCAACCAAATCATCTAAAAACTCATTAAAACTTAAATTCTTCAAAATCATTCCAAATGTTAAGTTGAATACACCCCCTAAAACTTTGATTTGGCCAAAGCGTATGTGATCAAACTAAATGTCATTGTGATTAAGACACCGTTATGATGGTTGATAAGTTTCCAAATTCTCTATTCGTATCATTTTTATAAGTTGAGATTTCAAGGAAAAATGAAAATATGTGTAACTCTTTGTTTATATAAAGAGATGTTGGCATAGGGAAAAGACACACAACAACACTTAATACAAAAAAAAAAAATCGTACTTTTCTATTTGTAATATTTGAAAGTATATAATCTCTCAAAAGATATTGTATCAAGTAAATAATCTCTTTTTCCATTCTTTCCATCATTTTCTTTGATCATTGATGATGAATTCAATTCAACTGTTGTTATTGTTAAGAGGATCCATCACAATATATTTTAAGGTTTTGTTACCAATAATGACAAAGTCAATATCTGATATTTGTAGCAAAACGTTGGAAATTGACTATATCATCGGTAGCAAAACATTGAAAGGCATTGTTGTTGTCCATATAAATTCTCTCAACAATAATAGCAATCTGAATTAGATTTGCCATGAATGATTGAAGAGAATAATAGAAATGATGGAGAAAAAAAATAAATTATTTGCTTTACAAATACGTGTGAAAAACTAGATTAAGGATTTTGTTTTGCCACCTCACAATTATGAATTTTTTCAATGAGTGATAGATAATATTTTCTTCCAATATCATGACTTCTTCATTTTGTATAATATCCTCTACATATTATTTGAGAAGTAATATTATTGAAAATAGCTGATTTGTCAACACTACATCCAAAGTTAGTGCTTTTAATTAATGTGCTTTTAATTGATGACATGTAAATGTGACATATCAAACTTTCTAAAATAAATGAAATGTTTTGATTGGTTGAATTAAAATTATAGAAATTATGAAATTAAAACATAAATAAACTAGATTATATTTATAACAAATTTATATTAACAGAAAATAAAGTTATTATAATTTCAATTTTTTACATATATTCAAAATTTCATAAAATATAATTACGAATTTTTTTAACAATATATATATATATATATTATAATTTCATATAAAATAAAAAAATAATACTAAATTATCCAATAGGATAATAAAAATTCTATTTATTAATAATACTTGAAATGTGATATATTTTTATTTCGGGAAGTTATTAATTTAAAAAATATATTAATAACATCTAAACAAGTTTTAAATAAACAAATTATTAAATAATATAATTTTAAATAAAATACAATCATAGTAAAAATAATTTAAAGAATAAAATGTTAAAAATAATAAAAATAATCAACTTTTATTGAATTCTTTTTTTAAAAAACGTAATTTTAAATAAATTTTCTTTTCAAACCAATATTTACTAAATGAATAAACTATATACTAATTATTATTTTATAATATTAATAGGACCATATATTTTTCTATAACTTTTATCATCTTTTTATTGTTATTTTCTAAAATGTACATAACTTATGTTACCATCTCATCTTATCTCTTATCATATTTTAAATAAAAATAAATTTTATATCATATGTATATATATACATAAATTTATATTCATTGTATATCAAAATTTTGAGAACATAAATAAAATAAAAAATAACCGAACAAAAAAATAAATTATAATAAGATGAAACAATATGAATAAGAAATAAAAATAGAAGTATATAAAAATAAATCTGTTGCACTTTGTTTTAAAAAGTCACTTAAAAACTTTTAACACCTAAGAGCCATATTTCAATTTTTTTTACAAATACGCGCACATACATAAATATTAATTGTACATTAGTTGAAGTCACATGCGAACTTTTCCGTGCATGTATTTTGTTAAGATTGATTACAGACTATTTTTATTTTAATTATTATATAAATTATATTTTTAAAAAATATTTATCTATTCTAAGTGTAGTGAAGTGTTTGGTATGTCCGCACATGCGTGCCAACCATCTATCTGCTCTTAAAAATAAGTAAAAATAGTAAAAACTATTTCAGTTTAATTTGCAATAAATCAAAAAAAATATACTTAAAATATATTATATATGTATTTACAAATTCATATTATGTAAGACGCAAAAAAGCATATTGTAGATTGTGTGAGAAAAATAAAGCATATTATAGAAATATTCAAAAATATTATAAGAATTTAATTATTATTTAACATAACTTTTATATTTGTGATTATATATTATTACAAGCATTAGAAAAATAAAGTTTTTAAAATACATTGGTTTCAAAAAAAAGTTTGTGAAATATTAAAACAATATATATACAAACATACTAATATTTAAAAAACTAATTAACATTTAAATATTACAATTAACAATGTATATAAAAAAAATTATATCTGCACATATGTGCGGGCAACCACCTTGTATCTCATTAACTGTTTATCAGAATTCTGCTTCCTTCACTTGTTGAAGATTTTGAAATACCAAATCGAATTAAACACTTTTGAGTCCTGATTCAACTTATATGCTTATTACCGAATCTCTAATACTATAGTATTGGAAGCCCTAAAAAAATAGGAAATTAAAAACATAAAGTCAAAGAATTTGTCTATCTCGAAATGAAGAAAATACTAATTAGCAACAAAGAAAAAGACCAAGAACACGGGAGAAATATAGAGATAGAGATAGAGAGAAAGGCAAAAATTAATAAAATCTCAAACGCTGTTTAAATACGGAAACCTAACTGAAATAAGATTTATCAATGAAGCACGTGACAAGCCGGGCTACTAATTAGTAAAAGGAAACTCAATTTAACTTTTGATTTTTGAATAGGCAAATTTCCTTTTTACAACAATCTAACGGTAATGTTATCTGTTCGACTAATAATATAAGGAAACTCGACGATAGAAATTGGTAATTTCCATTTTTTTTAATCGGTTGAACAAAGAAAAAAAAAGGAAAATTCCTTTTTTTTTACAAAAATGTGAAGTCTTTAGGCGCCTATAAATACTGCGGTATGTATGCTTAGAGAATCAAACCATTCGTTCCATCAATTTCAAAGTATTTTGTGATTCAAAGCTTCTTTTACTTTTGAAAACAATTTCTGTTCTAAATGGATCTTGATCCAGAGTTTGCTGTTTCTCTCTTTTGGGATGCCCAAAACGCCCAACTTCTGTCTCATCAGATATGCAACTTGATGGCCAATATTGAATCTTCGTTGAGAACCGCTGACGAGAGATATTACCTCGCCAAAAAGAAGGTTGTCGTAGGAAATTCGAGCCTTGACTTCATCTCTCAGCATGGAGAATATCTTCATCAGCAAGGTTTCGTTGTAGTCGATGCACCCGAGCAAGAGCGTGATTGCATCATCGAACGAGCTTTTGACGCTGGCAACATCATACTGGATGAAATTCTAGGTCAAGTGTTGGAGAAAGAGTTGTCTCGAAACGTACTAATCATCTCCGGTAAATCAGATTTTATTACAACATTAAAAATGTTGGAAAGCAATGAGAGGAATACGCTTATAGCTGTTGACGAGGATGCAAGCCCAGATTATATAGGGACGGCACAGCACGCATGGTTATGGGATGATATGGCGACTCGAGCAGCAAAGTTTATCCATTAAACCTAGTTTAAGCGTTAGCGTTTCTTTTCTTTTTACTAATTACGCTTTCGTCATTCAAATTTAGTAAAGAGTCGTTTCCATTGTACTTAATTATGCTTTGGTCATTCAAATCTAATAAAGATTTTTTGTATTAAGCCTGACTTAATTGTGTTGTTAATTCTTTGCCCAAAACAAAAGAGATCTCGTTGTTTTCACTTTCACACAATTTAGGAAGAAACCGTACTTTCAAAACTCTGAAACAAAAATACCAAATTGCAGATATTGCTCTATACTAAAGTTGTTACTTGTGAGATAAGAAAACCTGAAACCAAGTTAACATCATCATCATCATCATCACCATCAACGTCATTATCATTGTCAAAAATCAAAGATTGGATTAGATTAATTCAATCAACAAAGATCATCATCACAAAACCACTCCAAAACACATTTACAAACTACACATTTCTCTAAAGCTCTCAAAACTACACAACAATCTCTCTCTAAAGCTTTTATCAACTCCCTCAATGTTTTGTTTCAGACAGCAACCTTGTAGATGACAGTCACCGGAATGTTAACCACGTGACCTCTGTTTCCAAACAGCCCAATTCTCCCAAAACTAGCGGTCGTAACATTCTTTATCGCTCGAAAGACAAGACTCAAGACCCGTGTCTGACCCTTTCCGATGGTAAACTTGGCAGGCGAGACCTTAACCGAGACCGAGTCCGGTGCCGTCCACCCGACTGTATATGTTTCGTTTGTGACCGTTGCTGCAATATTAGTGACCCATCTTAGCACGGTTCTAGTACCAACGAGCTTGGCTATTGTGACTGAGGGTAAGTTCAGGTCAGAGGCTGCAAGGGAGGTGTTGTACGCCGAGCAGCTTTCACCGGTGTAGTTGAGAACGACCGGTGATGATCCGTTGATGCTGCAGAGAAACTTCATGTATTCATTGTACCCTACATGTGCAGAAACACTTCTTGTGAAAAACGCTGATCTCTAAAATTAACTGAACTGGGTTTGCTCAAAAAGTTGTTCTAAGTACCAAAGGTTTCTCCTTTTTCATATGCTCAAGGTAAAACTAAAAAGAGACCAACTTCGGACTTTGGAGGTTCATAAAAGGGTACCAATGGCAGTAAGCTAAATTGAGTTTAAGTTAAAAGGTTCCTCTTTCTTCATATGCTCAAGCTAAATAAAAGATGAAAGCTTTGGACTTTGGAGGAGGTTCAAGAAAGTGTTTACCTATGTCGAAAATCAAACCGGGGTCAAGAGCTGCGGTTGCATTGACGAATCCGCTACCCATATCGAACGGTGTTGCAGGGGTCTGGCTAACGTCAGGGTTCAGGACGGTGCGTTGAGCCATTATACGCTCACCTTTTCTGTCTGACAAAGAAGCCGTCGTCGAGAGCGCGGATCCGATGGCTGCAGGTGTGAAATGAGGGAACTTCTGCTTGATGAGTGCTGCAATCCCCGTTACGTGTGGAGCAGACATGCTTGTCCCTGATTCCATCGCGAAACGCTCACCTAAACACCGCCAATTCAAGAACTCAAGAAAAAGACTCCACCAAGAAGAAACACAAAATGAGTGAATCTTGTAAGAAGACAATGATGTCTGTTTGTTTGTACCTTGAAAATCTTTTGTACCGATGCCAAGAGGACTCCAAGCGCCCCATATGGAGTTCCCGGGAGCTACTAAGTTCGGTTTCATCACATCAGCATTCTCGAAAGAGTCGTCTTCTGGATCAGGTCCTCTAGCAGAGAAATACATCACCTTTGGAGCTGTAATGCCATAGGTAGGCTTCATGCCACCAACGATTCTCGCAACCGAAGCAGAGCTAACGATTTTGCCTGAGGCATTGTCCCTCGACAGAGAAGTATTGTAGTACCGAAGTAAAGCCTTGCGCATAGACCATAAGAAAGAGCTATAAAGTTACATTCTTGTTCAAAGTGTAATATAGACTAGTTTACATTTTCAAGACTTTTGAGTATACCTGAGAATCTTGTGAAGAGGAGATTAGAATTCCCGGGATATCCATCGGAGTTGAACTCATCTGAAAACCGGCGGCAGAAGGATCCATGTAGAAGACAAGCCCTGCTGCTGTTAAGTTCTTGGCTGTGACTAAGGCTTGTTTGATGGTTGAGACACCGAGAATGAACCGGACTGTATAACTACAGACAAGGATCTTCCCTTGCACCAGCTTCTGATCGAAGCTACTCGAATCTTGGCATTCACCAACATATATAGCATCCATAACGGTTGTACCATTGCTGAGTGCATGTGCAGCTAAAACAAGTTTGTGCATTGTCCTTGTACCAGCTAATAGGAACCGGTAAGGTCAGGTCGGTGGTGAAATCAAGAGAGAAAAAGCTAAGCTATAAACAAAAAACAGAACTTACATGCGAGTCCAGCTCCAGAGATAGTGAGATTGTTTCCGAGGACTATCGAGTTAGTATAAACTCTATCGTGAGATGTAGCTCCTACTGTGAAGATCCATGGACTGAAGGAAGACATGCTCTTAGGAGCTGGTCCTGTGTTTCCAGCTGCTTGCACTACAAAGATCCCTGCTTTCACAGCTGAAAGCAATGCCATATCAATAGGGTTGAGGAACGTGGCGATACCAGGAGGGCGTCTGTTTGGTGTGATTGATAGGTTTATAATGTCAACTCCATCTTGAGCAGCCTGAAGAATAGTAAAATATCCATAACTATGTCAAATATGGACTTGTTTCATCAGAGTTTCAGTTATAAAGATAACACTTTCTGTTTACCTGATCTATGGCTGCAATGATATCTGCTGCAAAACCTCCAAACCTCTTATACAATGCCTTGTAGATAGCAACACTAAGAAGAAAAAAGAGGAGACACTTAAAATATCTCTGTGGAATGTTTCCAAAGCAAAATATATCATTTCTGTGGTATTGACTTACTGAGCACGAGGAGCCATCCCGCTAGCATTTCCGAGGTGATGACCGGAAACTACCACCGGGACACCGTGATTCGCGGCTGCAATGGAAGCTGTGTGACTGCATCAATCAACCAATATCAGCATTTACCATTTGGTGGTTTTAATAATGCTTGAATCAACATCGAGTGGGGTTATACACTTACGTGCCATGGCCATCACCATCAAACGGTGAAGCATCGTCCTGAGATGAATTCAAGACTCCTCTGCTGAGAGCCGACTCAGCGAAATGGCGTGCTCCAACGAGCTTCCGGTTGCAAGAACCGGGAGGGAAACCGGTGGCGACTTCGCAGACACCAGTAAACCGAGGAGGGACCGGATATGAACGTCCTGAGATTTGGTCACTGAAACTAGGATGAGTGGGATCAATTCCAGTATCGATAAACCCTATGACGACTCCTTCCCCTGCATATTCAGAGCCTCCTTCACGGGGCCAGGCTCCGCGTGGCAAACCTAAGAACTGCGGCGTGTGAGTGGTCGCTTTCTCAACCGGAAAATCCAGAACCACATTGTGCACTTCCTTTCTAGCCGCGAGTCTATCAGCCTTAAGAGAGAAAACAAACCGGTTTTGGAACTCATGAGAACAAACACTAACATTTCGACATTCATATACTGTTTTTTAAGAAAATGTGGGTACCTGTTTTCGGGTAATAACCGCAGAAAACCCGTTGAGGAGATAGTGGTAGCTGTAGAGCTTGATGTAATTCTCCTTTCTCAATACATTTCTCAACAATGAATCGTGAACTCTAATTATAGAAGCGCTTCGGTTCCTATGTGTAAAAAAAAGGGATTAGAATCATAATAAGAGCATAAAGGCATCAACTTGAAGCACAAAATTCATCAGACACTAAGGTATCAGTTTCGTTTAACAACAACAACTTGAAGCGCAAATTCATCAGGCATGCCTTTATATCCGTTGAGACTTTCAGGAAAAAGACCAAAGACACAAGCGACAAGTAATCTGGGACCCAAAATTGACGAATTTCAACATCTGTCGGACCAAAACCTCTCGGAAAAATCAACAGCAATTCCACGAAATTTTGAGAGGAAAAAAAAACTGCGAGTGGGTAAAGATTGAAACTTGGAGAGAAATAAAGGAGGTAACTTTTTTTTACATACAATGTTCTGTAAATTTGAGATGAAGTAGATGCAAGGCCGTGTTTGGAGCCGTCCGTTTCTCTGCCGGAGGAATGAACACATGGAGGGTCCTTGAGCGTAACAATGTATACAGCAGAAGAAGCGGTAGAGTTATTGTCAGAATCATCCAGACATAGCACAGAGGACGAAACCAAACAGAGCACAAACACGAAACGCACAAGAGAAGACCCCTCCATGATTCTTGAGCAAAAATTCTCAGAAGAAAAGAGGATAAAAATGGAAATTGTAGGCACCCATTAGAGCTCCATGGGAGTAGAGAAGAGTAGAGTAGAGTATCTCAGAAGCAGAAAAAGGAAGAAGAAAGAGGAGAGAGAGAGAGAGAGAGAGAGAGAGAGAGAGTTATTAAGAGGGTTTTAGAGAGTACAATGGTCTCAGAGTACTACTTTTGGATGAAGAAAGAAGAAAAAGCGTTCTCGGTTTCCGAATGTTTTATTAATGCAAAGATCGGTGGAAGACTTTTAACATCTTCTCACTTGTAGTGTCCTTTTGTTTCCAAGTGTGTTTACGCTTCGTAATGCATCTTTTTAGCCTTCTATATACATATATAAAATGATCGGTCTTTGTTGTCTTTTATTTCATTTTTGGCCCTTTCTTTCTTTCTTTTAAGTATTTTTTGAATGGAATTATCACAGAGCTTCATTTATTTGGCACACATAAGTAGGAGAAAAACAAATTCCAAAACGCCACCACTACTTGTTATATTTTACATTAATCAAAATGTTGCGTTTTAGTGTTCTACTACTTTATATAACAAGACAACAAGTGAGTTCATATAACATAAAGTTTTTTAGTCTTTTTCTACTTTATTTGTTTTTTCTTTCATCCTTTGGGTGACGTTTTGTCTATTAACCAACGGTAAGATTCTTTTGAGAAGTCGCTTTTATTCTTCTCCTCAATAGCATCCGTGACTCTTCTTCTTTTGACCATTTTCAGCCACTACAACAAAAAACCAATCACACTATAATCCAGACCGGTTCACACCAAAATACTACTCATCCCTCGCAACATATGAACAAGAAGAAACCAAGATTTAACTTTTTTTCTTATTAATCTACTACTACGAGAAGAAGATGTGCTTTATTCTATTTTCTAGAAACACATGAAATGAGAAGGGGAAAAAAGCTATAAAGCAATGATTATTACCACATCAAAAGAAGTAGGGTCCGAGTTATACTTTTAACCTTTTAATTAACACGAGTCATGACTCATTCGACTCGCTTTACATCATTGTATTTTACCCGTTGAAGTCCCTTTTTTAGCAAGAAAATAATGGAATCTATAATTACCATCATCATCTTCTGCGTTGGTTTTCAACTCATACCAACACTAGTCTCTCCTTTCATGGTATTGACCGATAATCCGGTAATATGTTGGATTCTGATAACTCGAATGATGAATTGTGAATTTAAATAATGATTGAATCGCGTACGAGGATACTTTCCTTAAAGAGTGTTTCGATCCTTATCAAGTCTTGGGATACACAAAATCCCTTGTATGATAAGATAACCAAAAGTCTCTCTTGTTCTAAGCTAAGATACAAGAGACACACTAAAGTTCTAGTGTTAAAATGTGTTTTTCCAAAGATCTTTTATGATCTTTTGGAACAGTAAAACTCTCTTTTTTTCTTTCTTTTTTTCTCTGTTTCTGTTTGCTTTCTGTTTTGTTGTTGTGATTTTGGCAATGCCCACAACTCCTTATATAAGAAACCAAAGGTCACTTCAAAAAGTCACAATGGTTGATCGGGTTGCAATGGTTGTGCACCAACAGTTGTAATGGTTGGTCACCAAAGATTGTAACCATAAACCCAATAGTTGCAATGGTTAGTTACCGAAGGTTGTAACCATAATCCCAACAATTGCAATGATTCATTTAAATGGTTGCAAATATTCATTTAAGCAGTTGCAATCGTTCGTCAACGGTTGTATGGATTCACTTAAATTTCCAACATTCCTCCCCCATTTAAGTGTAATCATAGATTCACTAAATAAATAACACATATCCAAACTTATGCATAAATGAAAATGTCGTAACGATTGAATTTTCATCTTAGTGATATTGCACATTCCAAATGCCCGAGAATCAGGATGTCCTATGGATTGAATCCTCTCAACTCATTTGGGCACATGAAGATAATACGCACATAAATTTCCACACTGCTCTAAGTGTATATACTTGACACTATTATAAGCCATGTGTCCCTATCCATTCATGAGCGCATACAAAGCCAAGTCCTAGCTTCTTGAAGCGGCTGCACTTCACACTCATATAGGTAAATATTTTAATTGTGCACCTGCAAAATTACACTTTTTCAAAATATCTATTAAGAAGAAAACTTCAACCTCTCTCTTTCTTGCAGGTCCAAGCACATCCTTTGGGATGATATAAACATGTGCTTTAATCTTTAAGTGTGGGTTTTCCATATTGAATTCAGCCTCTAACGTCGTATTAGAGGGGAATTGGGTATCCCATCACTAAAGATTTCAAATGGACTTTAACCCCATCCCTTTAGCCGACTTAATTACTAAGTCCCTAGCCAATCCTTTTGTCAAGCGATCCGCTAGATTTTGTTGAGACCGAACAAATTCGATTGTAATCACCCCATAAGTGATCAGCTCACGTATCGCGTTATGTCTAACGCCCAGGTGTCGCGACTTACCATTATACACTTGGCTATATACCTTAGCCAAGGTAGCTTGACTATCATAATGAATAGATATTGGTGATACTGGTCTCGGCCATAATAGAATCTCGTAAACTAAATTTCTTAGCCATTCTGCCTCTTTACCAGTAGCTGTTAATGCTACAAATTCTGATTCTATAGTCGAACTTGTAATGCAAGTTTGCTTTTTAGAAGCCCATGAAAAGGCACCTCCCCCAAGCAAAAACACCCAACCACTTGTAGAAGAATGATCTTCCACATTGTTGATCCAACTTGCATCTGAATACCCTTCTAGAACCGAAAGAAATCCATCATAAGATAAACCATAATTTATGGTTCCTTTCGAGTACTTAAGCACCCGTCTTAAGGCTTGCCAATATTGAGTACTAGGATTACTAGTGTATCTGCTCAACCTCCCTACAGCATAAGCTATATCTGGCATGGTGCTCGTCATGGCATACATTAAGCAGCCAATTACTTATGAAAACTCAAGTTGTGACACTGCTTGTCTCATATTAGGCATAAGCTTCACACTCACATCCATGGGAGTGCTCATTGGAGAACAATTCTCACAATTAAACTTCTTAAGCACTTTCTCAATGTAATGAGATTGTGTCAAAGATAGTCTTTTGCCTTCACGCTTGATTCGAAGTCCAAAAATCACATCTGCCTCCCCCATGTCTTTCATGGCAAAACTTGATGACAAAAATGCTTTTGTAAGACCTACTTGTCTAATGTTAGTGCCAAAGATCAACATGTCATCAACATACAAGCAAATGATTACTCCATTACCAGACTCATCAAATTTGCTATATAAACACTTATCTGACTGATTTAACTTAAATCCATTTGATAAGACAACCTTATCAAACCTTTGATTACATTGCTTAGCTGCCTGCTTTAGCCCATACAATGACTTTATCAGCTTACACACCTTATGCTCATTATCAGGCATAGTAAAACCTTCAGTTTGCTTCATATACACCTCCTCTTCCAAAATGCCATTCAAGAACGCTGTCTTGACATCCATTTGGTGAATCACAAGATTATTAATAGCTGCCAAAATAATCAATAACCTTATAGAAGAGATCCTAGCAACTGGAGCATATGTATCAAAATAATCAATACCTTCCTTTTGTTTAAAGCCTTGGATAACCAATCGAGCTTTAAACTTGTCAATCGTCCCATCAACTTTCATCTTCTTTTTGAAGATCCACTTACAACCCAAAGGCTTGCAACCAGGTGGGAGATCTGATAAGACCCACGTATTATTTCTCATGATGGAGTCCATTTCTTCATTTATTGCTTCTTTCCAGAATGCAACATCATGAGACTTCATAGCCTCATCATATGTCCTAGGATCATTATCAATATGATAGCAGTATGAGTATTGGAATCCAATCTCATCTCTTGACCCTTCAACTAAATAAATCTGAAAATCAGGACCGAAAGATTTTTTAATCCTCCCTCGCTTGCTCCTACGAAGTATAGGTGACATGTTAGAAGGCATAGTTGTTTCATCTCCTTCTTTAGTTCCATTTGAACTAGGAACCAAATTCTTTGATATGGATATGGATGAAAAACGATTTTCATCAAATATTGCATCCTTTGATTCAATTATGGTGTGAACCGATACAGAATCATTAGGTTCTATGACACAGAATCTATAAGCTTTTGAATGCTCAGCATATCCAATAAAGATGCAATTAATGCCTCTTTCTCCCAATGTTTTAATCTTGGGTTGGGGCAGTCTAACTACAGCTTTACATCCCCAAACTTGAAGGTAGTTCAAGTTTGGTTTAGGGTAAAGTTGTTCCTTTTATTAGGAACCCTATTTAATATATAACAAGCTGTTAACATAGCTTTACCCCAAAATCCGTCACTCCATCCCGAGTATGATAACATAGAATTAACCATTTCCTTTAGGACTCTATTTTTCCTCTCTGATACACCATTTTGTTGTGGTGTATAAGGAGCTGTAGTTTCATGTATGATTTCTACAGACTGGAAATATGAAGGATCATAATACTCTCCACCTCTATCAGTGCGTAATTTCTTAATCAATTCATTTTGTTGCAATTCAACCTCAGTTTTATAAACCTTAAATTTATCTATGGCCTCATCTTTAGCATGCAATAAATACACATAACAAAAACGGCTATAATCATTAATGAACGTAATGAAATACTTTTTATTTCCTAAAGATGGTGTAGCATGCAAGTCACATAGATTATAAGTCCTAGCAATACAGAATTTCTTTCAATACTCTTAAAAAGCTGTCTAACTATCTTATTCAACATGCAAATACTACACTTTTCTACATTCATGTCAAAAGTAGGAATTAATCCTTCTTTAGACATATCAATCATACGATTATAATGTACATGACCTAATCTAGCGTGTCATAGAGAAGTATCATTTTTACTAGAACTTGCAATATAAATAGAACTGATAACTTTATTAATATTAAGCATGAACATGCCATTACAGAAATATCCAAATCCAACAAATACACCACACTTCGATAAGACATACTTATCGGATTCATACACTTGTCTGTAGCCACACTTATTTAAAACACTATCGGAGACTAAGTTTTTCCTAATTCCGGGTACATGAAGTACATTCTTAAGATTAATAGTTTTCCCAGAACTAAGTTCCAACATCACTTTTCCACGACCTAGGATAGTGGCAGTTGACTCGTTTCCCATATGAAGAACAGATCCATCTTGTACAGGTTCATATGTCTTGAACCATCCACGATCTTTGCAAACATGTGTTGTTGCGCCAGAGTCAATCCACCACGTCACTTCATCATCCTGCACATAAAATGCCTCAGAAATCTTTAATACATAGTTCACATTAGAATATGAATCAAAAGCAGAGATCTGACCTTGATGAGTAAATGGGCCTTGGTCCTTAGACCCTTGCCCCAAACGGTTTTGTCCTGTTATATTCTTATCCTTTCCTGCCTGACAGTTACGTCTTAAGTGACTAGGCTTATTACAATTCCAACAAACGCTCTTGAGCTTTTTGTTAGTTCTATATTTAGTGTTGTTATTAAAGGGGGCTTTCTTCCCTTTATTATTCATCTTAGAACTCCCATTTACCTCCATCATATTGATGGAAGAATATCCAGCCTCCTTGGGTTTTTCTCCCTCTTGTGCTTTTAGAGATTCCTCTATGCGCAAATGGCTGCCAAGTTGTACAAGTGACAACTTTTCCTTTTTGTGTTTCAACATGTGTTTAAAATCCTTCCATGAAGATGGTAACTTGTCGATGATACTCGACACTGAGATGGATTCATCCATCTTCATGTTGTGTTGGGCAAATTGCCCTATGATGCGAAGCAATTCATTATATTGCTCCATAACCGGTCTAGAATCAGAAATCTTGTAATTATTAAAATTACTCACAAGGAACTTCTTACTAGAAGCATCCTCTGCCATGTACTTTGATTCTAATGCATCCCACAATTCTTTTGCGGATTCAACATTCTGATAAACATCAAAGAGTGGATCTGACATACTGTTTAGAATGTGGCCACGACATATGTAATCGTCGTTTTCCCATTTAAGTAGCTTCCTTGTCTCCTCCACAAACTCGTTCTCAGCATCCTCTGGCACAGTAGGCATTGGCATGCTTAAAACATACACTACGTTAAGCGTTGTTATGAGGAAATGCCATCTTCGAAAATCTACTCCCTCAAACTTATCCAGTTTTCCAAACTTGGATGTCATCTCTCACACATACACACTAGTCATAGTTCACAAGAAAATACTCTTTTTAAGATTGTTGGATTCTGGTAACCCGAATGATGAATTGTGAACTTAGATAATGATTGAATCGCGCACGAGGATACTTTCTTTAAAGAGTATTTCGACCCTTATCAAGCCTTGAGATACACGAAATCCCTTGTAGGATAAGACAACCAAAAGTCTCTCTTGTTCTAGGCTAAGATACAAGAGACACACTAGAGTTCTAGTGTTAATATGTGTTTTTCCAAAGATCTTTTATGATCTTTTGAAACAGTGAAACTCTCTCCTTCTTTCTTTTTTATTTTCTCTGTTTCTGTTTGCTTTCTGTTTTGTTGTTGTGATTTTGGCAATACCCACAACTCCTTATATAGGAAACCTAAGGTCACTTCAAAAAGTCATAATGGTTGATCATGTTGCAATGGTTGAGCACCACCAGTTGCAATGGTTGGTCACCAAAGATTGTAACCATAAACCCAACAGTTGGAATGGTTAGTTACCGAAGGTTGTAACCATAATTCCAACAATTGTAATGATTCATTTAAATGGTTGCAAATATTCATTTAAGCAGTTGCAACCGTTCGTCAACGGTTGTATGGATTCACTTAAATTTCCAACATAATAAACCAAACCGGTTAACTCAAAATCTTATTTCTTGTTTCCTCCTTAAACCGCACAATGTACATTCTCGATTCTCGAAATTTGACAATTGTTTTTGTTTACTTGTGAGTGGAAACATAAAAATGGTTAGTAAAGTGATGCACTGGTTCACCTTGAGAGACGAGAACATTATTAGATCACAAAGCCTTGGCCCAATAATAGCTGGACTTCGTACGATCTGTTACAGATCAAAAGACAATACCCCGTTTCCTGTTACATAAAACTACGCCGCGTTAATATAAACTATATACAAACGTCAAGTAGTTTTATTCGTCCAGCCACGTCGGACGGTGACGATAGCCGATAGGGTTCAACGACGATTCTTTGAATTGCAGGAAAAAATCTGTTGAGCTTTAGTGAAGAAGATAACAAAAAAATGGCGGTGATGGTTTCGACGAATGCCTTCGTTAACGCCTCGTATCTAGATGAAAGTCGGAGTTTTCGCTGGAATTCTCGTCGGAAGCCGGTGTTACCTCAAGCGTGTTTTAACTGCCGGCGATTCGTTCGCCTGAATTCGAGGAAATCGAAGGCAAATGTAGTCTTCTGTTTGAATTTAAACGCGAAGGAGGTGGGTTTGCAAACTCCGGGTGATGGAGGTTTTGAATTCAAACCCAGTTTTGATCAGTACCTGCAAATCATGGAAACGGTTAAAACGGCGCGGAAGAAGAAGAAATTCGACAGATTGCTCAAAGATAAAGCTGAGGATGATGGCGGAGGAGGTAAAAATTATGATAGAGGTGATTCAGAAGTGAGAATTGGGGTTTCTGATAGACGATTTGAGTTGAGAAGGAATGTTGAAGATGTGAAGACTAAGAGTGGTGACCCAAAAGATGAAGGTTTCAGGAAAAGATACGCGAGGCAGGAGATGGTTACCGATAAACGTAATGAGAGAGGTTTCAAGAGGAATGAAGAAAGTGGAATTCAGAGGATAATCAAAGATGCGAAATGGAGGAAGAGTGGTGAATCTTCTTCAGTGACTGCGCCAGAAGATGAGAGCTTCAGGAGAAAGTACGCGAAACAGGAGATTGTAAGGCATCACAGTTCCTCTGATACATCGAGAGGGACTGAGAGAATTACCAAAGGAGATGAATTGGAACTCGTTGTTGAAGAAAGGAGAAGAATAACCAAAGATGGAACTTGGAGTAAGAGTGGTGAGTCTTCAGTGATTACACCAAAAGATGAGAGCTTCAGGAGACACTACTCGAAGCAGGAGATGGTTAAGTATCAGCGTTTCCCTGATGCATCGAAAGATATTGGGAGTAGTTCCAAAGGAGATGGACTGGATCTCCTCGCTGAAGAAAGGCGAATTGAGAGATTAGCCAACGAGAGGCATGATTCAAGAAGCAGCAAATTGAGTAGAACGAGGAGAATGGGTGGTGATGATGATGAGGATACCTTGTTTGACATGGAAAGTCCTGCCTTTAGGTTTACAGATGAGTCCAGTGACATAGTGGACAAGCCAGCTACTTCACGACTCGAAATGGAAGACAGGATCGAGAAGTTAGCCAAAGTGTATGTCTTTAAGCTATTATCTAGATTTGGTTCCAAGTTCTTATAGATTAGATGGAAGAAAGAAACGAGGAGGTGATTGTTGAATCTTGATTTAGTTATGTCCTATTGCAGATGAAATTAGGGGGTTAGAGTATTACATTCCTCATGAAACTATTATCAAACTCAGCTGAATTTTGTGTTAAGGAAGTTTATTTCGCTAGGTTGAATGGTGCAGACATCAATATGCCTGAGTGGCAGTTTTCCAAGGCGATCCGGAGTGCAAAAATCAGATATACGGATTACACTATAATGAGACTGATCCACTTTCTAGGGAAACTTGGAAACTGGAGACGAGTTCTTCAAGTCATTGAGTGGCTTCAAAGGCAAGACCGTTACAATTCCAACAAGCTAAGGTAACTATTTGACTGAATCTTTTCCAAGTCCTGAGGAAAAAAACGTAATGCTGACAAATTTTACCACTTTTGGGTCCAGAATCATCTATACAACTGCACTAAATGTGCTTGGTAAGTCAAGGAGACCTGTGGAAGCTCTCAATGTATTCCATGCAATGCTGGTAAAAATCCTTATGCCATGGACCTCTGTGTGTTCTTGTTGCTTCTGGTATAATCTGAGTTTTTCTTTTGTGTTTTCTTCACTAGTTACAAATCTCATCATATCCGGATATGGTAGCATACCGTTCAATTGCAGTCACACTTGGACAAGCTGGTCATATCAAGGAACTCTTTCATGTGATTGACACAATGCGGTCTCCACCTAAGAAGAAGTTCAAGCCAACGACACTTGAAAAATGGGATCCCCGGCTTGAACCAGACGTCGTTGTTTACAATGCGGTCAGAAATATAAACTTGTCTCATTCTTATGAAGATATATCCTACAGTATATTAGTGGCTCGTCTGATTCGTATGTTGGACATCTATTCAACGTAGGTGCTCAACGCATGTGTTCAACGGAAGCAGTGGGAGGGAGCATTCTGGGTTTTGCAACAGTTGAAGCAAAGAGGGCAGAAACCTTCTCCTGTCACATATGGCCTCGTTATGGAGGTTTAAAGTCTGTTCTTCTCATACCACTTAATGTTGCATAACAACACAACTGAGCAGTGGAATTATATTTGTGTCTAAGCAGGTGATGCTTGCATGTGAGAAATACAATTTAGTTCATGAATTCTTCAGGAAGATGCAGAGGTCCTCTATCCCTAATGCTCTAGCATATAGAGGTGTTTTGTGAACTCTTTTTCCTTTTAGCGTTTTAGTTTTCGAAATTCCCCTCTGAAGAGTAACCATCTTTCTCTACCTGTGATCAGTTCTTGTTAATACTCTGTGGAAAGAAGGTAAAACCGATGAGGCCATACAAACGGTTGAGGATATGGAAAGCCGTGGTATCGTTGGATCGGCTGCTCTTTACTACGACCTTGCTCGATGTCTATGTAGCGCAGGAAGGTGTAGTGAAGGGCTTGATATGGTAAATTCCGTAAACGCAGTAGCCCTTCAGCTTATCAAGAATCTGATCTAAAAAGCTGATCTTGATTATAATTATTTACCATCCCAATGTCAGATTAAGAAGATATGTAGAGTTGCAAATAAGCCTCTTGTGGTGACTTACACTGGTTTGATCCAAGCATGCCTTGACTCGGGGAACATCAAGAACGCAGCCTACATCTTCGATCAAATGAAGGAGGTGTGCAGCCCGAACCTGGTCACTTGCAACATAATGCTAAAAGCTTATCTACAAGGCGGGTTGTTCGAAGAAGCCAGAGAGCTTTTCGAGAAGATGTCAGAGGACGGAGGTCATATAAAAAGCCGCTCGGATTTCGAATCAAGAGTGTTGCCTGACACGTACACGTTCAACACGATGCTAGACTCTTGCGCTGCACAGAAGAAGTGGGATGATTTCGGTCATGCGTATCGGGAGATGTTGCGTCACGGATACCATTTCAATGCGAAACGCCATCTCAAAATGGTGCTTGAAGCTAGCAGAGCAGGAAAGGTAAAAACAAAAAACAAAAATAAAACATTTTTGAGTGGGGAATCTTATGTTATCATCATCTTGTCTGAAAAATCTCCCGTGTGTGTGTGTGTGTGTTTTGTGACCAGGAAGAAGTGATGGAAGCGACATGGGAACACCTGAGACGGAGTAATAGGATTCCTCCGTCGCCTCTAATCAAAGAAAGATTCTGCAGGAAACTCGAGAAAGGTGATCATGTTTTGGCGATAGCGTCTCTGTCTGATCTTAGTGGCAACATCGAGGAGACGGAGCTACGAGCATTTTCAACGGACGCGTGGTCGAAGGTCTTGTACCGGTTTGAGAAAGATTCAGTTTTGAGACTAATGGACGATGTGAACAGACGCGTGGGTTTGAGAAGCGAGTCCTCGGATTCGGTTTTGGTGAATCTATTGAGTTCTTGTAAAGAGTTTCTCAAGAACAGAAAACAAGTCTTGTAAGTTATTGCGATATCTTGTCACTATATGATTGAATTAATAGAATTTAGAAGTTTAAATTACGTATACGCTTCGATAAGATTCCTTCTCAAATATAACATATTTTTTGTTACGAAATATTTATAATTGCAAATGCAAGCCGGATCCATAGTGGAAAAACAGAGCGTAATTTGAAAAACCTTTTAACAAATATGATTTGAAAAACAAATGATTCAAATTGATTTGACGTAAGTTTTAAATTTTACGTTCAACTTTTGAACTCATACGGGCCGATGATTGGATTCAACTAAATGAACAAAACAAATTCATAAAACTCAAAAATAATAGTGTTTCGTTGGAATACTGTGAAAAGGGTAAATAATTAAGCCACCCAAAAATGACAATTTAGACAAGAAGACGTAAAGGAATATAAAATTTGTCTGGGAATAATTTTTCTTTTTTTTTTTGGTCAACTTATATTATAATTTCTAGATAAATAAAACTAAATTAGAGAAGGGGGAATGTATGGTGGAATTGTGGAAGAATGATCTAAGAAAGTCAACGTGCATGGAGTCGTCGACGATTGCAATTGCAAACTTATCTAATGACGTCAAACACACATATTCATATTGCTTTCAAACTTATTACTTTCTTCATACATAAAGCACTACTTTCATAAGAAATTAGTTTTGATATTATTAATACGATCAATTTAATATTTGTTTCGAATATGGCAATATGCATCTAGCATATAATGCATGTGTGTGATAATTAACTATGCTATATGACTAATACAACTACACCAAACTGTAGACTGTAGAATATTTAATTTTTAAATAACTGTTTGAGAAAAAAAAGTATAATAATAAATAAAGCGATACCAAACAATTTGAATGTGGTTTGAACAATTTAGAATAGGTGGGCAAATGTCAATTATCAGCACTAAACAACAAAACACTGCGGCCTTTTTTTATAAAGTGATCGTGGGTAATTGGTGAATACAAATAATAAGGATCTATTGATTTCATTAAAATTTGAAATGTAATTAGTTATTGTAAAGACAATAATCATTGATTATCCTTCTATCCACAAAAAGGATATCAAGAATTTCAGTGTAATGTGTTAAAGGTAAGTTGTATTCGTTTTTCTCTTTTGATACGAATATAAAGAATCTCTAAAATAAGTCCATAGGTTTTTCTCTTTTGATACGGTTTGGTTTGATTCGAATAATTAAAATTAGTAACTAAATTGAATAGAACAAAAAACAGAAAATAGCATGAAAAACACCAATACGGATACACACAAATCATTAACAGACCCAACAATTTGACAGAATTATTTTGAATATAAATAAAATGTAGTTGAAAACTCAAACTCGTGAGAATCTTAATTTCAAGTTGTGACCGACAATAGCAGGAGGGAGAGGAGGAGACAACGCATTGGCCAGTAGCCACACTAGGTGAGGCAGGGAGGTTCGCAGCGTACGGTGTCGTTTCAAGACATTTAAAGACACCAAAACATGTACGTGGCGCTACCTCATGGGATTATGCCATGCTTATATGGATCCCACCGGACATCTACGTTACAGTTCTTTACTACATATATTTATGTTGTTTTTATTCATCTTCTGAAGATCTTTTGCCTTATATTTCCAAAAAATATCGTATTTTTCAAGTTTAAAAAAAGTTTTAGTGTCTTTTTTCAATACAAAAAATAATATTTCTAGTACGCAAAACATTTAAATTCGAAACAAACAAATTATAGATCAATGATCAATGATGAATCTACCTTCTTAACAATTAAACTATTTTAAATAAAACAACATATAATCATTATTTAGCATACCATTACCACGTAGTTTAATGTTTGTCTTGGTTATCGCACGTACGTCGTCAACATAATTCAAATACGCATAACATATAGTACTAATTATTTACACCAAAAGAATAGAAGAAATTTTGTATGTTTGTTATCGAAATAATATATTAAAAAAGAACTAAACTTTTCGAGTTTTTCAGCAAATATACACCGAAGTGTTAAGTTTCTTCTTTTTTTCGCCCGATTGTAATTTGTAAGTTTGGCGTTAAGAAAAAAATGGTACATGTATTTATCTTTACACCAGATTTGTTTTGCTATTTATTACAAAAGGCCACTATTACACATCTCACTCCTAAAAAGCCAAATCAACGATACAAAATAATGAAAAAAAAGACCTAAAAACTAGCTTATCTATCTCTACGTTGGCATGTCTTACAACTCTTGTCGAATTATATACACATGTTCCTTAAACTGCTCAATGGAGAAATAATACAAAAATTTCTGTAGAGAAACCTACAAAAGCAAATTTATTTCTTATTGATTATAGTTTTTTAAATAACATTTATGGTGCACAGAGTAAAACTTTTAGATAAAAGAAAACAAGTCACAAAATTATGGTACAAAACAAAGTCTAATCACAAAAAGCATTATAAATTCTTGCCGACATGTCAGCACGAAGGAGTTGGTCTCCCCACACACTGTTATCGTAGACTAACAAGTGTGGCAATTTTATTGGATAGTCGTGCTTGTTGCATAAAAAGCCATTCTCCAGAAAATAAACTAAATATTTTTATTGATTGTTTTCTTGTACTGTTTAAATTGTTAATCAAATGGTACAAACTCCCAACAAAAAATTGATGTTATCTTCTAATATCTCGACATCTACTTTTCCATAAAAAACAAATATTATGTAACTGTGGTGAACAAATAATTTGAATGCTTCCTTTAATATATGTAACCCCATTTTGCTTCAACCACTTTATTTTTACGATTCAATTTGTTAGAAATACAAAATTCATATCTGACTGTTTTTCCTTTTTGTATATCACGTTAGTAACATTTGTTAGTATGTTAGTAACATACATTTTATATAATATCTTAGATTTTTAATTATAACCTCAAGTTCATGCATGTCATCTTAATAATTAAATTCATCTAAATTTCTTAACATGATATCATTAAAAATTACTAAGTATATACCCGTGCTACACTGTGAGATATATTTCTAGATTTTGTATATATTTTTAATATAATAAAATTATTCTTATAATATAAATGAGTATTATATTTATTTTTTATTAGCTTAAGTTATGTATTTATATGTTTTAAATCTGAATAAACATTATATATACTTAAATTTTTTTATTTTTCAAAATTATAATTTACTATCAAATTTGTTTAGCTAACTATCTATAAATATATACGTAAGAATAAAACAATATATTTTAAGTACCTTTATGCTAATGGTAAATGTAATTTGTTATCTCTACTAAATTGACACTTGATCCTCCTTTGAAATTATATAAAGCAAATTGTCATTTTAAAAAAAAACTGAGAAATCACATTTTCCGACAAAACAAAAAAAATTCATTTCGCATATTCCTGCCAAAACCAAAAACATTCATTTTCTCGTCAAACTTGAAATTTCATTTTCACACCAAAACAAAAAAATCACATTTTCCTGCGAGAACTTGTGTTTTCCCATCAAAACAGAGAAATCGAGTTTTTTTACCAAGACCAAAAAATTTATTTTCCCATGAAAACCGAGAAATCGTCAATTACCGCAAAACAAAAAAATCATCAAACTAAAAATCAGGCCTTCGTACAAAACTGATAAACTACAATTTTCCATGAAAACCAAAAATTGCATTATCTCCTGAGAAATTGTGTTTTTCGCGAAAAACTAAGAAATCATATTTTACCGCGAAAACCAAAAAACATATTATATGTCAAAAAACTGAAAATTTGCATTTTCCACCAAAACCGAAAATTTGCTTATTCCTTCCAAAATCGAGAAATTTTGTTTTCCCATCAAACTGAGAAATTGCTTTTTTCGCCAAAATCTTCAAATTACAATTTCCCACAAAAACTAAGAAATCACATTTTTCCGAAAAAATCAAAAAATCACATTATCCATCAAACCCCGAAAATTTGCATTTCCTATCAAAACCAATAAATCATATTTTTTGTCAATTGAAAATTTGCATTTTCCTCATATTTTCTCGTCAAAACTAAGATATTTTATTTTCGCATCAATTTTTTTTTCTCTCACCAAAACCAAAAATATATTCACATTTTTCCGCCAAACCCGATAATTCATTTTTTCCGCCATAACCAAGAAATTATGTTTTTCGAGCAAAACTGAAAATCACATTTTCCTACTGAAACCAAAGAATTCCCTATTCCTGCTAAACCCATGAAAATTTGTTCAGAGTAACCACTGGAAATGCGAATCTCTAAATTTTGGTGGTCTGAGCTTCTTCTCATTTGCTTTCGACTTCTATTTTTTTGTAAACTTTTGGGCTTTTTAATGGGTCTGCAAAATAGTTAACTGATTTTATTAGGGTGTGAATGATTTGTATTATTGTTATGTTTTTATTGGTTCAAATTTTTGCTGATGTTTGAGTTTTTTATAACATAAGGCTTTTTGCGTTGTTGTTATGGAAACATAGTTGATGATGAGCATACAATTTTTCAATCATATATGTCTCTGTCGAAAAAACAAAAGGCTAAAAAAATAATTTATTTACTGTTAATTATTATTTGAGTTTGGGTTTGGCAAAAAATAAAACAAAGATTTTTTTTTTATTTGATATTGTTTATTATTTGGGTTTTGATTTTTTTAAAAAATTAAACAAATTATTTATAAAAAATGTATTTGGGTTTTTAATGGATTTAGATTTAAAATTTAAAATAAGTAGATGAGTTGTATTAATGTTTTAATTTGATTGGTTTATAAAATAGCTGAGGTGTCAACTTCTCAAAAATTAAAAATTTGATGTGTCAATTTATAGAGAGACTTGGATGTTATTATTATATTGATTCGAAAATTGTGACTAAATAACAATTTCTCTTTATAAATTCATATTTCGATCAAATATCTATAAATAATAAATGTTTCTAAAAACTATCAACGATATGTGATGAAAAATATAAAAAAAAAAACAACCATCTCACAAACAAAATCGAGAAAAGATATTTCTACAAAAGGAACTAGGAGAGAAAGTGACGAAACGGGAGCAAAGGAGAAGAGAAGAATGGTAAAAGGACATCTTCTCATCTA